GCAACCGTGCAGGAAAGAATGCAAGACTGGAGATGGGAAGACCTGGTCTGGTTGCAGGATGGGCTGCACATTTGTGGGTTCCAGCGCAAGGTGAAAACGTGGGTCCCCTTTTTTCAGGGCGCATTTCCGGACAGCAACAGCAGAGCGGTAGAGCAGGGGCAGAGCCGTTCTGATGGCAGGTGCTGTTGGCTGTGGGGATGCTCACCTCTGACAGCTGTTCCCCCACCACCTCCTCGCCCCCAGCCGTGTACCGTGGCCTTTTGCACCGTTTTGCCCTTGTCTATCGGTACAGGGATGATCCTCGTAACAATCACAGCAACACTTTTCACCCAAGTGCTGTGAGGATGCCGTCCTGGTTGTTCTGATCCAGCGAGCTGTCCCTCCTTAGCCTGGAAAGCAGCCTCCTCCCGATGCTGAGCCTGACACCCCCGCTCTTGGAGGACCCCGGCCTCCTAGAATGGTTGGCTGAGCTCCATCGACAGCCACATCGTGCAGCAGGTGTAAAATCAGGAGGAAGAGGAGCAGCGAGGTGCGCGCGTGCTCTCCGGCTGCTGACTGCAGCTGAGTCGGGGAAGCTTCCTGTCGAATCCAGCACGCTAGGGGCTGAGCCGGGCCAGCATGGAGTGGCCAAAGCGCTAAGCTGTCAACAGGATTTATTGTTGAAGACTTCGCAGATCCAGCTGTGAGCACAGTGCTCCTGCTGCGTGAGGTTGGATTACAGACCCCACAGGCCAGCTTCCATGAGACAGCAGCAGATACGCTGCAGCGAGCTGGCCTGCCCCGTCTGGCACCTTCCACACAGCAGGGGAAGGGGGCAGAGGAGAGCTCTGGTCCATTTACCAGCCCAAGGCCTCTCACCAGCCTGCAAGATGAAGGCAGCCCCAGCCCCTCCCACCACCTGGCCTCCTGGGGTTGCCCAATGTGTGGACCATGCTGGGAGCTCCCCGGAGCCCTTCTGAGAGTCCTCAGCCTGGGAAGGACTGGCCTGAATTCCTCTGTGTCTTATCTGGGTGCCCCAGGTAGCCTGGGTGGCCAGAAAGAGGACTCTGCCACTCCCTTAGACATCGCATCCTTGGGCCAGGCACCTAGGGAGGGAGACAGAGGCTGGGAACAGTCCAGAGCTTAAGTATAAACATGACTTCAGGGCCTGGTGCTGTGGTGCAGTGAGTAAAAGCTGTCGCCTGAAGTGGCCGCATCCTATGTGGGCATGGGTTCAAGTCCCGGCTGCTCCACGTCCAATCCAGCTCCCTGCTAATGCACCTGGGAAAGCAGCAGAAGATGGCCCAAGTGCTTGGGCCCCTACCACTCACATGGGAGAATCAGACAAAGTTCCTGGCTTCAGCCTGGTCCAGCCCTGGCCATTGTAGCTATCTCAGGAGGGAACCAGCGGATGGAAGCACTCTCTCTCTTTGTCTCTGTCTCTGTCTCTCCTCTCTCTCTCTCCTTCTCTAACTCTGCCTTTCAAATAAACAAATCTTTAAAAAAATATATGCCTTCAAGGATAATTTTGAACAACTGTTCTCAGTTGGGGGTGGTTTAACCCCGCGGGGGCTGCTGGGTGATGTCTGGAGACCTGTCCACCGTCACACTGGAGCAAGTGCCCAGCCTCCACAGGTCAAGGCCAGGGATGCTCCTGCACACCAGGCGCCCACCATGAGGAACCTTCCACCCCCAATGTCAGTAGTGCTGATGCTGAAAAGACCTTGCTGCAGAATCAAGCGTGTGCAGCTGACTGTATTCATTTTAGTAACTTGTCAATGGGGCGGGCGTTCGGCCTGGGAGTCAGGATGCCTGCATCCTACAGTGGAGTGCCTGAGTCTGATCCAGCTTCCTGTTCACACACACCCTGGGAGGCAGCATCGATGGCTTAAGTGGTTGGACCCCTGCCACGCACCTGCACTAACTTCAGCCTGGCCCAGCCCTGGTTGTTGTGGGCATTTGGGGAGTGAACCAGCCGATGGGCAGCTCTGTCTTGCCAAAGAGAAACAAAATAATAACTACTTAATAATTAGTAATTGCTTTAATAATGAAAGCAAAACTGTTTATAGCTCCTCTTGCAAATGTTAACCTTGGTCTCATTTTTTTCAATAATTTTCTCTGATTAAAGTTGATTAAATTTGTCTCATCCATTTTTCCTTGGTGGAGGGGACAATGCACTTTTTTTCAAACAAGATATTTTGACAGATTCACTGAATCACGGTGTTTGAAGAGCCCGTGTTTGTGAGGTCGGGTGTGGCAGGTCTCTGGATGGCTTGTCTGTGAGGCTGCCTCAAGGCGGAAGGCCCGCCTGGTTGGGTGGCACTACCGTTTCTATGCAGCTTCCTTCCGCTGTTAGAGCCCAGCCTTACAACTCGGGTGCGCATGCGCTATGTGCTTTGTGGTCCTTGTTCTTCAAACAAGGAAATAGGTTCAGAGACAAGGTTAGGTCAGGGCCCAAGTCAAGCCCCTTGGCCAAAGTCGCACAGTGAATATTTGGACCTCAGAGCTGGACAGCCCTGATTTGTTCCCCCATCGAATTTGCCTCCACTCTGGAAAAACGGCCCTGAATCTAGGAGAGATTTGCAAATTCTCAGAACTGTCTTGATTCTCTGCTAGTGGGCTCCCCTTCCTACTGACTCCCCACCTCCCACCACACACCCCAAGCTCCCCCAGAAGCCTCCAGAGTCGAGCGTCCCTAATTTATGCAGGGCAGCTTCCCAGGTCCTCCAAACACCCTTTCCTGCTCCACGTCCTGGAGCACTTTCCCCAGGGTGGGGCTGACAGGAAGTCCGTGAATGCTGACTGGAGAAGTGGTCATTGGCCAGGAGCCATCACAGGGGGTGGCCCATCCGTCCGTCAGACTCCGCGAGTAGCCCAGCCCGGGGTCACCTTCTTCACACAGAGACTTTATGAAGTCCTTTTAGCTTGAAGAGTCAGAGTTTTACCTTCAAGTTACAATAGCACCCACACCTGCCCTAAATACCCAACGCCTCCTAGCACTGGTTCCCTAGAGAGATGCACCGGCCTGGCCCGCGGTGGCTCCTCTCCCAATTCCCGCCTGAGAAACTTGGAAAACCGACCCAGGTGGGCACACCGGGACTTTCCTGAGCGCGCAGTTTAAACTGAGATATTTGCATTTCACAGACCCTGAGAACAGGCAAAGGCCTTTCCTCCCAAGACAGTGGTGGCCCAAAGCTCTCTGGAACAACCTCCTGTAGGACGCACTCCAGGCTGGGCATCTTCACGGGGCTCAGAGAAAGGGGGCAGCGTGCGCCTCCTTTGCAGGCCAGCACAGGGCACTCCAGAGCACGGAGGGACCCTACCAGCCCACATTCCTTCCACCTTCTTTTCTTTCTCACAGAATCCGAATATGAGACTTCAGAAGATTTTGGTAAGAATCGACCTTTATAACATCTCTAACAGAGTGCCCACAAAAGCCCAGACCTTTGTTGTATTTACCGAGGTAACCCAGTGCGGGAGGTCGGGGAGGGGCAGGAGACAGTGAATCTAATCAGTAGGTTTCCCGGTGGGGAGAGAGAAGCCTTTAACCATGCAGGAAACACTCTTGTCACCCAAATGTATTTTAGAAAATTACGGAGTGAGGCTATGACATATGCTCTACCAAATTATGATTCAAAGATGCAGCAGAACCCAGGCTGGACTGAAGAACATCCTACCTTCAGACCCCTGAATGAGGGCGGAAGGGCAGTGAGGGGGGGCCCAGGACACTCCCTCTCTCTCCATCCCAGTTAGCAAATTCGAGATGAATGGAGAAAGCACCCCCTTCCTTAGAGGCCCCATTACGAGTTCCATCAGAACACACTTGTGGGTGCAGATGCTGAGACTAGTGGTCTAGTCCCAGGGCTCACTCTGGGCTCCCGCCTTCAGCTTCTCACCAGCTCAGACACTGGAAGGCGACGGTGATGCCAAGAACCCCGTGTTCCTCTCCATTCCCGGTGGGAGCCCTGGACTGCATTCCTGGCTCCCGGCGTTGGACTCAGCCCAGCCTCTGCCATTTTGGGCATTTGAGGAGTGAACCAGCAGATGGGAGCTCGCTCGCTCTCTGCTTCTCAAAATCAAAACAAAAAAACTTCTATCAGCACTCGATCCTTTTTCCTTGCTGGCAGAAGGTGTGGTCACACTGATCTAGTTATAAGAGCAGTCCCTGAGTGGCTCTGAGCTGCCCAAGGCAGAACTAACCGCTCACCCACTGCTGGCCAGAACCTCCCAGTCCGCAGAGCACTTCCTGACCCGCCGGCGGCTGCGTGGGGCCCTCACAGGTGCATTGACCCTAGTACGTGCGGGCGGGCTGTTTGCTTAGCAGTGACACCACGCTCCTTCCTCTCTGCTCTTAGACGCCGAGTTCCTAAGGCCGTTTCCCGATGGTAAGTCGAGCTTTTCTACCTCCTCGTGTGATGCGGTGTGATGGATCCTAAGCTTCTAAGTGGTGGGCGGCTCTCCAACCGTACAGAGCCCACTGCATGGGGCGGCTTCAGCTGAGGCGCCCTACGCATTCTCCTGGCTCCTGGACCTGTGCTGCTCTGGGTTTTACAGCGCCCTGAGGAAGGCTCTGTCCTCCTCCCCGGGCTCTTCTCCCAAGCCTCCACGTCACTTTTTAGGAAAAGTATCCCCCAGTCCCGCCCCGTTAGGCATCCTCAAAATACTATGAACGCTCCCCTTTGCTTCTCAGTGCTGGGCACACTTGCAAATCTGCACCAGTTTTGCTTCCTCTGGACTTTGAACTAGACTCAAAACTCTGGGACGGCAAGCGCCAGCCCTGTCTGTCAGCTACAGCACCCCAGGGCTAGCCGCTGTGACCCACCTGAGCTTAGTAAATGCTTGCTGTGCGGATAAACCCAGGGGTACTTGCAGAATACGTTCCTTCTGGCATGCAATGCGTGTGTGTTTCTCTGGAAGACTGGCCACAGGTGCAGCTGGTGAACGGTTCCAGCAGATGTTCCGGACGCGTGGAAGTTTTCCACCAGGGCCAGTGGGGCAGGGTTTGCGATGACCTCTGGGACATGAACGACGCCCGCGTGCTGTGTCGGCAGCTGGGCTGTGGACGAGCCCTCGCTGCCCCCGTCGAGGCCCGATTTGGGGAAGGCGGTGGGGAGTTTCTGCTGGATGACGTGGAATGTATTGGAGGAGAGAGCTTCCTGGGACAGTGTCCCCACGCTGACTGGCGCCTGCACAACTGTGGCCCTGGAGAAGACGCCAGTGTCATCTGCGCAGGTACCGGCGGTTCTGCCTCCCTAGGCGCGCATCTCGTTGTCCAGGTTATAGCTCCAGTGCGTGCACCTGCGTAATCGCAGACGGTCTCTACCACTTATGCAAGCCCACGGTAAAGAGACTTGGTGACGTGAGCACTTCGATGTGAGCCCAGGGATTTATTAGCCACAAGATGTTGAAATGGATTTATACTAAAAAAAAATAGTGTGGGATAGACATGGTTTCCTTTCAAGGATGAGATTTCAAAGGACATAAATGAACAGTGATGTGACGGCACGTGTGTCCCACCTTTCCGCAGGTCACTGAGATAAACTAAGAGATGGTTTTCCCATCAAATGTTCTGCAGCCTGATCAAAGTGATGGAGCCAGTTGCCTCCAGTGGAGAGCCACTGGCCTCGATACACAAATGAATTCCCACCGAATGTGTGACGCAGTCTCAGCCCACTACCAATGCCTAGGGCAGCAACACGCGTGCCGATGGGGGGAAAGGAAATAATTCAGCAATGCTACAGCAGTACAATTCCTAATTGCTTTCCACCAGAAAGACCGTTTCCACAGGCCACTGATTAGCTTGTCAAGCAAGTTAAACTACTTCTCTGTTACTGGGGTGCGCTTGTGTGTGTTGGGTGTTTTCATTAAGTTTTTGTTCCCATTTTATTCTTTAAGGTTAGTTGGGGTTTTGGTGAAGAAGTCCTCCAGAGCAGTCTATTCTGCAAAGCCACAGGTTGTGTGACGCTGTGGGGCTGGGGACACCTGGGTGCAGGTGCCAGGAGGGTCTGTCTCCTGGGAGGAGGCGTCAGAGCTGCACAGTGGTCCAGGCGCAGCCACATCTGGATCTGACACTGTTCTTAGACACGCTGTGCTGATGAGTATCAGTGCTGATAAATACTGCTGGTTAATTAATTAAAGTCACCCAAACTAAGGTGGGGAGAGTCAACATTCTCACTTCCGGGAGTCCTATTCCCTCATTTAAATTCATTTCTAACTGAAGCATCTAGAAACATCCACCGCTTTCTGAAGTAGATCTTTCCCTGTGTGTTGACAGAGTCCGGGCACGTAGAGCCTGAACCAGGTAAGCTCAGGCTGTGGTTTCATGTGCCTGACGTTTGCATTCTAGAAACTGCCGGGCAGGTAACAGGGAGACAGCAAGTGAGTGAGGGGGGAGGGGTTGGAAGGGCACATGTGGGTGGTCAGTATTTCCATTTCTGCATGGCTAGGCCGTCACGATAACCCTGCCCTTAACTGAAAGTGCTGTTGGGACCATTTTCTTCCTTCCACGGAATTAGCTTTATTGTCCTGTCACTCACAAGAGTTTTAGTCATTTTCCAGTGTTGCTATTTTCATGTTGCCAGCCGGCCGCAGCGTGCCGGCCGCGGTGGCCATTGGAGGGTGAACCAACGGCAAAGGAAGACCTTTCTCTCTGTCTCTCTCTCTCACTGTCCACTCTGCCTGTCACAAAAAAAAAAAAAAAAAAAAAAAAAAAAAAAGCCTTGTTCTGACCACCATGCTAAGGGGGATGTGGATACACTGTGTCGCTCACGTGAGGGGTCAGTGTGTGTTCTTCCCCACTCCTTGGGGCTCAGGGTGGCTGGGGAAGGGGTGTGCCCTGAGTGCCTTTATTTAGCTCGTTGGCATTCTAGTTGACCCCAGAGCCCCAACCCCTCCCTCACAGAGAAGGCCGGAGCTTCCCTGCAAGTGCCCCAGGTAGGCAGCACTTCCACGCTGAGTTTGCGCGATGGTTTCTCTCGCCTGTCACTTCCACGCAGAGTTTGCGCGATGGTTCCTCTCGCCTGTCACTTCCACGCTGAGTTTGCGCGATGGTTTCTCTCGCCTGTGTGACCTCGCGGTGTTTCCTGTCCTCGTTGTGCCTCAGTGACCTCATCCAAGAAACAGGGGCGCCCCCTTACCTGCAGGAGCTGGCAGGGGATCTGTGTCGAGCTCTCGGAAGAGAGCCGGTGCAGTGGACACTCAGTGGGTGCACCCTGCTTCCCTGCCTCGTGTCCTGCGGAAGGCTACTGTGCCAGGACCAGGGGCGTCTGCCCCATGGCTGTTGGCGAGCAGCCAGGGCCGCCTTGTCACAACTCCTCCCCAGCCCTGGTGACCACCAGCTGCTTTCTGCCCCTGTGGGTTTCCCACTCAGGAGGCTTCCCATCGAGGGAATCACACCATGTGCAGCCTTTCATGCCTGGCCTAATGTTTTTGAGGCTGCTGGTTCCTTTTTAAACTTTCCATTTTGAATAAACTTGTATCGCAATAATCAAATTCTTCTCCTGGAACCCGGATGAAGAGGGTGCTGTTCAGTATGAAATCTCAGGAGTCCATCTCTTTGTGTGATTTTTTTCCAACAGATCTCTCAGCTTCTGCTTCCTCAGGAGACATTGACGACCCAGCCATGTCATCCGGTAGGCCAGTGAGCTGGGAGTGAAAATGGTGACCCATGAGTGTGATTCGTTGTTGTGTTGTGTCCAGCACTATGAGGCACACATTATGTCCAGCATTGTAAGCCCTATCGAAAGGAGGAGTCCAAGTTCAGGGCCATTAGGAAATTCATTGTCGAGGGATGTAGGACCATGCGTGGTGCCCAGTGTCGCCTGCACTAGACCCCGAGGCAAAGATTTGATCTCTTGTGCCCATCACTGTATCCCTAGCACCTCTCACAGTGCTTGATACATGATGTTTATTGCGTGGATGTTTATTGAGTGAATAAGCCAATGTCCAGGTAGTGTGTGTGTGGACAGGGTGTTTGGTGCCTGCTGGGGCAGCTTTGTTGTTGGCCAAGAACTATCTTGCTAGACAGTGAGTCGTGGGACAACAAGAAACATTCATCACGCTGACAAATGCCAGGAGCCCCCGGTTGTCCAAATATCCCTGTTCAGAGAGCAGTGTGAGAATCTCACGTGTGGACGAATCAACGAAGCTGACCCTTCTAACGAGTGCTTTTATGTTCCAGTCTCAGCAGGTAATGAAGAGTCACCAACAGTCTTGTCAGGTGAGACGTCATCAGCCCTCTAGATACGCAGCCTGCAATTAGACAGGACGTACAGGCAGGTGAGCCGCCAGCTTGTGCGAGGTCATCCAGGACATCCTTATGAACACAGGGATTTCCTGCCGTGTTTGCCCAGGTCTTCACTAACTTTCTGCCACTGAGCACCGCTGTGCAGCAGAACCTGGGGTTTAACGCAGGGGTAAAAGGGGGAAAGGCGTTTGGGGACAGCAGGATCCCATTTAGGAGCTTTCTGTCAGCAGCGTGAACTTGGAAATCTGGTCGTGCACTACGATGCCGGGACCCATACAGATGCCGGGTTCTTTGCCCGTAGCATTGCCATTGGCTCTTTGCTAGCTGCCAGCTGAGTCCTAACCCCCATCTCCGTGTTATTCCAGTGCTACCTGTGGCTGACTCAGCCCCTGCCAGCCCTGGAGCCGACGTGTCAGGGCCTGGCCTACCAGGTAAGCCCCCTTCCCTTCTGCCGGTGGGCCCCACCGTTGCTCTCGTGAACCCCTGGGGGAAGGAGCTTGGGGAGCAGAGCAGTTGGAACCACAAAGTGCACAGGGGAGGTGCTGTCCGTCGCCAGCCTCCGGGGTGGGCTGGCTAGCGGACCTCCAAGCAGCCTAATCTCTGGCCACTCTCACTTTCCTGCTGTTCCAAGGAAACACTTATAAAGTTCAGGAAATCACAGAATCAGAAGCTGAAAGCCACGTCACCCCTACTGAGACAGGACTGTTGCTTACGTTTCCTTGCGCTGGTTTTCCAGCCTTACCAAGAAACGAAACAGCGAGTCTTGGAGCTCTCGACACTTCCTAATAGCAGCCTCTCCTCTCCTTCCTCATAGAGAAACACTCTCTTAAATTTTGTGTACTTCCTTGGCAGGCACCGCGGCTCACTAGGCTAATCCTCCGCCTGTGGCGCTGGCGCCCCAAGTTCTAGTCCTGATTGGGGCACTGGTTCTGTCCTGGTTGCTCCTCTTACAGGCCAGCTCTCTGCTGTGGCCCAGGAGGGCAGTAGAGAATGGCCCAAGTGCTTGGGCCCTGCACCTGCATGGGAGACCAGGAGGAAGCACCTGGCTCCTGGCTTTGGACCAGCGCAGCGCCGGCCGTAGCGGCCATTTGGGGGGGTGAACCAACGGAAGGAAGACCTTTCTCTCTGTCTCTCTCTCTTACTGTCTAACTCTGCCTGTCCAAAAAAAAAAAAAAAAAAAAAAAAAAAAAAATTGTGTACTTCCTTCTAGTCCATTTCTTAATATTTTATGTATACAAATTAGATTATTTCAACATGTTATTTTTTTCCCTTCATACCATTTGTATGGGTTCTTCTTTACCCAATGTCTGTTTCTGTTGTTGTCCATGTTGGTGTGTGCTTGTGTGTGTGTTTGCACTGTGGTTTCACTGTTCCTAACTGCTAGGCAGTATTCCGGTTTTTGGATATACTGCTTGACCCAATCCATTTCCCCACAGATGGAAGAACATTTTCCTAAGTTTTCGGGTCTACTGGGCTAATGCCAAGTTCTAAAGCAACGGTGCATGGGAAATACCCGTTCTGCATCTGACCTGCTTTGTTTAGTGACTAGCAGAGCACATCGCATTGTAGTGTCACCATAGAGCACTCTTTCCAGAATGCTCCTCCTCATCCGTAAGCCAGGCAGATGGGGCGGGTTCAACAGGTGAGTGTCACAAAGGAGGCCCCCATTCTGCTCCCGCAGAGGCCTGGCCGGCGCTGAGGCTGGTGAACGGCTCGGGAAGATGCTCCGGCCGAGTGGAGGTTTGCTACCAGGGCACCTGGGGGTCGGTGTGCGACGACGGCTGGGGGCTGAGCGAGGCCCAGGTCGTGTGCAGGCAGCTTGGGTGCGGCCCAGCCCTGTCTGCCCCGCTCGGTGCCCACTTCGGCCCGGGCTTCGGAAGGATTCTCCTGGACAGCGTGCGTTGCACTGGCGAGGAAAGCCGCCTGGCCCTCTGTGCCCATGACAGCTGGTTCACGCACGACTGTGGGCACGGAGAGGATGCTGGAGCCGTCTGTGCTGGTGAGGGTTGGCTTCCAAGTGGCTCCTGGGCGGACAGGGTCTGTGACCCCTCCCGGGGGGCTGATGTCGTCCTCTCTCTGCCTCCACAGGTTCTCTAACAGAAAGCCCCTCCCCTCCAGGTAAGACTCTCTGGGGCTATTTCTGGGTCCCATTCGACACACTTTTGGTTCACTTTGCTAATATTTATTCATTGAGATGGAAATGGAATGAAACTGGGCTTGCTACATTGAGTGCACAGGGTCTAGGTTAATCCATAGTCACTCCAGGCCTACAAGGCTTTCCTGGTTGACATTCCAAACCCCACGGGGACTTGGACCACAGCCATGCTCCTGCAGCTCATGGACACCGAGGCTCTCTTTCTCAGGTAAACTGCCCATCCCAGCCCGAGTAGCTCCCCTCTAAGGCAGCTGCCCAAGGGTACATTCCAGGACCCTTTGGGGTGAGGCTTGGCAGGGGGCTCAGCACTGAAGACCACTAGCAAAGAAGTTGAGAATTAGCTCCCAACGCGTATTCTCTTGGGCCAGAGCCTTCCCACATTGGAGATGTCACAGGGCAGCTGCAGGTGAGACAGGAGTTTTCTGAGGCCATTGACTGCTGTGTCAGTGTTCTTCGCTTCAGGACATGGTCACCTGTGACCTGGCCCTCAGTCATCACAGAGTTCTCAGGCACTTTTCAGAGGGATCCGGTCAGAAAATTGTCCTTCTGAAATCTGGAAAAAACACATTTTTCCTAACAGACAAAAAAAATTGACATCAGTTGAAAATTTTACCCTTGGGTTGTTTCAAGGTCCATCTGCCACTCAGTGATACCAGAGAACATTTCAGTTACTTTTTTTTGTACTAAAGCAGCAGTTTTCAAACATTATTGTACATCAGAATCGCTTGGAGGGCTCCTGGGCCCACCCTCAGAGTCGTGATTCAGTAGGTGTAGGGTGGAGTGTGAGAATTTATATTTTTAATAAGCCTAGGCTGTGTATGCTGCTTGTCTGAGGCCACTTTGAAAACCACTATCTTAAAATATGACAAAAACAATATTTTTATCCTAATAAATAGAAGCAGAATCTTCACTGTCATCATTATCATCCTCCTCGACATTGTCATCTTCATCATCATCATCATCATCATCGCTACGGTCCTCACTGCCACCATCACCATCACCATCACTGCCACAGCCATCACTGCCATCATCATCATCTTCATCATCATTGTCTTCGTCATCATCACCATCACCTTCATCATCATCTTCACCATCATCACTGCCACAGCCATCACTGCCACCACCATCACCACCATCACCATCATCATCACTGCCATCATCATCATCACTGCCACCACCATCATTGCCATCATCATCATCTTCATCATCACTGCCACCATCACCATCACTGCCACCACCATCACTGCCATCATCATCATCTTCATCATCACTGCCATCTTCATCATCATTGTCTTCGTCATCATCACCATCACCTTCATCATCATCTTCACCAGCATCACTGCCACAGCCATCACTGCCACCATCATTACCATCCTCCTCCTCACCATCATCTTCATTGTCACCATCATCGCTGCCACCATCATCATCATCTTCTTCATCATCATCTTTACCATCATTACTACCACAGCCATCACTGCCACCACCACCACCACCACCACCACCATCATCATCATCACCATCATCACTGCCACAGTTGTCACTGCCACCATCGTCATCACTGCCATCATTGCCATCATCACTGCCACCATCATCATCATCATTGCCATCATCACCAGCCTCACTGCCACAGTCACCACTGCCACCATCATTACTATCCTCCTCCTCATCGTCTTCACTGTCACCATCATCATCATCTTCACCATCATCACTGCCACAGCCATCACTGCCACCACCATCACCATCATCATCATCATCACTGCCATCATCATTATTGCCAGCATCGTCATTTTCACTATCACCATCATCACTGCCACCATCACCATCACTGCCATCATCACTGCCACCTTCATCACTGCCACCATCATCATCTTCACTGTCACCAGCATCATTGCCATCATCATCATCTTCATCATCACTGCCACCATCACCATCACTGCCGTCATCATCATCATTGTCTTCATCATTATCATCATCACTGCCACAGCCATCACTGCTACCATCATCATCTTCACTGTCACCAGCATCACTGCCACAGTCATCACTGCCACCATCATTACCATCCTCCTCCTCACCATCATCTTCATTGTCACCATCATCGCTGCCACCATCATCATCATCTTCTTCCTCATCATCTTTACCATCATTACTACCACAGCCATCACTGCCACCACCACCACCACCACCACCACCACCATCATCATCATCACCATCATCACTGCCACAGTTGTCACTGCCACCATCGTCATCACTGCCATCATTGCCATCATCACTGCCACCATCATCATCATCATTGCCATCATCACCAGCCTCACTGCCACAGTCACCACTGCCACCATCATTACTATCCTCCTCCTCATCGTCTTCACTGTCACCATCATCATCATCTTCACCATCATTACTGCCACAGCTACCACCACTACCACCACCACCATCTTCACCATCACCATCATCAAAAACATCACCATCACTGCCATCACCATCCTCGCTGTCACCATCATCACTGCCACCATCATCATCTTCACTGTCACCAGCATCACTGCCACCATCATCATCATCTTCTTCACCATCATCACCGCCACAGTCATCACTGCCACCACCACTACCACCATCACCACCATCACCATCATCATCATCATCACTGCCATCATTATCATCTTCACTGTCACCATCATCATCATCACCATCATTACTACCACAGCCATCACAGCCACCACCACCACTACCACCACCACCATCATCTTCACCATCACCATCATCAAAACCATCACCACTGCCATCATCATCATCTTCATCATCACCATCATCACTGCCACCACCACCATCATCACCAGCATCATCATCACTGCCACCACCATCATCACTACCACCACCATCATCATCACCATCACCATCATCACTCCCATCACCACCATCACCACCACCACCATCATCACTGCCATCACCATCATCATCATCATTGTCATCATCACCATCATCACTGCCACAGTCACTACCACCACCACCATCATCACCACCACCATCATCACCACCACCATCATCACCATCACCATCACCATCATCACTGCCATCACCATCATCACTGCCACAGTCACCACCACCATCATCACCATCACCATCATCATCACTGCCATCACTGTTAGCATCCTCAATACCAGCACTACCACTATCACCATTGTCATCAAAACCTGTTCTGTCTGGTAAGTAAAGATTTGTATTCATGAACCACTTCCCTAGTTCTTTTTGGATTATGTATTTTTATTGCTTATTTATATGTAAAGCTTACTATCCAAATAATATTGAAGTAAATTGTTAACATTTCTGCAGACCACGGGGTATCCAGTATAATAGAAATAGGTTTCTATAGATGAATTAGTTTTCTTCTTTTAAGATTTATTTTCATTTATTTGAAAGACAGAGTTACAGAGAGAGGTAGAGACACACTGAGAGAGCTCTTCCATCTGCTGGTTCACTCCCCAGATGGCTGCAACGGCTGGAGCTGAGCTCATCTGAAATCAGGAGCCAGGAGCTTCTTCCTGTTCTCCCACAAGGGTGCAGGGGTCCAAGGATTTGGCTCATCTTCTACTGCTTTCCCAGGCCACAGCAGAGAGCTAGATTGGACGAGCAGTAGCCAGGACTAGAACCAGCACCCAAATGGGATGCCAGCACTGCAGGTGGTAGCTTTACCCACTACGCCACAGCGCCAGCCTCTGAAGTAAGGTTGTATCCATGGCCTCTTTGTCTGACAGCCACAGTCCTGATCCAAGGCCTCATTACCTCTTCCTGCCTGGATGACCACAGACTTCTCCTAACTGGCTTCCACACCTGTGGGCTTCCCTCATGGTAGTCTTGCATGTATATGAAGCCAGAGTTACCTTTTGTTAAGGCTGGGCTTACTGGGGTGTGGTTTACCTATAGTGTAAACCACCAGGTAGCTCAAAGAATTTTAATCAGTGGTTAAAGTGTAACTCTCAGCGCCATCAAGATAGAGTGCATTTACCTTGTCTGGTAAGGTTCCCTGTGCCCCTTTCTAGTTAACCCTGTTGCCTGACTCCTGCATCCTGGCAGCCACTCATATGATTTCTGCCCTGTAGGTTCTCTTTTCCTGAGTATTACATGATGTGATCAGACAGTTCTTAATGTTTTGTGTTGGGACTCCTCGCAAAATGCTTTTGAGATTCAGGTACCAAACATTCTTTTTTATTGCCGAGTATTAGTCTACCGTGTTGATGTACCAAAATTTGTTTATCCGCTCACCACTTGATGGACCTGGAGTTTGTTTCCAATTTCTCCCATTATGAATAAACCCACTAAAGATATTCATGTGCAGGTGGTAAGCCACTTTCCAAAGTGACTGTGCCGTTCTGCGTTCCTTCCACCAACGTGTGAAAATTCCAGTTGTTCTGTATCCTTGCTGGTACTTCGCGCTGTCTGCTCTTTAATTTGGCAATTATAGAATCTCTAATGAGGTGGTGTCTCTGTGTGGTTTTGATTTGCATTTCCCTGATGACTAATGAGCTGTATATAGACGGAACACAGTTCAAACCAAAAATCCCAGAAGGCATTTTTGCAGAACTTGACAAATTGATTTTTTGTTGGGAATCACCACAGATGTTTCTTGTGCACGTCACATGTTTTTTCTTTGCCTATTTGCATCTCTTTGTTGAAGTGCCTGTTCACATCTTTTTTAAAAACCTGGATTATCTTCTTGCTGTTGGAAGACAGTTGCTTCTCTATGATAGATACATGTACTTTATCAGGTAGGCATTTGCAAATATTTTCTCCCAGTCTGTGACTTGTCGTCTTTTCATTTTATTAACAGTATTTTCTGAAGAACAGAATTTTAAGATTATAATGAAGTCCAGTTAACTAATATTTTGACTTACGCTTTTATGTTTTATCTAAGAACTCTTTGCCCACCCAAAGATATTCTAAATTCCTTGTTATTTTTCTTCTAGAATTTCCATAGTTTTAGGGCATGAATTTGAATTTATCATCCTTTTAAAAATTATTTTTGTATGGTTTAAGATATGATTCAAAGGTCTTTTTTCACAAAGATGCCTAATCATGCCAACACTAGTTAAGTTCTCCTATTCTCACTGGCATACCTTGATCATTTTGCCAAAACTTAACCAGCTGCATAGATGTGGTCCATTTCTGAGTTCTGTGCAGTGACTGACTACCGCTGTGCCCCACCACTGAACTTTAAAGAAGTGTTGAAATCACACAGTGCGAGACTTCCAACTTTACTCTTTGGCTAACCTAAGTTTTTTGCCTTTCATATAAATTTTATTTTTCTAGCTTTATTGAGGCACAACTGATAAATTAAAAATTATAGGTACTAAGATATAAAAATATTTCTTTGATAAAAGTGTGCCTATGTAATGATTCTCACCAACAGAACAACTATCAATGTGTACAAAAATGCCTTCTGAGATTTTAAATTTGGGTTGTATTCAGTCTACAGATAAATTTGAGAAAAATCGACATCTTAATATTGAGTTTTCTTTTCCATCAATACAGTACATATTTTCATTCTATTTAGGTATTTATCTCAATATCCATATCAATTTCACACATATTTGTTGCTTATCTATAATAATTTCATGGGTTTTGGTGCAACTATAGAAGGCACTTAAAAAAAACTTTAACTTCAATATCTGTTTTTTGTTGCTAGTGAATTATTTTTTCCAAAAATAATGAAGTACTTTTTAAATTTGGACTGTTATAACATTTTTTTAAAGATTTATTTATTTATTTGAGAAGTAGAGTTATAGACAGTGCGAGGGAGAGCCAGAGAGAAAGGTCTTCCATCCACTGGTTCACTCCCCAACTAGTCGCAATGGCCAGAGCTGCACAGATCCGAAGCCAGGAGCCAGGTGCTTCTTCCCGGTCTCCCATGTGGGTGCAGGGGCCCAAACACATGGGCCATCTTCTACTGCCTTCCCAGGCCACAGCAGAGAGCTGGATGGGAAGTGGAGCAGCCGGGACTCGAACCGGTGCCCATATGGGATGCCAGAGCTTCAGGCCAGGGCTTTAACCCACTGCACCACGGAGCCGGCCCCGTATTATAACATTTAGAATTTATTCTTGGTTTATAAAACTCTCTCCTACTCATGATCAGATCTATCCCCAGCATTTTAGGTCAGGAAACTGAAGTTTATCTGAAGTACGATGGATAAGAACTAGAGCTCAGGTTGGAACAATCACGCCTTTCGCTTGGAAACTCACTGGGCCCTCAGAACTGGTTTCTTAGATCACGTTCTGCGAAGGCTCCGTAGCACGAGCTGGCGTGCCAGGGAGCTTTCCCTCTACCAGCTTCGGCGTCGTTGCTCCGGGGCGCGTTCGTCACTGACTGCTGCTTTCTTTCCATTGTAGCTGCGGAAACAGCACGGGCATCCATCACCTCTGTGGAGATGCAACCAGCACCAGGTATGGCAAAATGCGTCATCTGAGGGTCAACACTGAAGCCTTATAGCCTACAGGTGACCATTTTTGGGAGAGAGTTCCTGGTGAGGGCAATCTGAATGAAATGGAAATTCCCTGACAAATGCTGCTACTCATTCCCAGCCTCTCCTGGACCGCAGGTGGTGAGACAGGCCCGTTTCTGAGGCTCTGCTTCTGCAGCTGCTGGCTCCCAAGACGGCAAGTGACTCGCACCTGCCCTGGCCCACATGCACACACCCAGATCTGTGGTCCCCTGAGGCTGGGAAACTGTGATAGACCGACCAAATGGGCTTCTCTATGATAAGGTGTCTATGAAATTAACCCAGTCCCTTTTCCTCTGTCTCTTAGGAAGTTTTCTGTATAAGGTGAGTTAAGGAAACTGGAAAGCCTGGTGTCTGGGGTGAATGCAATGCTACTAAGATATTCTAAGCAAATTAAAATGCGTGCTGTCTCATCTCTCTGCGTTTCTAAAATTGAGGCTGCTGCCCTCCAACTGTGGTGACCCCTCCTCTCTCCTGCACCTGTCCTGCCGTGGCTTCCATGCTGCGTCTCTCTGGGGAGCTTCCCCTGTCCCCACAAGGAGGGGTGGCCCCGTGTGCGTGCACATCCTTCACAATCCACCCCAGACTCGGTTACCTCGTGCTTGCTGTGACCGAATGAGAAGCTTTTTGAAGTTTTATTTATTTATGTGAGAGACAGACATCGGCCACCTGCTGGTTTACTCCCCAGATGCCCACAACAGCTGGGGCTGGACCAGGCCAAAGTCATGAGGAGCTCAGAACTCAATCCAGGTTCCCCATGTCGGGGGCAGGGTCCCAGCTTGTGGAGCTTAGTACCTGCTGCCTCCCAGGTGTGCATCAGCTGGAGCTGGAATTCGAGTGGAGCTGCACCTGCAACCCAGGCGCTCGGATCTGGGATTGGGTGTCCCAATGACATCTTCACTGCGTCACCAAACACCTGCCCCCCAGTCTTAGCCTTTTAAAAGCAGGCAGGCTCCTTAGTTTCTTGGCATTCGCGTGTGGTTTTTGGATGAATGACAGCACACAGTATTATTTTTTATTTTTAAATAAATCTTTTTATCTTAAAGATTTATTTATTTATTATTTATTTGAAAGTCAGGGTTGCACAGAGAAGGAGAGGCAAAGAGAGAGAGAGAGAGAGGTCTTCCATCCGCTGGTTCACTCCCCAATTGGCCACAATGGCCAGAGTCAGATCTGATCCAAAGCCAGGAGCCAGGAGCTTTCTCCAGGTCTTCCTACGTGGGTGCAGGGACCCAAGCACTTGGGCCATCTTCTACTGCTTTCCCAGGCCACAGCAGAGAGCTGGATCGGAAGAGGAGCAGCCGGGACTAGAACCGGCGCCCATATGGGATGCTGCACTGCAGGTGGCAGGCTTACCCACTACACCACAGCACTGGACCCTGCACACAGGATTATTAAAGAGGCTGTTTTCATTTCCTTAAATGAGATGCCCTTAAATTCCTCTTCTATTTGTAGAATATTTGTATCTACTGAGCAAAGAATTCCAGGATAAGTTTACCATGAGCATATCACGGGTTAAGAGAAAGTGAATGGTGATGATGGTGACTGGGAGGAATCGAAAGACAGAGAACAAGGTGTCGGAAGGATATGGAGCCTGAGGGTGAGTCTGTGCTGCCTTAATTCTCTGCACCCTACTGCCTGACAGTACCTAAGTGTGCTGTCCCTGTAGCTGACGCCGTCTCCTAAGTGTGCTGTCCCTGTAGCTGACGCCATCTCCTAAGTGTGCTGTCCCTGTAGCTGATGCCGTCTCCTACGTGTGCTGGTCCTTTAGCTGATGCCGTCTCTGGACCTCCACCGAGCATGGCCCTTGAGCACTTCAGTCCCCCTCCCACTTAGGGCTGATGGACAGCAGTGAGAGTGGCGTTGCTCCAGACTGGGGGTGACCGCAGCACAGCCCAGGGGGACACGGCCCACGTACCAGCTGTGGGGTTTGGAGCAATCTTCTAAGCCCTTCTCAGCCCCAGTTCCTCCGTCTGAGAAACAGGGGGCCCACCCCTGGTGCCAAGGTTGAGAGACGTCTAAGGCAGTGGTTCTCAGGCACTGAATTCACAAACAACGAATGCTGCTTCCATGTTCAGTCTCCTTTGCACGGAGAAACCATAAAGTGAGGTTTTCTGGGACCCAAAGGATCGAGTCCTCAAGACTCAAGTATTTCTGGGTGACGAGAACTCCGTAGCTGCGATCTGCCCATGACTTCCGGTTTACGAGTTCCTCGGCTGTATTAGCGTCTCACGTTGCTATTCCTCTCCATGGAAAGGAAATTCTATGGTAAAGCGCTCCTGTTAGGAGAAACTTAGAAGTTCTGGAAATTTCCTGCAGAGACTGGATTTGGAGGGGAAGATATAGCTAAGTCTCATTAGCATTTGCAATCGATCATCATCCTGGCTTTTAATGTGTGGGGGCGTGAGAACCGCGTGATCGTGCATGTTTGTGAGACAAGGATGTGACCACACACACACACACACACACACATACACACACGCACACACAGCTGTCAGAGGTAAAGCAAACTTCCAGGGACCCAGGGCCAGTGGCCATCGCCCTCCTCTTTGTGGTTTCCCAGGAGACTGAATGGAAGTGAGGCTGCAGGACAGCACCAGGAAGTGCTCAGGCCATGTGGAGGTTCCGGTCCAGGGCACGTGGGGAACCGCGTGTGACGGCCGTTGTGTGCCGCTGTGTGGCCAGGCAGTGGCAGTCCCCATGGGAGCCCGCCTTGGGGCAGGCTCTGGGACGATCCTGCAGTGTGTGGGCAGCGAGAGCCACCTGGGGCGGTGCGTGCACGGGGGCCTGGTCCAGCACCGGGGCAGGCACCTGGAGGATGCCAGTGCCACCTGCACAGGTGAGGGGCTGCACCTCTCTGAATGTTACTGCGCATGTGCCTCTGGCATTTTCAGCGTGCACCCCGCGCACCTGCCACTCAGCTGCTGATGAGAGGGCAGCCCCCACGCCCAGCCCACGCTCTGGCACTGCGTCTGCAGAGGTTACACCTGCAGGTAGGACATCTCTGCTCGCTCCTGTGGCTTTAGGATCTGCATTTACTCAGTGGAAGACACGTCCGCAATCTACAGCCGGAGCATCTATGGAATGGCGGAGTTGTCGATTCCTCCTTACTGGGCAGCGATCACTGATTAAAAGAGGGGCAGGAAATTTACCTGAAATGGGATGTTCACTCCATCTCCTGAAATTCCAGAGAATTCCTCTCTCTGTCTCCCTGTAGTTACTCCCAGAAAATCTGAATTATAGCCCACTGATGCCTGAGTTCAATCCATTGTTACTGCATCCATTTCCAAGGTGTCCGAAGAGATTAAAAGATTTTCCTGTCTCTGTGCAAGTCAGTGAGCTTAGCATCTGCACGGTGAAATGGGCGTTTACTTTCCCACCCTGAGGAAAAAAAATGTAGGAAGAGGAGAGTGGAATTAGGATAGAGCGAAGACGTCCTACTGGGTGTGTTTGCAGACCTATCAGAAGCCTGAGAGGCCCAAGAGTGGGAGAGTGAGCAGAGACCCAGAGAGAGGCACACAGCACAGGCGTGCTCCCTGCATGGCTGCCGCGTGCTCTCCCAAGGCATGGCTTGAGGCTTAAGGCTCGCTCTCCTCAGCACAGCGTCACCAGCTGCAAGACGGAGCCGCACATCAGTTCTCCAAAACCCCAGCTAGCCAGGTTCATCATCTGTGCGAAGTTCCAAGCCCTGATTTGGTCTAACGGACCTCATGGTGGTAGTCGCGAGTGTGCTTGCTTCGTGAGGCACCGGGAGAGACAAAGCTGCTCACAAGTTCTGTGTGTGCTCGCATGGCTGCGGCAACACACGGTCTGGATAAATGAGCCACACACCAGGGCAGGGCCCAAAGTCCAGCCGCTTGCACGAACGTCCCCTGTCCAGGATCACAGGGTCACCTGCTCCGTAAGAGGGAACAGAGAGGAGGCAGCAGAGATCTTGAAGTGTGAGCATTATCACTTCATTATCGTCCTTCACATCACAGAAGCCTGAAGTCCAGCATTCGTAGGCTTTTCTGCCCTGTGCGTGTCTTCACGGCCTGCATCCTTTCATGTTTACATCGCTAGAAGCAAGACTAGACAGGAGGTACAATGGTCAACTTGATGAGCTGCTTAGATCATCTTTTTCCCTCTGTAGGGAGCGGTGGTTAAGCAGTGCTGATGCTCCCTCGTGCGGTCTTTCCAGTGTGGTCAGAGGCTCTGAGTTATCGCAGCCCTTGTTCTGCGGGTGGACACCAGGATTCTCGAAGAGGGGCCGACGCGAGGCCAGGCTGTCGCCGTTTGCCTGACAGCTAAGTTCTCTCCGCTCCCTGAGATCAGAACCAGTGTTGGCGAAAATAAGTGTGAGGAATGCCAGTGCCTAGAACAGCATACCAGGGACAGCTGTTGCCCCCTCCTCAGCCTGCGGCAAGTGCTCTCACCCACTGGAGTGGGTCGAGTTTCCTGTGAACGCTGTCTCTCATTCCGATACATTGGGGGGACAGCTTTCTCTACCTGCGTCGTGTCCCGACCCCGGCTCCCCGTCAGGTCCTGTGCTTGCATCTGGGCCCCCTGGCAGAAGACCTTCCCTGAACACCGCCATCGGCCTCGGCGCCTCATTTCCACCCCTTTCCTGCAGGTCTACTTACACTGCCTTTAGTAGCCAAGCTGCCTAGGTGTTCCTACTTGTCGCTCCCCCTCTTCGTGGAGGAACGACACAGGACCCTGCGCTGTTCTTTTGTCTGCTCGGCCCTCCCCTGGTTTGTTGCTGGTTCTTCCCGGGTTGGCTACCATCCCTTCCACCTCCGTGGAAGGGCGGTTCCCCCTGCCACTTTCCCCACTTCCGCAGGGGAGCGGCACACCGCCGGCTGGCTCTCTCGGGGGCTGCACAGGTGTTCCTTCAGATAGATGTTCCTGGTGCATGGTGTCTCTCTCCTCCTTTATAGTCCTCTTCCGCCAATCCCAACTCTGCTACCCACACGCCGAGTACGCTGCTCTCCTCCAATCAGGAGCAGGTCCTACAGTTTATTGGTGGAACTGGAGGCAGCTGTGTAGAAGCTGTTTCTCCCTTCTCAGCGCCATATTGTGGGAGAGCAGATGCATAGAATAAGTCTTAATTCCAGTAACTTAGTCTAGTCCGAGTTGCTCCCAGTTGCTCCCCACACTACTGGCCCCCAACTCAGTGACAAACTGCATGTATGCAGGGCTGCGTGTGCAGGGATGTGTGTATAGAGATGCATATACAAGGATGCGTGTGCGGGGATGCGTGTGTGCAGGGAAGCGTGTGTGGGGATGCATGTGCAGGGATGCGTGTGTGCAGGGATGTGTATGCAGGGATGTGTGCAGGGATGCATGTGCATGGATGCATGTGTGCAGGGATGCGTGTGTGCGGGGATGCGTGTGTGCGGGGGTGCGTGTGCAGGGGTGCATGTGCAGGGATGTGTGTGCAGGGATGTGCGTGGATGCATGTGTGCAGGGATGCATGTGCATGGATGCATGTGTGCAGGGATGCGTGTGTGTGGGGATGCGTGTGTGCAGGGGTGCGTGTGCAGGGGTGCATGTGCAGGGATGTGCTATTCCAGCACCAAATGTCTGTTCCACAGCTTGGATCCATGCTTTCGTGTTTCCTCCCACATCTGAGTCTATTTGACTGACTACCCTCACCAGTGGCAGTGACGCACATATTAATGTAGGGTAGACACAAGAGGCTTACTAGAAAATGAGATTTGTCACCTTAACTTTATGTTACTTCTAATGGTATTAATTTGAAAAAAAAATCACTCTAAGATAAATGGGCTGGTGCAAGGGTTCTTGCCCTGGCAAGGTTCAAACAATCCCCACTGCCCCCGTTGTCCTACCTCCCCCACCTGTGGCCTTAGGCCCAGTGCAGTGACACGGACACTCACCCGAGTCGGCCGGAGCAGCTTTGTCACTCACAGACAGGTAGCAAGAGCCATCAGGAGCCCAAGCGCCATGGCAAGGCGGTGCCCCAGGGCTCAGCCCATAGTGCATAGAGATTTGTTGGCACCTGCCCTGCTTCCCTCATGTCTGGGTGACCCCAGAAACGTTCTGCTCTGGGTTTCATATCCCGGGGGCCCCTTGGCTTGTGTCCCCAACCATCCTGTTCTAGAAGGGACAAGGAAGAAGCCAGGCTGTTCCAGACCGTTCCTCCGTAGCAGGATGTTGTGTTCTCCGCACACTCTGCAGCTACCCTGAGAAGTACAAGCTGGAGGGGTGCAGCGCTGAGCCAGCGAAAGCAGCGCAGGAACGAGTCCTCCCACAGCTGCCCTGGCGTGAAATCGGGGCAGTTCCACGGGGCCCACCTCCTGTGGCCGGGATACAAAATCCACAGGGTGAGCGGGGCGACGGCAACTTAGCGGAAGACCAGACAGTCTTGTGATTGAAACAGGCATCGCCCTGTGCTAAGCTCTCGATGACGTCCTCAGTGGGTTTGCTCTTGTTTCCGCAGCAGAGTTTCCGCGGCCTGCAGTTGTGGTTGTCTTACAGTCCTCACCGACCACAGCCCCTGAGTCCCCACAGGTGTGGAAACACCTGCTCAGGCAGCTAGGGGCCACGTGTGCACGTGCCCACACATCCATCCAAGCAAGGCGGAAAGCCACAGAGGCACATTGGGAGGTAGATCTGAATAGTGGGAAAAGCTAGAAATTCTACCTTCCAGGTGTCTGACCTCGAGCAGTTTAGGCACCACACCTGACCCTGCTTCAATTTCTAAGTCAGGTTCAGTGTCCTTTCTAGGCATGGTGGCTGGATAGCTTTTAAAAAGAGAGAGTGAGAAACAGTGTTCAACAGTGGATGGTGGGAGGCAGGCGTGTGGCCTGAAAGGTAGGCTGCAGGGGAGAAGGACCACATCCCACTGCGAGTGCTCCGGTTTCATGCCCACCTCTGACCCCTGCCTCCAGCTTCCTGCTGACACAGACCCTGGGAACCAGCAGCAATGGTTCTAGTGGCTGGGTTCCTACACCTGGGAGGGAGGCCTGGACTTAGCTCCCAGCTCCCATGTCTGGCCCCACCCACCCTGGCCATCACAGGCATTTGGAAAGTGAACCAGTGGATAGGAGTTCTCTCTCTCTCTCTCTTTCTGACTATAAATAAATAAATAAATAACTTAAAAAGTGGATGGCAGAAGTTGGGCACTGTTCAGCTCTCTCCATCATAAATCTGTAACTTATAACCGTGGGAATCAGTGTGTTAGAAAACCTCAAGTCTACGTGGAGGTGGACATTCTGGGTGTGAGGACAAGATTTAGCTCTTACCTGCACCTGCAAACATATACATAGGCCTGAGGAGTGCCGCCATGGACCTGTTGGTATTTCACGTACCTCTGTCTTTGAATTCCATGCAATGAAATTTCTTTATATTCAAAGCAATCTTGTCGGGGGCACGATTGGGTCCTCCTAGAAACTGTAGTGGATTGGAGGTGGAAGCACCTTTACGGAGAAGTCTGTAATAAACATTGCCCGTTTGACACTGAAGATGATGACGGCTCATTCTCCTGATCAGGTGTGTGATAAAGAGGCTCTGACCCAGTGGTAAGAAAGGAATAGCCCTGCCCCCGTCCGGGAGGCCAGGCCCCGGCACCCCCATCCTGTGTCTCCCTGGGAGCCTGAGTGGAGGCAAGGCTCCTCAACAGCATAGGAAAGTGCTCAGGTTCTTGTCCCGGCCATGTCGGGGACCAGGTGTGGTGACCGCTGGGACCTGCTGAGGCCACTGTGTGTGCAGTGTGGACAGGAGCCCATTTGGGGGCAGGCCCTGGGAAGATCTTGCTGGACGACGTGCAGGTGTGGGGGCAGCAGGAGCCTCCTGGGGTTGTGCCTGCACAGGGCCCTGGCTGGGCACCCCTGGGGGAGGCCGGTGTCGTGGTGGAGGTGAGTTAAGTCGTGATAGAGCTCCTCTGGGGCTAGAAGAGAAAAATCCTGCTCTGCACCCAACCAAGTGGATGTGCCCCAGATAGGCCTGGAGGTGAGCGAGAGAAGGCCCGGCGCTGGGTGCTCAGACACCAGACGGAGGCCGTTAGGGTTTCTAGGTCTCTGTTTCTCCCTTCCTTCCTTTTATTCTTTCTCTCTTCTCTCTCTTCTTTCCTGTCTTTCTTTCATTCTCAATTTTTCTTTCTCTTTTCCTCTTTCTCTCATTCCTTTCTTCTCCTTTGCCCCTCCCTCCTTTCCTTTCTTTGTCTTGCTAAGCGTTGTTGTTAGAAAATATAAATTGTCTCTAAATAATTCATGAGCTGTAATCCAATTCATGAAACTCTGGGTTTCCTGCGCGGCCGTGAAGGCGTTACCTCCCTGAGATGTCACCGCCTGTGTGTCTCTCCATAAACGTTGCGTTCGTTTTCCTGGAGGTGTTGAGTGCCCATGTGGGTAGCACTGCAGACCTCGGCACGCTGGTTTCTTCACACCATCAGGGGCTGGCAATCCGCCAGGCCCCCTCCAACCACGGAGCCGGAAGCTGCCGCCCAGCACACCCACCGTCAGGTCAATCTAATCTTTGCTCTGCAGCTCTCCCTCTTCTTAAGCCAAGGTAGCAGGGCCTGCACACTGCACCGTGTCCAGGGCACCATTCTCCTAGAATGCATGGCGAGTGGCACCATTGTGCTGGTGGCCACAGGCCGTATGTGGACAGTGAGCCCTGGGGTCATGCAGCTTGGCGGTCCATGCTGCCAGGCTCAGCCCCCGCAGGGTAGAAGAGTGGACAGCTGTTCCCTGTCACAGCACATCAGGCAGGACACAGTGCACAAGGGGAGGCAAGCCCCCATCCCCTCCCCTTGACTTCTTGGATAATTCCTAAACTCGTCTCTACGTTGGGAATGTCCAGGAGCTCAGTCAACTGAAAGAAAATCAGTTATATTGAATAAATATCTCCCAAGAGATACTTATGGTGATCAGAACAAGTTTTTAAAACTGCTTACAGAGTTACAAATTGGAAGACATTCTGTAGCATCACTATGTAGCATCCTCTTAATTTTAAGAATCTGAAAGTCAGGACCAGTGTTGTGGCGTAGCAGATAAAGCTGCTGCCTGCAACGCCAGCAACCCATATGGGCGCCAGTTCATGTCCTGGCTGCTCCACTTTTGATCCAGCTCCCTGCGAAAAGCAACCGAAAATGACCCAAATACTTGGGTCCCTGCCACCTGTGTGGGAGACCCAGATGGAGCTCCTGGCTTCAGTCTAGCTCTGGCCTTTGGGGCCTTCTGGGGAATGAACCAGCAGGTAGAAGATGTCTCTCTTTCTCTCTCTCTCCCCCTCCTCCCTTCCTCTTTGTAACTTTTAAAATAAATAAATCTAAATAAATGAAAAGGACCTGAAAGTCACAGAAGCAATCAAGCAATGATGGACGAGAGCGTGTGAAAGTGCGCAGTCCTCCCTCGATTCGTGTTTAATAGGAGAGCAGTGAAGCTCATTCCCTTCAATACGTGGCAGCATGGACAGAACAGAGCCACAGTCTGTGAGACTCGCGTTGGCAGGGGCCACACACTCACGGAACGCCCATCTGAGCTGGCTTCCAGCTGCGGCACCGCCAGGAAGAGCTGCACGCTTCCAACCTGTTACACTGATTCTGCGTCGCACTATGTGGCCCACAGAAACAAATCTATCCATTCTCTGCTCTATCCCACTTTAAGCAGCCAGTTTGATAAACAAACCAAATCAAACCAATTTGGTTTAAGCAAAAGTGGTTTCACCACGGTCAGAAAGTATAATCCCAAACTATTTAAACTGACACAGAATAACAAAGTGGCTATTCTATTGTTTTGGTTTGTACATGTATATGAAATAGTACCATAAAAAGTATAAAACTCATTGACAAATGTTGACAATGGTATAATGAGGCCCTGGGTACCCACTACTGAGATGTGTTACATCCTAATATCTTGCCCTAATTGTTTGAGATCCTTTTTATTTATGTATTTGAAAGGCAGAATGACAGGGAGCTGCCATCTTCCAGTGAACTCCTCAAATGCCCGGTCTGGGCTAGGGCCAAAGCCGGAAGGTAGGAACTCAGTCCAGGTCTCCTACACGGGGCGTAGGAACTCAGGTACTTGCACTATCGCCCTGTCTCCCAGGCTCCACAGCAGCAGGAAGGCGGATCCGGAGCTGGATCCGGGACTCAGACCCAGGCACCACGTGGGGACACACGCATTCTAACTGCTGGGCTACATGCCCGTTCCCTGGGGTCTCTTTATTTTTTATTTTTTAAAGATTTATTTTATTTATTTGAAAGAGTTACAGAGAGAGGTAGAGAAAGAGAGAAAGATCTTCCATCCGCTGGTTCACTCCCCAGATAGCCGCAACAGCGGGAGCTGCACCGATCCAAAGCCAGGAGCCAGGAGCTTCTTCTGGGTCTCCCACATGGGTGCAGGGGCCCAAGGACTTGGTCCATCTTCTACTGCTTTCCCAGGCCACAGCAGAGAGCTGGATCAGAAGAGGAGCGGCTGGGACTAGAACCGGCGCCCATATGGGATGCCGGTGCTTCAGGCCAGGGCTTTAACCCACTGTGCCACAGCGCCACCCCCCCAACCCGATCTTTTTAAAAAGTGAATGAAACAATATCTGGTTGCTGCTTTAGGTTTCCAGAAGCAGAAAATGGGGCTGCCCCAATCCCCATAGAAACCTTATATGGCTGAGGCTACTTGGAGCCCAGGTACAACCACCGAAGACCTAAACGGAAACCAAAACCACTTCATTGTCAGCCATGCTCTGTGGCCATCTGGATTGGTTTCAAAAGAAAACCAGGAAGCAGTCTGCAAGTGACACACGTGTACTAACCGAGGGTTTATCCCACAGTACTGGAGCCTCCCGTCTCAGCGAGGAATCGGCTATCTGCTGTTGGGCGAGTAGGGCAGGAAGGAAGTGTGGGAGCCGACGGATGCACCAGCGGGCGACTCGGCTCTGGCCATTCTCCCTGAGCTGCCGTCAGCAGGGTCCTGCCAGGTGTGTCCAGGATGGACCTAGCAGTGAATGAGGCCTCTCTGTTCGCACTCACAGGTCGGGTGTCGTCAGCATCCGGGACGACCACAGGACCTGCTGGATTTCCTCCCGCACTGTCTCCAGCAGGTCAGCTGGCATTTGGCGTACAGGGGTGGAGGGAGGGATCCGCGTGCCCAGCACCGAGCCGTCGCCTTCCCCCAGCTGAACCACGCTGGGCGCGGGCCACTCCCCCGGAGGACCCTCTGCTTTGGGAAGCACGAGTCAGGAATTTGCTCTGCGTGGTTGACTGTGACCTTCAGGCTGTGTCTGTTTTCAAGCCTGTGTCGTCCCAAAGCTGGGTTTCGGGGTGTCCTGATGACCAGGGGGGTTTCTCTTTGTCCCTGGGACAGGTGATGGCTTGCCTGCAGTCTCAGCCACGTCCGAGCCTACGGCTTTGCCGTCCACACCCAGGCCCCTGGCAGGTAGGTCTTTGGGGAATGGGGGGAGAAGAGGCTGAACCTGAAAGGAAGACAGTGTGATGAGCAGAGAACCAGAGGCTTTCCCCAGTCTATGCTCCCACGAACCGCGAGTCCACCCTCCCCGGTCTCACTGCTTTATAAAGACAGACACAGCCAGGAGCATTTTCCCAGCATCCCCCAACTAAAGCATGCTGAAGCCAAGATTTGGGCGCAAATACAAGGGTACTTCAAAAAGTTGGTGGAAAATTAAATGAAGAGGTAGGTTTATTTTGGTGCACAATTTTTTTGAAATCCATGCATTGTTGTCTCATAACACACATATTCCATGAAACTGAAAGCCCTTTGTATGTCTGACTTCAAATCCATGTGACTGCCTGGCCAGCTGCTGCCCAGGAGGTGGGACAATACCATCCCAGGCTACCTTCGGGCTATGGGGAGGAGAGCGTTCTTGCAAGTTAAATTACTAAGGTGTAGGTACGTCAAGGCCCCGGCCAGGAAACCTGGGAGTCGGCCCCGAGCAGTCCTCCTCTATGGTTTGGAGTATGAGATTCCCAATGGACAAAGCTTTCAGGTTTATACTTAGAAAGAGATGCGTCTGTTTGTCCCTGTGGCAGGTGATGGATTGCCTGTAAGCACACCCACAACGGAGCCCGTGGCCCTGCAATCCATGCCCACCGCCATGGCAGGTAAGTTCTTGGGGAAACGGGGGCGGGAGCCAGCATGGAGCTACTGTAACAGGATAAGCAGGCGTCTGACATTTTCACGTTATTAGCACTTCCATTCATTCTCACGCAAGCCCCCAATGAAGTTACGCTCGCTGTGTCCTTGGTTCTTACATAGTGAGCCATAGAAACATTAACTTGCCTAGAATGAGTTGACTAGAATGTGGTAAAATCAGGGTTGACCTGCATCTCTCTGACACCAAACCTACTTAGCTCACTTCATTTCGGGGACACAATATTAGAAGAAGGGAAGTTGCTAGCGACCCTCATTGCTAAGACCCAGGTCAATCAAATCCTCAGTTTGGAAGTTCCCAAGCCCGACGTCTTTCAGAGTCTTTGCCTGTTGTCTGGGTTTTCTCTGAAGCTTTTGGGGATCCGCTGTTTCTATGCTCTGAGCCTCTGTGATGCTGTCCCTTGCTCTGAGACCTTTTTCACTCAGTTTAAGCTTTTACTCTACGAGATGCTCCAAGTGCTTTGTAGAAAAATGCGATTACACGTGTTTATTTCAGCATAAAAATTTGAAATCCGTGCATTTTTTTATAATGCACGTTTTCCCAGGAACCTTCGAAGACTCCTCACAGAGACACGGGTTCATCAGTCCTTGCTGCTTCTCTGGGTTGCATTTATGTGGTCAAGTTCTCCTTTCTGATTCTGTCCCTTCCCTCTATAAATCTTTCAGGCAGATGCTGAATTGCCTATGTTGTTTGTGACTTTTTTGTCTTTACTTTTGTATATTTATGACCTTTTGTTGTATATTCAAGTTGTTTTCATGATTATCTTCCAAGTTTTTGTTAACTTTTTAAAAAGTTTTCAGCCATTTTCCTTTTTACTCTCCAGGAACACGTTCTTGTGACCTGACTTCCTTTTTCATAGCTTCGTGTTCTTGTTTCACAGACGTGGTGCCTTCTCCATCTTTGTTGATACATTTATCACAGCTTTCTGTCCAAAGCCGCCTTCTGCTCTGGGTGCTGTCCTGTTTTTTCTATTGATTTGACTTTAAACCTCTTAGGCTGGAGACTTCTTAAAGATCCGGGCATCCCCGCTGTTTGCGTCCAGGACCCAGGTGCAGCAGAGCCGGGGCAGTGAACGGCTGCATCTGGCGCTGGTTTCCCAAGAGCAGAGCAGGAGACAGCAAACACAGCAGGGTCTCCCTGCTCACTCAGCTCACCGGGTGTCTGTGAGACTGGACCCTTGTGACTTAATTTCTCCGGGGAATCAATTTCCTGGCTGTGGGTGTGGAAAAATCATAAGCTCTACTGCCAGTCTTTCAGCCAACACCCCCATTTTCACCATGGCAGTGCTGGCTAGAATACAAGCTGGTGAGTTGCTAGAACAGCTAGTGGTACTGTCTTTTGAAACAAAGACCCTTGGGTTTAAAAAAAAAAAAAAAAAAAAAACAGCATGCTGACAGCCTTCCCATGGAATCCGTGGGTCTGTAAAGCTCCTTGCTTTGTCTTGGTGTCACGGTTGTGTGCAATTTAATCTGCTTTGTGAGCCGTGGCTTAGTTCATTCTGCAAACTTTGGTGTCTGTTTCATTTCTCGGTAGCAAGTGGTTTGAGGTGAAGCTTCACGCTCTTAAGAGTGGTGTAGAAAGCTGGTTAAAGCGTGAAGTTCTACGTCTTGCATTCAGCTTTCAAAAGGTCCCGTAGACACGTCTGACCCTGGGTGGGTCTTACTGTTTCAGGGATGGCCTCCCTCACGAGCCTGGCAGTAGCTGTCTGGAGGTGACAGAGGTGACAAGGCCACGAGCCTTCCGTCACCCAGCAGACCAGCTCAGGCTTGGCTGCTTCGCATTCCCAGAGTCCCAAGGAGCAGCGGACGCCTCAGCCAGCCTGCAGGGGTGCAGCCATTACTCTGCCTCTGGCTTAGAACAAGGAGTGGGAAGATAAGCTGGACCTCCTGATGGGAGGAAGGGGGTGGGGGTTGAGGGGAGAACCACGACTGTGTTTGTGGGCAGCCAGCCCAGGCAAGCAGCCTTAAAGTGGGAAGGGAGGGAGGAGGACTTTGCAGGCTCCTTGGAAAGGCTGTCTGGGGAATGACGTGGGGGCCCCCGGAGCAGCAGCATAGGGGTGACGGAGTCCTGGGGCCGTGAGGACAGAGAGCTGAGCTGCGTGGACAGCAGCCCAGTCCTCCGCCCGCAGAGGAGTCGGCATCACCCCGACACCCTGTTCTTTCCCAGGAAGCTGGGCCCCTGTGCGCCTGGCTGGCAGCCGTGGGAGCTGTGCCGGCCGCGTGGAACTCTTCTACCAGGGAGGCTGGGGCACTGTGTGTGACGACCTGTGGGGCCTCCCGGAAGCCAACGTCGTGTGCAGGCAGCTGGGGTGCGGCGGGGCCGTCGCGGCCCCGGGGGAGGCACACTTCGGGGAAGGTTCTGGAAAGATCCTCCTGGACAATGTGCACTGCCTGGGAGAGGAGCCGCGCCTGGAGGAATGCTCGCACGTCGGCTGGTTCTCCCACAACTGCGCTCACGGGGAAGACGCCGGTGTGATCTGCGCAGGTAACCCTCTCCCCTCCCAGGCAGAGCCCGCCCTTGGCTCTTCCCACGGTACCATCCTTCCCTCGGCGTAAAAATGACTGCTGACAAGGAGCGGCTGGTATGCTCATGGCAGGCCCTTTCGTCTCTCACAGATGCCGACTACTCACCTGACACACCACCAGGTAGGGAAGTTTGTCGACACCTCGGGGAAGACGTTCGGCTGGAAGCTGGCTGTGTGTTTCTCTCCAAGCCACTGGAGCAACTGAGCTGGGGGGAATGGTGCTGGGGGCATGGAGGGGGCCTCAGCATCTTCAGGCCTGACTCAGCGTCTCTGAGCAGTGCCAGCTCAAAGGAATCAGGGAAGCGGAATTCCTCCCTGTTGCATCAGGCCTCATCAGTCTCAACCCAGTTCCCTGGAAGAGGCTCCGGGAACCAAAGTTTCATGTCTTTAGCTTTCCTAACCAACGGAATGAGTATCCCACGTGACCAAGAGACCAGTGTGTCAAAGTCTGGAAGGAATCTAGACCCAGCTTCCTGTCCCCTCCTGCTCAGATCGGTAGTTCTGAGAAGGGCCCGGAAGGCTCCTTGGGATTCTCACGTGCAGGCAGGGGTGGGCCTCGGTGCCCGCCGATTTCCACACGCGTGCCCTTGTGTGTTCAGCAGGTCTCCTGTCGGCTGCCCCAGTGGGAACGGCGGCTCCAGGTGAGACGTTTGCAAGCTTAGCTGTCTTGATCGCCATTTTCCAGCTCAAGCCCTGAACTGATTCTCCAAGGAAATTGTGCCAAAGTGGCTACTCTGCCTAGAACCACCCCTCCAAACCTGGGTCCTGGGTGACAGCCCAGTGATGAAGGCCACAGCATCTGCGGTTTCAATTCTATGTGGTTTCTATTCAATTCATTTCTATTCAGTCAGTGAAGGAAGTGCACACAATGGGAGGGCACCAGCCTTCTGGTCCTGCCAGCCTGGGCTCCCATGGTGAAGGGTGGACGTGGTGGGTGTGGTCATTAATACGGGGGTGTGGCCAGGGTGGTGCCTCAGGCCGTGGTCTCAGAGAGCTGCCACCAGAGGGCAGGCTTTCCTTCTCCAGCTTGACCCCTTCCCTGACCATCTCACACTTCCTTCCCATCGCTCCTTTGTTTCTGCTCTGCTCCTGTCTATGCTCTGGGCTTCTAGACGCCATTGAACGTCCCTGAGCACTGGAGACACAGGGCTAGAGCAGTACTGATGCCTGGAGACTGGGGCCTGCCTGAGCAGGGCCAATGCTGTGCAGGGCTGATTCTCACAGACAGGTGATCTGAGGGAGAAATGCCAGCCGTCTCCCTGGCCCCCGGCATCACCTTTCACTTTGAACTGAGTGTTGCAGAAAAGGAAAGACAGACAAGCAGATGGAGAAGCAGGAGGGTGGACACAAGATGTCACCAGTGTCGGGGGCGTGGAGGGGGAGTATGAGTCAGGGCAACTTATTTCTGCTTAATAGTGGAGGTGTAAGAATGTGATTTTAATAAATTACAACTGGTGGAGGATGGGGCACAGTCACATTCATGTACCCGGAGGCTCCACCACGTTGGTTCAGCCTTGATTGAGAAAATAGAAGCAGGGCTTTGCTCTGACTTGTGGTGACCTACGGGATCCACGAGCGGGCCAGAGGGAAGGACGCTGGCCGGGGTTAGGTGACAGCTCTTCCCCGCCGGCCCACGCCCATGGAGACGCTCTAACTTCAGACATGTCCATGCCCAGTTTCCCAGCCTTCAAGACATTCTGGACTAGTTCATGCCTTTGCTACACCCTAAGACGTTCCCACAGAGTAATGACCAACAGGACTATTTGGGGGGCAGGGTGGGAGTGTAAAGGAAAAATAGGTGTGAAAGAGGACATTAGTGAACCGAGCACTGGGGGATCTGAAATTCTGACCATCCTTCTGCGTTTAGAAAAACCTCAGTGTGGTGGCGTCATCACCAACTCATCCGGAGCCATCAGGAACCCTCCGCGCACGGCGCTGCACGACGACATCACCTGCGTGTGGGAAATCAAGGCCAACGCCTCCGACCAGGTCCGGCTGGCCTTCCCACATCTCAGGTGGGTCCCGGGCGCGTTGCAGACCATCGCGGTGCAGTTCAAAGGCCTGGTCGTTGATCAGGTGCATGGCTGACGAACGCGGTTGAAGGCCCCACCATTGGTCTCCACGGGTCCTTCCCGAACGTGTCACCTTTGCATTTTGAAACAATAGACACACAGGAAGTTGCAAATGTGATGCATCCCACCCCCCCCCGCAAGTGTCCCCCCAGTGGTGGCAAAACAATGCCAAAGCCAGGAAGTGGACATTGGTTACAGCACTGCTGACTGCATATGAGGGCGCTTCAAGACGTTAGTGGGGAAGGGAGTGTAAAGATTAGTTCAGGGGCTGACGCTGTCCCATAGTGGGTACGGGTGCTGGTTCGAGTCCCACCGGCTCCTCTTCCAATCCAGCTCCTGCTAACGCACCTGGGAAAGCAGCCTTGGCCCCTGCACTCAATGGGAGACCCAGATGAAGCTCCTGGCTTCAAACTGGCCCAGCCCTGGCTGTTGCACCACCTGGGGAGTGAACCAGTGGATGGAAAAGCCTCTGTCTCTCCCTCTCTCTCTCTTTTGTTGTTTTAATTTTTTTTTTTTTTTTTTGACAGCAGAATGGACAGTGAGAGAGAGACACAGAGAGAAAGGTCTTCCTTTTGCTGTTGGTTCACCCTCCAATGGCCGCCGCGGCCGACATGCTGATCCGAAGGCAGGAGCCAGGTGCTTCTCCTGGTCTCCCATGGGGTGCAGGGCCCAAGGACTTGGGCCATCCTCCACTGCACTCCCAGGCCACAGCAGAGAGCTGGCCTGGAAGAGGGGCAACCGGGACAGAATCCAGCGCCCCAACCGGGACTAGAGAAAGGTCTCCCTTCTGTTGGTTCACCCCCCAAGTGGCCACTACAGCCAGTATATTGTGGCCGGCGCTGCGCTGATCCGAAGCCAGGAGCCAGGTGCTTCTCCTGGTCTCCCATGCGGGTGCAGGGCCCAAGCACTGGGGCCATCCTCCACTGCACTCCCGGGCCACAGCAGAGAGCTGGCCTGGAAGAGGGGCAACTGGGACAGAATCCGGCTCCCTAGCCAGGACTAGAATCCGGTGTACCAGCGCCACAGGTGGAGGATTATCCTAGTGAGTCATGGTGCCGGCCTCCCTCTCTCTCTTTTAACTTTGCCTTTCAAAATAAATGAATATCTTTTTTAAAAAAAGAAAAAGTTCATTTTGATGCAGAAACGTTTTTGAAATGCACGTACAGTTTTTTCAGATGCATTTTCTATGAACTTTTTGAAGACACCCTCATATTTTGCATCTTTTTCACTGTGTTTGAACAACTTTTATTGATTTTCATTCTGTTTGAAAGGAAGAGAGACAGAGACAGAAAGACAGAGGTCTTTCATTTGCTGCTTCACTCCCCAAATGCACGTAACAGCCAGGGCTGGGTCAGGACAGAGCCAGGAGCCTGGAACTCAGTTCGGGTCTTCCATGAGGGGTCAAGTACTTGAGCTTTCATCTGTTGGCTCCCTGGCTGCACATTGGCAGGAAATGCATCAGGACCAGAGAGCCAGGATTTAAATCAGGCACTCTGATTCGGCACGCGGGTCTCCAGCAGCGACTTCCCTGCTCTGCCGGATGCCACCCCAGGTCACACCAGTTTTTGTGAGCGTTCGTTTGTATGTGGTTGTCCGATGCATTTTTATCCCAGGTACAGATTCATGAAGCCCCATCACATTCTAGACGCTGTTTCATTACCACAAGGAAACCCCTTACCCAAGTGACCATCAGCCTACGTTTCTCCCCAGAACATATGAGAGCTAGCATCTGGCACTGATTTTTAGCTAGCTGTTTATGTACAAATGCAGTACGTGTTAGATTTGTGGGTAAGGATGTCTTGTAGCTGTTGGGGGGACTGTGAATGATACTGTTTTCAGCTTTAGTTACCTCACGTTTGTTACTGGTGTGTAGGAATACATTGATTTTTATGCACTTCCACGAATTTTTAATTAAAATAAAATTGTTTCAGTCTTTGGATAGATGTATGTGTATCTGAGAAAGAGAAGGGGAGAGGGAGAGCAAGAGGGAGAGGGAGACAGACCAAGTGTGTGTGTCCTGACCGGCTGGCTAAAGTTGTAGATTTCAGAGTACCCAGACCAGATCAATCAGGAAATGTGAAGTCATTATGTTGTAAATAGTCAAGGTGGATGTCATTCATGGGTGGGTGATCTCTGGAAATTTTTACTCTTAAATTCTGTTTAACTGAAATTTGGCTTGAAACAGATGCTCATCAGCTCGAGCCACGGAAAGGGTGAAACCTGGACAGGACGTCCCGGTGGCAAACTAGAGCCGGGGAAGGAAATTATCCTGCAGAGGAGCTGGGCAGCTCCGCACCCTCCAGTCAGGCTGGCTGCCAGACCTTGCACACGAGTGTTGGGAGCCGGGAGCCAGGTCATGGTGCCAGGCCCACGCAGGATCAAGCGGCTTCTCCCCCTGCTGGCCCCAGATCCCCAGGATGCTGGCGTTGCCTTGATCTGCCTGGTCCTGCCCTGGGCTCTTGGCTGCCAGGTGCCCCACAGCACAGGTGCACCCGTGCCAGCCTCCACTTTCCTCCTCCGGGTACAGGCAGTGGCCGGCACAGAGGGGACGTGGGCCAGAAGGAATCTGTCTGTGTCTTCAGCACTCACGGGCTCTGCATCTGTCCCTGGCCTCTGCACAGTGACAAAATGAAGCGCCCAGAGCCCTGATGCAGAGACTAAGAGGCGTCTTCGGTGTCTTCCCCAGCCTCGACTGCACCAATGAGTATTTTGAGATCCTGGACGGCCCTGTGTCCTCAGCAAAGTCCCTGGGCAAGAGCTGCTCGGGCTCCTACCTCACCTACGTGTCCTCCTCCAGCTCCATGACCCTGGTCTACTTCAGGAGCGTCAACAACATCGGGAAAAACTTCGTTGCTTATTATTACTCTGCAGCCAAAGGTGAGAAGGCAGGTTAAGGCTGCGCACTCTGTCGGGGCGCTGGCTGCAGTGCCGGCTTGCTCTATGATACGGGCCAAGCAACTTGACCCTTCCCAACCTCAATCCCTCTCCCCATGTAATGAGAATGACAGGAGAGTCTTACACGCAAGGTTTATTGTGAGGGTCACACGCAAGGCCACGAGGCAGGCATTCAGCAGAGAGGTGGTGCGTCATGAATTCCTGATAATCCCAGCCTCCTCGGGGGCTTTTTTTGTTTCGCGTGAAGTTCTCACTGCAGTCGGCTCATTCCGGAGTCATTCCCGATGCGCTCTGAGGCTAGTGCAAGGCTGGGGACCTGATGAGAGAGACTCGTGCACACCTGAAGGGCGTACAACTAGAGGACAAACAGAACACACACACTAGATTAAGGCAAACAAGTAGAACAGATAGAACATGCTAGAACATGCCAAGTTGACATGTGCCAGCGTCTCAGCAAAAGATTGGAGGAGAGACAGCAATGGAGGCTACCACTGGTCAAGAAGCATCAAGGACAACAGTTGGTGGGGCCGTGAGTAGAGAGAGTATCGGGTGAGGGAACAGCTAGAGATGTAAAAGGTATGACCAGGGAGACGGCCAGAGGCGACGCAGGGCTTCCTGATGACCACAGGGCACCCAGGTTTATCAGCAACAAGAGCACCACAGCACCAGAATGTTCAGTGGAACAGCCGATGCTGTTGAAGGTCTGTTATGCTCCAGGCAGCATTTTAGGCACCTTGCACGTGTGATCTTCCCACGAAACCACGGCTGCTCCCTTTTGCAGACAGGGACAGTGAGGCTTGAGCGGTTTGGTGGTTATCCAAGGCCCTGCCCTATTTGCCACCAAGAGAAAGTAGGCGGGGCTCACAGACCACAGGTGATGAGCATCTGCCTTGTCCAACCCGTGCTTCGGAACAGTCCCTAGTGCTTTCAGCAGGTGCCAGGGTGACTCACAGAGAAGCCCGGGACCTGTGCTCCAACACAGGGAATGATCTGGGTCCAAACTCGCCGTCACTGTGCCAAGCTGTGACGGGTGCTGGTTTCCTTGTGCTTGCAGAAGCCGAGTCCCGGACCCCGCATCTGACCGGTGAGTTCCCTTCCACGCGGTTGCTTGATCCTCACTCCTGTTCGTGTTTCTTCCTCCGTCTGCACTCCCGGTACTTTCTACTGTCATCGTCTGACCTCTCTCATCTCTTTGCCAGTCCCTGTATAGATCTCCCGTGGCTGAGAGATTCACACTGGAACCAGGTCACACCTACCAACAGCCTGGCTCTGTGCCTGGACGGTTGTCAACTTGACCTCCTAATTCCTGGCTTTCATCAGACACTGAGAGGCACCTAATCAGATAGTCCACCTTTAGGGAAAGTCAGCAAGATGCAAGCAGGAGAAATGGTGTTTCCCCAAAGGGCGCTGGCTGGCAATGTTTGCAGTTAGCACAGAACAGCACAATTTACATGCGGTGATGCTGCCAGCGACAGGGCAGGAGGCACGGATCTCACTTCTGTTGGACCCCACTCACCTGAGAAACGTTAGGGGAGTTTGCTTTGGCAGGTCATTTACTGTAGAAGTGAACGGAAGAGGCTCAGCTAGAATCTTGGCATTTCACGATGCTAGTCCCAGAATGCCGTCCCTGACTTGCCCACGTCGGCCTGTCTTTCCACTGAAGGGTGTTGTCTTCTTCTGCCCACAGTGATCCCGACAGCGACACCCCAGACAATCACAGCAAGGCCAGGTGAGCTGCGGAAGGTATCCAAGCGTTTCCTTTCCTCTCGGTGTCTGTCTGTGCCCGTTTCATACATAGCCACTAGACCAGTGGCACAGAGTTCATGACCAGCTGACTCTACCCAAGCCTCTAGGGGTATCCAAGACTCCTGCGACCTCTTGACTGTAGCCTCCCAGGATTATGCTACGTGAATTTCATTTCTCAGTGCCTTTCGGAGCCCTCAAAGCACCCAGGGAGTCCTTGCTTTTCTTCTAATGCCAGTCGCAGCCCCAGTTAGCTCTGCGTCTCCATCACTGACAGACTTCTTTTTTCCTAAAGATTTATTTATTTATGTGAAAGGCAGAGTTTCAGAGAAGTGGAGAGACAGAGAGACAAAAGGAGATCTTCCAACCACTGATTCACTCCCGAAACGGTTGCAGTGGCTGAAGCCAGGAGCCAGGAACTCCATCCAAACCTCCTGTGCATGGCAGGTGCCCAAACACTTAGCCATCTTCTATTGGCTTCCCAGGCACTTTGGCAGGGAGCTGGATCAGAACCGGAGCAGCCAGGACTTGAACCAGCGCTCTGAAATGGGCGTCTCAGGCGGCGGCTTAACCTGCTGCACCACAACCCCGGCCCCAGTAGACTTTTTTAAACTGAGTGTCAGAGCCTGTATTAGTCAACTTTTGCTTCCTATAACGGAATTCGTGAGTTGAAGGAAAGGGCTGTGTGTTTGGCTCACATTTGGCGGCTGAATGTCTGAATGGCGTGATGTAGGCTCTGACCAGGGCCCCAGTGAACGGCAGAAACACGCGTGCAGGAAGGAACACGTGGGCAGCCAGGGAGCAGAAAGACTGGCTGTGCGCAAACGCAGGCTTTTGTGACAACCGTCCCAAGAGCTCTCCGAGCGCCTGCAGTGACCTGAGGATCTCCCTGCAGACCCCACCTCCTGCGAGTTCTCCACCTCCCAGGGGCGCCTCCCCGGGGGCCTTGGCAGAGCTATTGCAGGGCCAGGGAGGTAGATGGGCAGGGGGGGAAGTGGCGAGTGTTGGCGCCTGCAGACCTGGGCTGAAGCACTGCGATGCTCCAGCTTTCTGTCCCTTAGATCTGGAATTGCCCTATGGGGACGAATCCTCTCTGTTCATCTTCCTGAGCCCTGTGGGGTGAAGACGAACACACAGACACTCGAGAGTGCTTCATAGCATCACCAATCGCTGCGCGAGTTACTTGGCATGCTTCTCTGGGCTTCGCCAGAATAGATCGGCCATTCCTCTGGCAAAATAGGAGCTCAGTTCATGAATTTTGTACATTGAACGTCATTTGTAACACGAAGGACTTAGCTTCCAGCTCGGAGGCTGACCGGTTGGCTGACCCTACCAGGTGCTCCACCTGCAAGAGTAGGATGGGGGTGGGAGCTCAGCCAGCCCATGGGAAGGGCGCAGGCCTCCAGAGGACAATAGTCACCTCATCTATCTCTGTCTGCAGGGGACTGGCCGGAGCTGCGGCTGGTGGGCGGCTCTGGCCGCTGTTCAGGACGCGTGGAGGTCTTCCACCAGGGGGCCTGGGGCACCGTCTGTGATGACCTGTGGGACCTGAACGAAGCCGAGGTTGTGTGCAGGCAGCTGGGCTGTGGCTGGGCCGTGTCTGCCCTTGGGAAGGCCCAGTTTGGCCCGGGCTCAGGAGACATCTTCCTGGACAACCTTCAGTGCGCCGGGGTGGAGCGCTACCTGGGCCAGTGCACCCATTCAGGCTGGTCGGAGCACAACTGTGACCACCACGAGGACGCCAGCGCCATCTGCTCAGGTGGGCCCTCCCCTCTCCGAGGGCCGTCCCCGAGGGCTGCAGACTCCCCTGCTGGCGTTCGGGGTCATCCAGGGACTTAGGCAGGACCCACTAACCTGCGACATTTGATTTTTTTTGCTTGCAAGGGCAAAAAGCTCATAGGAAAATTGAATTTAATTTTTTCTTCCAGTGCAAAAAATGTTTAAAATCTCCGCAGAGTTTCTTCACAATACGCGTTTTCTGTGACTTCTCTGAAGACCTCTCCTGTCCCCCTTAACTTCTTTAACTATATTAGGTTTTAGCTGCCCGCCCCTGGAGTAAGGCTCTCCTACTCTACCTTGGTAGGAAGAATCACCAAAGGAGTGTGCGTCTAGTTAGGCAGGTTTTCCGGAGCTTGGTGAAGTCAGTTACTCGAGGAAGAGGCAGACGGCAGGTTAGACGCCGCGAGGGGCAGGCCTGAGCCCTGCTCTCACAGCAGGTGCTGAGACAAAGTGGGCCGCATACACTCTCGGAACCCGGGTTCCTCTGGGGGACTGGGTGGTTTCTCGCAGGATTGCCAAGAGGACTGGAGCGGTCGCTTGCACAGCCTTCACACAGTACCTGGCAAAGGCGCTACAGTTTGGGGAATTCTGACCACCAGGTTCCCCCACTGAGTCACAACACCAGGGAGATCGGTGACTGCCCGGGCCTGGTTTGAATGGCCTAATGACAGTTTTTTAAAAACTACTCCAGCCCTTCTCATGTGCTGGGTAGGAGGAAGTCACCTGTGGACTGACTTTGTAATCCTTTCTGGCAATGAGATCTTGGGCAAACCGGCAGCTGCAGACAGGGGTGCCCCTGGGAGCAGCAGCCTCATTGCATGTCCCTATCTGGCACCTATGACTCTGACTTGAGGTGCCTATTTACAAGTGTCATCGTGTGTGCTGGTGCATTTGTGTGTCCATCTGTTGGGGTATCATAGCGTGTAGGGTATGTGTAACATGCCTAGTGACAGCCTCATGGCTGTATGTCATTCCCAAGTTTTGAGGTTCTGAGGGTGCCTGTAATACGGGGTGCCCCCAAAGATCCCCAAAGTGAAACCCACCTGCCACAAAACCACTAAGTCAAATCATCCCAAGTGCACCCTTTGTCCAGCCTTGCTCTCATAACACAGAAGCAAACCAACAGCCAGAGAGAAGCTGACTTTTACGCCCACAGAGGAGGCTCCTCCCTGCACTACTTTATCAAAAGGGACCATTTTCCCCATATCAGATTAGCAAACATATTTAAGGTTATGATTAAAACCTTTGTCTTCAGTTGGTGAGAGTCAAAAAAAAAAAAAAAAAAAAGCTGACCTTCTCATTCTTTCTGTAAACAGACGCTGAAGAATCCCTCGCCAAGAGTCCAGGTCAGTCACGCCGTTTGTTGCTGGAGTTTATCATCTGCTGTCCAAGACTTTGCCCTTGACCTGTGGCCCTTCCAGCTCTAAGTTCACTAGTTACCCAACCATGGACAGGCCATTAGGAAGTCCCAGCTGGCGTTACTTTTGACTTTTCACATGTGAAGATGGTTGTGTTGGATGTGTGTTTGTGTGTGAAGGTCACAGTTTTTAGATATCTATACAAGGTGAACTGGCATCCATGGACATTTTGCAAACGCAATTCCCCCGGCTCAAAGGGTCCTCCGTGACCAACACCCAGGCCCCGTGGTGCCCTTCAGGACGTTCTGTTCTTTCCCTCCAACGCACCCATCAGAGGGGAACAGTGCGTTGAACTGTGTTTCTGCTTGACCAGTAAATAGACTGCAGGCTCCCTGTGGGCAAAAGCATCTCTTTGTCTTATAGCTGCATCATCAGGGCTTAGCAGGAGAGACAGCAAATACTGTTGAAAGTAAATTGGCGGAGGATCCCCGCAACCAGCAGGGTGGGAGCCCTTGAGAAATGCGAGGAGCAGGTCTCAGGGCTCCAGACAGGGGGTGTCCTCCCACTGCCCCACCCACCTCAGAGCTGGTGCTGATGGACCCTAGCTGGGTCTCTGGGGACTCACGCACCATGTCTCTGTGTGCAGGGGACTGGCCAGAGCTGCGGCTGGTGGACGGCTCGGGCCGCTGCTCGGGCCGCGTGGAGGTCCTCCATCAGGAGGCCTGGGGCACCGTGTGCGATGACCTGTGGGACCTGAATGAAGCTGAGGTCGTGTGCAGGCAGCTGGGCTGTGGACGGGCTGTTTCTAGCCCTGGCGAGGCTCACTTTGGCCCTGGATCAGGAGACATCTTCCTGGACAACCTCGAGTGCACTGGGGTGGAGAGCTACCTGGGCCAGTGCGCCCACCTGGGCTGGTCAGAACACAACTGTGGCCACCATGAGGACGCCGGTGTCATCTGCTCAGGTATGCGCTCCCCTCACGGCAACAATTCTGGCATTGCAGTTGAAGACATTTTGGAAGTATACACCCAGGGTATATCGGCCACCCATCAGTCCTCGAGTGCCCCCTTGGGTCAGGCACTGGGCTCGAGCACACACCAGTGCATGGGCAGTTCTGGGTTGCTCGGGGGGCATTGCAGTACAGATTCCACAGCCCTGCCCCAGAGATTATGACCAACGAGACTTGGAAAGGGGCTCGGGAGTCTGCATTTTAGTGAAAAGTCCAGAGTCTGCATGGGAGGGACCAAGGGGAGTCCAGTGCTGGCTGCCATGCAGCAGAGGTGACCCAGTTGCTGCGCCTTGCCCACTAAGCCAAGGACACTGCCAGAGTGGACTGAAATGCCCGGGGGGCAGTTCTGGGGCTCTGGGTCCCATGCCCACAAAGACCATGGTCCTCTCCCCATCACCCGCTTCCTGCACCCTTGTCTCCCCACCTCCTCCACCTCTTCCTGCACCCTTGTCTCGTCTCCCCACCTCCTCCACGCTCCAGACCCACTGAAGAACGATCTGTTGCCTTTGTTTATGCATCCAGGTGCAGAAGCCCTACCACCGACCACAGCTCCAGGTATGTCCATGTGTTTTTCTAGCCCAGGCAACTTTCCTATACTATTAGTAATACCAGCAGCAAATGCTTACAAACGCTAAGATCCAGGCACTGTTCTGAGCCCCTTCACATATAAACAGATGTTCCTCAACTTATGACAGAGTTACAGCCTGATGAACCCATTGTCAGTTGAAAATATTCTAAGTTGAAACTGCATGGAGTACGCCTAAGCTATTGAGCACCATGGCTTTGCCCAGCCTACCTAACATGCTCAGAACTTTTGCATGATTCTACAGTTGGGCAAAAGCATCTAACACAAACCCTGTTTTATTCAAACTTATTGACTTCTCATGTAGTTTATTGACTATTTGTATCTAAAAAACACTGGCATAGTGGATCTTCTTTGGTTGCTTGTCTTGAGATGACCTTGATGTATTCTGAGTGTTCCTGGGGGAAGACAAACGTTCTGTGTTGGTCATGAGTGAGACAGGAGGGGTTGTCTAAAGTTGGAAGGCCATGCTTAGGATTAAGAGTCATGGATATTCAAATGAAAGTCTATCCATGGTTTTCTCATTTTCATAAATTACATGGGTGACAGAGAAACGAGGAAAGCAATATTGAGTGAAGGCAGCCATTGTGGTTATCTGTTGCCATCCAAATGCTAGTGTTTTAAAGCAACCATTTAAATATGTCATGGCTTTAGGAACTGAGCCAGGGATCAGCTGGGCGATTCTTCTGTTCCATAAAGCATTGAGCAGGGCCACTCAACCGTGTTCATCTGGAAGCTGGCGAAGAGTTCATGACAGCTTCCTTCGTGTACTTGGTGCCTTGGTGGGGACAGCTGAAAGGGCGGGCTCAGCCAAGGCCCTTTTCCTTGTAGGTGGTCTCAGGGCCTCTTCCCATGGTCTCTCCTGCAAGATTGTCACAGGTGGCTTAGGGTTGCATGAACAAATCAGTGTTCCCAAGATAGGAAGTGAAGACACCAATCCCTAAGGCAGGTGCCACTTCTACCATGTTCTGTTGGCCAAAGCAGTCACGGAGCCCACCCAGGTGCAAAGGAGGAAACCTAGATCCCACCTCGTGACAGGAGGCATGTCTGAGAATGCACAGCCTTCTTTGATCTTCAAGGGACCCCAGAGAATGACTCAGCACCGGCAGCCTCGTCCCACTGCAGTGTTAGCACTGATGTTTCTAAAAAGCCCTTCACACTTCAGTAACGTGTAGAGAGACTGAACATTTCCCTCCTGAATGTTACCGTCGCCTCCCTGTCTCCCCCTACAGGTCCTTCCGTAGCCTCCCAGGATCCTGTTACAGGTAGCCATTCGTTCTTTATTTTTAACTAATATCCAAAAAGTGTACATGTGTGATGGATATTGTGTGATGTTTCAATGCATGCATGCACTGCGTGATGTTCAGATCTAATCACTTGTTTCACACGAACCCCCTTGCCAAGAAAGCCATTACTGTAGACTCTGGGCAGTGTGTCCAGGAAGCACAGTGTGGGTGAGAGATCTGCCTCCGTGCTATAGATAATGAAGTTTTTTAAAAAATATTTTATTTATTTGAGAGGCAGAGTTACAGATAGAGAGAGGGAGAGACAGACAGAGAGAGGTCTTCCATCCACTGGTTCACTCCCCAAATGGCCACAATGGCTGGAGCTGAGCCAACCCGAAGCCAGGAGCCAGGAGCTTCATCCAGGTCTTGCATGTGGGTGCAGGGGCCCAAGCACTTGGGCCATCTTCTACCACTTTCCCAGGCCATAGCGGAGAGCTGAATCAGAAGAGGAGCAGCTAGGACATGACCCGGTGCCCATATGGGATGCTGGCACTGCAGGCAGAAGCTTAGCCAACTACGCCACAGTGCTGGCCCTGATAACGAGTTTTTAAGAAGGAGAAGCAGCCTGGGAAGGAGAGGTGTGATGGGAAACTTGAAGGGAATGTGGCTTCATTCATGAGCTTGGAGCCTTGGCGGAGCAGCTGGCCCACACTCAGCCTGCTTTCTTTGGGTACAGTGCTGCAGCAGGCACCCAGCCCAGGCAGCAGCCCACCACCCCCTACCACATGTAGCATTCATAGGACATCCAACTCCTAGGGGTGCCAGGGTCAGTCTGACCTGGCCTTGCTATTGTAACCTACACGTTGGATCAATGATACAACTGTAGGACCACCTGGGAGCATCAGCTCTTCCCACCATCCATCTCAGGAAAAAACAGAAATCTGGGGGCTTGGGGAGGGTTACAAGTTGGTCATAGGGGTACAGAAAAAAGAAAAATTAAGCAGTTTAATAATTCAGGGATGAGATCAACAAAGCATACTATGTTTTCAAATTTCTTCTAAAATAACTTTATTCTTATTGTTTAGCTCCTGCATGTGTCGTGTTGCATTGCATGTGTGTATATATATATGTGTGTGTGTGTGTATATATATATATATCTGTCTGTCTATACTAACATGACAACTAACTTGGCAGAATTAAATTTCACTGCTGTCTCATTTAACCCTAACAAATCCCAACTCTACAAGTTCCAGTCTCAGAGTAATTACTGAGTTCAAGGAAACACAATCTACCCAGCAAAAGAGATGATAAAGCATTTAAAGGTGGTCCCAGTTATAAGCTTCCCAAACAGCCCACAACATCCCCTCACCCTTCGTCTTTGATTCATCAGACCCTAAAATTGTACTAGAAGGTCTTGTTCCCCAGACCTCACCAAGCTCTCACCATATACAGAACCATGCAGCTCTCAGTCTCTCATTCTGTAGATTACTCCATCTCTCCCAGAATCAAGAGTTTCTTCTACTGCAGGGAGAGTTAGTAGAGAACACAGGTGTAACACTTTCGTGATCAGGTGTTGGGGCTAGAGGGACGGGCAGGGAACGCTCACCCATCAGTGCTTTCCAGCCCATCATAACTGCTCGAGTGTACTTCCCTTCCCAAGACACACTGAAGCGAAAGATCTACACACATGGCTGTGTGTGCCCAGCCAGGCTGCTGGCTGGCAGACGCCTCTGACCCTGTACCTGAGCTGGCCATCACCCCACGAGAACAGACCCTGACTTCCGCTTCCCTGCTGTTTCAGGAGGAAGCGGCTCCTGTGGAGGGCTCATTTCCAGTCTCTCCGGCTCGTTTTCCAGCCCACACTACCCAGAAAGCTATCCGACAGACATCCAGTGCGTCTGGGAAATCCACGTGGAGAGAAAGTTCCGCATACAACTCATGATTCCGAACTTGAAGTAAGAAAAATTTCAAAGAGAAAGTTTTGTCTAGATAAGAACGTCAGTTGGAGGAATCATGATGAAGGTATTTCTTTCAATGGGAAAAGCTTGTGTGAAACCAAAAGAACACAGAAGTCTAAGTGCCGTCCTCCCTAAATCACCGTTTGCGTTAGTTTGCTGGTGCTGGCCAACGAATAACTTCCGGTCTACAAAGTGTCATTTACTGACATGTTTGACTTGATTTTGATAGTTTTTCTCTTTTTTTCCTAAAAATACCAACCAGCTTGTCCTTGTCCTTGTTTGACACTAGGTACCAATATTTGTCCTCTCTTTTGTTTTATCTGAATTTTAAACAGATTGTCTGTGCACACTCGTTAGCCAAATACTCCAGCCTTGTCCGGCACATTGTCTAAAAATGTTCCACACAAGGGGAGAAAATACTTGAGTCATTGCTTCATCTCTTTTTATTATTATTATTATTTTATTTTTATTTTTAAGAAAAATTTTATTTAATAAATATAAATTTTGAAAGTACGACTTTTGGATTATAGCAGTTTTTCCCCCATAAGCTCCCTCCCACCTGCAAACCATCTCATATCCTGCTCCCTCTCCCATCCCATTCATTAAGATACATTTTCAATTATCTTTATATACAGAAGATCAACTTAGTATATACTAAGTAAAGATTTCAACAGTTTGCACCCACACAGACACACAAAGTATAAAGTACTGTTTGAGTACTAGTTTTACTGTTAATTCTCATAGTACAACACTTTAAGGACAGAGGTCCTACATGGGGAGTAAGTGCACAGTGACTCCCATTGTTGATTTAACAATTGACACTCTTGTTTATGGCATCAGTAATCACTCAAGGCTCTTGTCATGAGCTGCCAAGGCTATGGAAGCCTCTTAAGTTCACCAACTCCAATATATTTAAACATGGCCATAATCAAAGTGGGAGTTCTCTCCTCCCTTCAGAGAAAGGAACCTCCTTCTTTGATGGCCCGTTCTTTCCACTGGGATCTCACTCACAGAGATCTTTCACTTAGGTCATATTTTGCCACAGTGCCTTGGCTTTCCATGCCTGAGAAACTCTCGTGGGCTCTTCAGCCCGATCCGAATGCCTTGAGGGCTGATTCTGAATTGCCTCGTCTCTAATAGGAGGAGAATAAATATTCCAGAGTCACTGCCGGTTTTTAATCTCTATGACAGAAAATAACTATCCATTTTGGACTCGAATTCTGTACTTTGCTCTTCTCTTTCTCAAGAGTTATTTATTTATTTGAAAGTCAGAGTTACAGAGAGAGAGGGAGAGAGGGACCTTCTATCACTGGTTCATTCCCCAGATGGCCGCAATGGCCAGGGCTGGGCCAGGCTGAAGCCAGGAGCCAGGAGCTTCATTAGGGTTTCCCATGTGAGTATAGAGTCCCAGCTACTTGAGCTATCTTTCACTGCTTTCCCAGGTGCAGGGAGCTGGATTGGAAGTAAAGTAGCCAGATGGGAAGTGGAGCAGCCAGGACTTGAACTGGTGTATATATGGCATGCCACATCACAGGTGGCAACTTAACCCACTGCACCACAATACCAGCCCAATTACTTTTATTTTCAGATCAAGTTTTCCCTCAGAAATTTGACTATGGATAATGCTGTAAAATATAGAGGTAGGTGGCCGGTGCTATGGAATATTGGGCAAAGCAGCCGCCTGCAGGCCGGAATCCCATATGGGCACCAGTTCCAGTCCTGGCTGCTCCACTTCTGAGCCAGCTCTCTGCTGTGGCCTGGGAAAGCAGTAGAAGATGGCCCAAGTCCTTGGGCCCCTGCACCTGCATGGGAGACCCAGAAGAAGCTCCTGGCTCCTGGCTTTGGAATGGCCCAGCTCTGGCCATTGTAGCCATTTGGGGAGTGAACCAGCAGATGGAAGACCTCTCTCTCTCTCTCTCTCTCTCTCTCTCTCTCTCTCTCTGCTTCTGCCTCTCTGTAATTCTGCTTTCAAATAAATAAATAAAATAAATCTTTTTTTAAAATATAGATATGGGGGAATCCAGCTGTTATTTCTGTTGTATGCTAGTTGTTGGGTTGATCTGTCTGCTAAGAATTTATTTATAGTGCAAATTAGTATTTCCTAATGTCTCATGAAGGATGTAGTTGGCCAAAACCATTATGCTTTCTAACTCTTGTAACCATAGCTTCCCTCAGGCAACAAAACAGAGTTTTGAGAGAGTTGACTGGTATTTTATAAAATAGCGTGTAATTTAAAATATAATCTGGGTATTCAGTCTCTATGGTTGTTGCATGTTTTTGGAATTAATATATAGGAATTTCTAATCTGTCAGTAACCCTCCATTTCTATGCCCCCAGACTGGAAGACATCCTGGGGTGCCCCTACGACTCCGTTGAAATCTTTGATGGCCCCAGGATAGCCTCGCTGTCCATGGGGAAGTTCTGTGCCTCTGTGGCTGTGCTGTTTTTCTCCTCTTCAGACATCATGACCGTGGTTTTCCGCAGCGATTCTATGATAACCAACGTTGGCTTCTATGCTCTGTTTAATGCTATTCCACAGGACGAAAGAGAGTCAGGTAGGAAACTTCAAGTGGTTTTTGGTGTTTAAAGACAACCCTACTAGAGAAGAGGCTGGGACTGTTGGTGTTTAAGACTTCCCATGGGCTGCAGTGGCCTTGCTCCATAGCGGCTAGGTTTTCTCACCATGAGGCCCACAGGGGAAGCTACAATAAGGCAGTGATGAGAATTCCTGTGTGTCAATGGCGAGGCTGCTACTGCCTGGAGGGAAAGCTGTGGCTCCGAGGGGTCCTAAGGCTGCCTCTGCTCCCACCAGCCTACTGAGAGCTGTCCAGAGTGCTGAAGTACACCCGCTGATTGTTTCAGACATTGGACTGAGAGACTTGGAGACTCTTATCATGAGCCTATAGCAGTCATTCCACAGCTAAGCCTAGTTTTCCCCCTTGAGGACACTGCCTGCCAATGGTGGGACTTGTCATGTTCATGGGCCCCTGTGAGAGACCGAGTAACACGTCCAAGTCCACAAGTAAGTCCCTGGCTGAAATTTGCAGATTGATTATTTCCAAATAAGAAAGTTCTTTGTATATTTGCTCCTCCGATGTATGTTGGAGACCTTGCCTGGGAAAGCTAAGTAAACACTAGTGCTTGACATCCAGACCCCTCATTGTCTCGTGATCACACTTCACTCTTCCAAAAATATGCAGAGGCTCCTCCTGCAGTCCAGGTCCACTTAGAAGTTGGGGGCACAACACAGCCACCTGTCCTCTTGGGGTTTATATTCTAGTGTGAGAATGGGTGCATAAGGAAGAATCAAGACCCCAGAAACAAGTAAATCACAAGACAGTTCTGGTGTAAGGATTGGAAGGGGAAAGACAAAAGCTGGGAATAAAAAGCCAGGTGGGAGAATAGAGAGTGATGGGTGGAGCACCGTGGGTTGGATGGAAGTGAACAGCTTCCCTGAGGAGTGACGTGATGAGTGACAACGGAGGGGATTCCGGGCAGAGAGAACAGCAAGTGCAAGGGGAGCAACATGTAGAACGTGTAGAAGCAACAGAAAGAAGGCCAGCATGGTAGAGGTTGTCTGCAGGAGAGAGCAGATGATTCCAACTGACTCCAGCCCTTAAGCCCAGAAATGGCTGTTGCCCTTGGCTCTATGTCACTCCTGTGGTCCAGGGAATTAATCTCCACTTGTCCAAAATACATCCAACGAGCAGCTGGCACCCTACTTCCCCAGTGACCCAGCACTGGGACCCAGAAAAGTACATGGCAAGATCTGCAGGAACCACAGCACACTGGGTGCTGGGTGCTTTGTGTGCATGGTTCTGTGGACTCATCCCCACGTCTCTGTCTCATCTCATGTCTCCTGTCTCATCTCTGTGAGACATGCTGCTAGGCTTCTCATTTTACAGAGGGGGACACTGAGCCCAGGGAGACAAAGTGTTTGCCAAGGGCTCCAGAACTAGGGAGCAGTATAACTGGGTTCAAATCCACCTCTGTCTCATTCAGTAGCCTGTAAGCCTATTGTGGAATCAAGACAATCTTAGGATTTGGCTCATGTATTTTTCCTGGCAACAAACACAGGAACTATAAATAATCCCTACTTAAAACTTCTGAAACTCAAAAATAAAATCTTGCTTTGTTTAGAAGATGGACCAATGCTGCAACTTGTGGGCGGCTCCGGCCGGTGCTTGGGACGTGTGGAGGTCTTCCACCAGGGGGCCTGGGGCACCGTGTGTGATGACCTGTGGGACCTGAATGAAGCTGAGGTCGTGTGCAGACAGCTGGGCTGTGGACGGGCCATCGCTGCTCCTGGAAAAGCCTACTTTGGTCCAGGGTCTGGGAACATCCTTCTGGACAACATTCAGTGTTCAGGAAGTGAGAGCCACCTTGGCCAGTGCCCCAGCTCCAGCTGGTCAGACCACAACTGCGGCCACCATGAGGATGCTGGTGTCATCTGCTCAGGTAGCCTCTCCTGCTGGATTGGAAGTAGAGCAGCGGGCACTCCAACAGGTGCTCTGATATGGGATGCTGGCATTGCGGGCAGTGGCTTCACCCCTGCACCATAACATCAGCCCCAGGCAGAAGCATCTTAGTGGTGGGTGGAGGTCATGCATGGAGCAGGGCCAGGGAATCTAGGGACAGAGAGCTGACAGGTGATTGTCCCTTCGGCCAGGCAGACAGAATACTGAGAACCTGGCTCTGTTTCTGAGGGCCACACAGCTGGCTACCCCTGCCCTCTGCCTCTCACCTCAGCCAGGTGCAGAGCTGCCTCTCTGGAGTCTACCCAGGCCTCCATGCTTGCTCACGCAACACAAAGCCCAGCCTACTTCCTGTCCTGCCCAAACAAGAAAGCCATCACCTCTTCATCTCCTTAGAATTTTATTTCAATTCCCTAAATCTACTTTTCTTTCATGGTACAGATGCTGGGACCTGGGCCCCAGAGGTGACCCCTGCACCCCCAGGTAGGTCCAGGACTGTGAACCTTACTATCTGCAAAGTTACCAAGGACTGCACCCTCTGTCCTGGCCTAGATGCTGGTGGGCCAGGCCAGGTCAGTCTGGCTACACCCCAGGCCAGCCACTTTAGGGTCTCTGGGGTCACTCCTGGTCATCAGTAATATTTTTTTTCTTTTTTTTTTTTTGACAGGCAGAGTGGACAGTGAGAGAGAGAGACAGAGAGAAAGGTCTTCCTTTGCCGTTGGTTCACTCTCCAATGGCCGCCGCGGCCAGCGCGCTGCGGCCGGCGCACCGTGCTGATCCGATGGCAGGAGCCAGGAGCCAGGTGCTTTTCCTGGTCTCCCATGGGGTGCAGGGCCCAAGCACTTGGGCCATCCTCCACTGCACTCCCTGGCCACAGCAGAGAGCTGGCCTGGAAGAGGGGCAACCGGGACAGAATCCGGCGCCCCGACCGGGACTAGAACCCGGTGTGCCGGCGCCGCTAGGCGGAGGATTAGCCTAGTGAGCCGCGGCGCCGGCCCCATCAGTAATATTTAAAATTCCCCATGAGAGTCTCATGTGTAGTCAAAGGTGAGGCGCAGTAGCTTGGGGATTGAAGAGCCACATATCCCAATGGGAACAGCATCCAAGACTCTTGTCTAGCGGCAGAGCGAGGAGGGGTGGGATGGGAGAGACCAGAAAGGTTTGTTCACTGCTGAGAAGATGGTGGCTGTGCAGGTATAGAGGGGGTGGAAAGGTCACCTCTCAGGGCCGTGGGACAGAACATGAAACCGGTCAAGAGAAAAGGATGCATTAAGGATCAAACTGTTTCCCAGTGGATCAAGAGCAGACTGCTGGCGAGCACTGACCATGCGGGGCTCTTCTGTGGCTCCTGGCTTAGCCAGCACAGCAGAGTAGGCCTTTTTGTAACCTATGCACAGTCAGTTGTGGCAATGACCTCCTCCCACACCAGGATTCCAACTAGATCCAGCGCACATGGTCCTGCCTCTTGTTGGTCCTGCCTCTTGGAGATGGGCTCTCAGCTGTATTCCCCTGCTTTCATCTAACGCGTCCTGGCCCTGCCCGGTGACTGCTTCCACCCTCTGCTCCAGGGGGGCCTGGGCCCCAGGAAGGTGTCAGGCTCAGATATACCCTGCAGTGTCTCAGAGCCCAGCATGCTGGTTGGCAGGGAACTCGGTGGAGGTCTCTCGCCCACTGAGGTCAAGGTCCTAGGTGCATCCCAGGGATTTCCCACCCGCTGTGGGGTGGGACAGCAGCACTGTGGGGAGTGGAGAGTGATTTTTCTACTCTTGGACAATGCCCAACCTTTGCACTGTGCACGGGGACTCACAAGTTATGAAGCAGCCCTGCAGGGCAGACAGGGCACCCAGAGCCCTTTCTCAGGACCCAACAGACAGTTAAGTGTTCCAAGTTCCTCTGGGTTTCCTCTGCTTCTGCGGTGAGACAACTGTTCTCTTCTGGGGCCAGAGAGGAGGAGGGTGGCAGAGAGGGGAGGACACAGCTTGTGGTCATCAGATGCTCTCTGTCCATGTCTTCTTGGAGCTGAGAAGGTCTTGTCTTCTCCGTGCCATGTCTGTCTCCAGAGGCAGAGGTGCACAGCTGGCCAGAGCAAATGAGTCGTGGGATAAAGCAACTATGGAGGGAATGCAGTCACTTATGTCTGAATAACAGTCCTGAAAGTGTTAGCCCTGAAAGCTCTTTCCTGAGCCAGCAACATCTACCTACTTAGGCACAAGCAATAAAGACAAAGCTTTTGTCATTTCATCCTCGGAGGGAAATACTGCTTATCAAGCATTTTAGCAAAAGAAAAGTCGCTTCTGCCATACTTTTGGTTAGAGAATATGCATTGTGTGATATCCAACACTCTTCCTGGCAGGGGAGTAGGAAGGAGAGACACGTGGATAGTATCCGTTGCCTTCATGACTCTGTGTCTTTGGCAAAGCGGGCCGAGGTGCACACCAGTGGGGAGCCAGGACTCTCCACGCATCAGACCCATTTGCATCCACTTCCTGCCCCTGGAAGCCCTTAGTGGAAAACTCAAGAAACTCCCAGCAACCCAACGGCCAGGCTTTCACAGCTGTCCTGCTCTCAGCTGCCAGGCAGTGGGGACTGAAAGTACACAGAGAACATCAACATTTGTGCACAGAATTCAAAGTCAACAGGACCTATGAAAGGAGGGAGAAGAGACCTCGCACAGCAGTGCTGCTCCCCACGGAGGCCCAACTTCCTTGCGCAGAATGCTTGTCCCGCCCGCCTCTCCTCCCCTTCACCCTCGCTCTCAGCTCCCTGCTTCTAGTCCCTGTGGATCTGGGGACTTGATGAACTTCTGCAGGCACAGTGGGATGGTCATAAGCCAGTGATGTCACGGTGGAGACCCCCGGGAGCTGGTCCATCTCAGGACAGCCCTGGCACATAAGAGGAAAGAAGCTCCGTGACTTCCTGGTGAATCGGCTGAAAGAGGGGGAAAGAGCAGTGGTGTGTCTACACCCTGTGTGAGCACTGTAGCGTAGCAGTGCGTTCACTCCTCTGACTCGCATGATTGATGGTCTGATGAGCTAGGTCCTCTGCTGATGGTCTTTGGTTTTGATTTTTGCAGTAGCCAGTACTCAAGCGCCCGTGCCACGAGGTGAGTCTTTATTGAAAGTATAAGCTGGGAAGTACCTGTGGGTGGGATCAGTTTGATCCTGGCTGCCTTAAGGGAAGCAATGCCTGGGATGGACCCTCCCAAATGGGTGTCCACAAAGAGCAGTTGCATGGCAGGAGGGTCCCACAGCAGCGTACCTGGGTTCAGTTCCCCGCTTGGGCTGCTGACGGTAGCTTCCTGCTAATGCAGACCCTGGGAGGCAGCAGCAATGGCTCAGGCGAATGGCTTCATGCCACCCACGTAGGAGACCTGGATGAGGTCCCAGCTCCTGGCTTGGCCTGACACAGGCATTTGGGGAGTGAACTGGAAGATACAAGTGCTCTCCCTCCAGCCCCCTGTCTGCCTCTGAAAAAAGTAAAAAAATAAAATCACTAAGTACATCCGAGACACTCCACATGTGCTCCATACGTCCATCTAACTCCATCACCAGCCTACCCACCATCAACTGGAAGGTCCTCATTGCCACCGTGTGCCTTTCCCCCTCCCTGCCGGAGGCGGAGTCACTCATGGCAGCCACAGCGACGTCTCCTCCACAACGTCTTTGCGTTTTGTGATTCAGCTGCCAAATGTGATGGGATCTGGGTCCTGCACCTGTGAAACTACAGGCGCTTTCAGTCTCTCAAATGCTCTCTTTTTTAAAGATTTATTTATTTGAAAGGCATTGTTACAGAGAAAGAGAGAGAGAGAGGGAGAGAGAGAGACAGCAATCTTCCATCTATTGATTCATTCCCCAAATGACTACAACAGCCAGGACTGGACCAGGCTGAAGCCAGGAGCCAGGAGCTTCCTCCACGTTGCCCACGTGGGTGGCAGGGGCCCAAGCACTGGGCCATCGTCCACTGCCTTCCTGGGTACATTAGCAAGGCACTGGATTCGAGGTGGAGCAGCTGGGACACGGGGACAGGAACCATACCCATGTGGTATGTTGGCGTCACAGGTGGCAGCTTAACCCGCCACGTCACAACGCCGGCCCCACTCCTCTCTTGCAGAAGGGAGTAACTCTTGCGGCGGAATGCTTTCCAGTCTCTCTGGCGCCTTCTCCAGTCCTTGGTATCCTGCAAACTACCCCACCAACGTGGAGTGCGTCTGGGTGCTACACGTGGCTGAGAAGTTCCACATAGAGCTGAGGATCCCGAGCCTGGAGTAAGCGGCTTTGCCTCTCTCTGCCGTGGAGGCCGGAGTTGGCCGGGCTCCATGCGTTCCCCAGAGAGGCCGCCTTCCCGTGGCGCACATCCTTGCACCTGCTGGTTGGGAACGGTCTGGTCTTCTGAGCTGTGGAGGGCCTTTGAGTCACTTAGCTCATCTTCCCACACAAAAAGCGGACTTCACCTGGGCATCCTGACCCCTGGCGTGGAGTCCCCGGGGCCTGGTGGCCCCGTGAAGACCTCACCCCTCATTCGCATCCAGTGCCTCCCCTGCTGCCCATGCCCTGTGTGGTCTTCACTCTTCCCTTCAGTGCACACAAAGCCAGTCTGCTTCCTCTTCCTGCCAAGAATTTCGATCTCGTCCCTACCTAGGTTTTTCTTCTGCAAAGCAAACAGTTGATTCTTTCTTCCCAGCACGCACCTTCTACTTCCTGCCACTGCCTCCATCACCCGTTTTTAAGGGACTTTATCCCATTTTAATGTATTTTTTATATGCAGGTATACGTAATGTTTATGCTTGCATGTATATAAAGATACTTTTAAGAGTTCATGGGGTTAAGAAGAGTTTATTTTGAAATTCTTGCATAACTTTTTGATAATATACATTTTTCATGAACTCTTTGAAGACTTCTTATATGTACAAATGCATGAGTAACTTACTGAATTTCCTATTAATACTTACCCTGGTTTTGTCTTTCTGGGTTGCATCTGGGTCATTTTCGCTTCCTGATATTTTTCCTTAGTCTGCCCCTGCCCTGTGTCAGTTCTTTCTATCTGAGTCTGTTGGCTACATCACTCACGAGTATGAGTGGATAAATGCTGCCTTCAAAGATGCAAAGCAAGTAGGTGGTGGAGTAAAGGGTGGGTGTGACGGGTAAATTCCTTTTGGATACAGACTGAACTAATGTCAGAGGGAATAGCATACTATGAGCAAGGGATATTTATCATTCATTCCTTCGACACATTTCTGTGTTGAAAGCAACGTGTGAAGAAACCCTATGAATTCCCAGGTCAGGGTTCCGGGGCACAGGCTATCTCGTCATCACTCCTGGAAAACAGTTACTGCACACAGCAGTCACAGCCGGTGCCCTGTCTCACAGGGTGTTTTCCAACACAAGTTTCCTACTGGAATTTCTAGAGCACACAGTTAAGGACTTGTCTGTTGTGTTGCCTAGAACCAGAGCACAGTTTTGGGGGAAACTTGATGTTTCTAAGTCTATGTTTGTTATTACTTACATTTTGTTAAATAAATTAGATTTATTTATCCCAGGGGTTCTCAACTGGGAGTGAGTGTCTTCCTACAGGTGGCAGCACTGAGGACGTTGATGCTCATGATTGATGGGCAGCACTGCCATCTAGTGGACGGAGGCCGGGGATGCTGCTAAGAGGCCTGCAGTGCACAAGAGGGCCCTCCCTAACCCTACACCAGGAACAATTGCCCAGCACCAAAGGTCCACGGTGTGGAGATGAGAGTCCCTGACTTACACAGCATGCAGCATGCTGCTTTATGTTTTTTCTACTTCAGTCTCTACAGGACGTTGCTTCATTATGGTTTGGGGGAATTATAGCCAAAATCATCTGTAGGTTCGGGCCGATGCTGTGGTGCAGTAGGCTGAGCCTCCGCCTGCAGTGCTGGCATCCTTATGGGCACCAGTTCGTGTCCCGGCTGCTCCTCTTCCGATCCAGCTCTCTGCTATGGCCTGGGAAAGCAACAGAAGATGGTCCAAGTGCTTGGGGCCCTGCACCCACGTGGGAGACCCAGAAGAAGCTCCTGGCTCCTGGCTTCAGAACAGCCCAGCTCCAGCCATTGAGGCCATTCGGGGAGTGAACCAGATGATGGAAGACCTTTCTCTCTGTCTCTTCCTCTGTATTTATAACTCTGCCACTCAAATTTAAAAATTTTTTTTAAATTATTTGTAAGGAATTTTATCAATTTATATAAACTAAATTATGCCATTTTATTCTTGCTAGGGATGTACATTTTTAAAAAGATTTATTTATTTGAAAGAGTTACCAAGAGAGGGGGAGACAGTGAGAAAGAGATCTTCCATCCACCGGTTCTCTCTCCATATGGCCGCAATCGCCTGTGCTGAGCCAGGCCAAAGCTGGGAACAAGGAGCTTCATCCAGGTCTCCCATATGTGTGGAGGGCCTAAATGCTTGGACCATCTACGGCTGCTTTTCCCAGGGCATTAGCATGGAGATGGATCAGAAGCAGAGCAGCCAGAATGCAAACTGGCGCTCATATGGGCTGCCGGCATTGCAGATGGTGGCTTTACCTGCTGTGGTACAAACAAACCCCTAGCATGCCCTGTTACCTGATGCAGCGATATCCCAGATTGCAGTGTCACCTACATCAGAAAGGTAAACTGAGGCACATAATGTTCAAAGAGCTTATCTGAACAGCGTATCAGGCAGCTCCGACCCTCTGGGGGACTGCGCGGGAGGCATCACAGAACCAGAGCAGAAGTAAAGCAAAGAGCACTGTGCCTGGTTACGGTTACACAGTCGCCTGGGTCGAGCCTCGCCGGTAAGGCCTGTTTCTTGGCTGCTTCTGATTGAGCTTAAGTTCTGCTGGTTTTTTTTTTTTTTTTTAAAGATTTATTTATTTATTTGAAAGGCAGAGTTGCAGAGAGACAGAGGCAGAGAGTAAGAGACAGAGAGATCAGCTGGTTCAATCCTCAAATGGCCGCAAGAGCTGGAGCTAGAAGCCAGGAGCCTGGAGCTTCCTCCAAGTCTCCCACGTGGGTGCAGGGGCCCACGGACTTAGGCCATCTTCCACTGTTTTCCCAGGCCGTGGAAGAGAGCTGGAGTGGAAGTGGAGCAGGTGGGACTGGCGCCGCCACTGCGGGTGGTGGCTTTACTTGCTAAGCCACAGCACTGGCCCCTGCTGTTTCTTTAGCGTCAGCATTTACATAAAACAGCTCAGTTTTCCTTGTGTTGCACACATCAAGCAAGGTGGAGATCACGCCTGAGCCCTGGCTGGCCTTGTCTGCTCAGGGATTCTTCAGGCCTGGTCTCCACGTGACGCCAGCCCTGCGGCTGCCACACTGTTACCTTACACAAATGTTATTTACATTTTCTTAAGCACATAAAAATGGCTTATTTGAAGGTACTTGGCTTTTGCTGCACTGGAACAGATGTGACCAGCAATTGCAGGGTTTCAAATGTGGTATTTAGTTTGTACGCAAATACATCTGTGTCCATTGTGTATTAATTTATACAATGAACAGAATGAAACTTATAACCTAGGTCTCAAAGGCTACTTTCTGTTATTTAAACATGAATGTGGGCCGGCGCCGCGGCTCACTAGGCTAATCCTCCGCCTAGCGGCGCCGGCACACCAGGTTCTAGTCCCGGTCGGGCGCCGGATTCTGTCCCGGTTGCCCCTCTTCCAGGCCAGCTCTCTGCTGTGGCCAGGGAGTGCAGTGGAGGATGGCCCAGGTGCTTGGGCCCTGCACCCCATGGGAGACCAGGAAAAGCACCTGGCTCCTGGCTCCTGCCATTGGATCAGCGCGGTGCACCGGCCGCAGCACGCCGGCCGCGGCAGCCATTGGAGGGTGAACCAACGGTAAAGGAAGACCTTTCTCTCTGTCTCTCTCTCTCACTGTCCACTCTGCCTGTCAAAAAATTAAAAAAATTAAAAAAATTAAAAAAATAAACATGAATGTGCATATCTTGGCATTTTTCCCTTGTAAAACAAATTTAATTTGGTGAAATCAATGATTTTAAACTTTCACAAATATATGTACACACACACACACACTTCTCACACATTAAGGCACTACTACGATTTATGAGATCAAATACTTTCTATTTACAAATCATACCTATCCTTTTTTCTTTCTCTAAACGCAGTGAACTCTCCCATAACACAAAATAACCAGAATTCTGGGGGTGGGGTGGGGGGTTGTGTTGTAAAGTTATATTGCATTTAACTTTTTTCAAGTCAATAGTGTCAAGTTACATTTTCAACTGGGAGAAAGTTAAGAATGGGAAGCCTGATGAGTAAACTCGAAACCGGCAAAAATAGAGGAGACAATGAGGGCGGTTAGGAGTTTAACCCTGAAGCTGTCCAGACGTGACAGTGGCGGAGCGGCTCCTGGGTGTCCGCACTTGAACCTGGCACTGGAACGCTTGACAGCTCTAGCCTATCAACCAGGCAATCCATCAGCAGAAGGCGGCTCTCAGGAGCTGGCTCAGTGACTTTGTTCAGTTTTGAGATGCGTGTGCCGTGTTAGATCAATGTGGGTGCACGGTCACCATACATTCACGCAGCTCCTGCTGTCGCAGGGCCTGGCCTAGGAATGAGCTCAGAGAGCCAAACCACACTGACAAGCGCTCCACCCTCACGGCGCCTACGGTCTAGAGGGGCAGCCAGATAGAACTCAGAATAAACAGAGACCCACGGGCAATGCCTGCTGGTGGCAAGTTGATCCGTGCTGGACGGAAAACACACTGCATGTGTGGTTAGAGTGAGAGGGGAGGAGACAGCCCGAGGCAGGATGCTCGGGAGAGCTCTGATCACGCAGGCTGCTGAATGGCGTGCAAACACTTGTGCAGGGCCAGATTATTTGCAGCACTGATGGGAAGAGGCCTAGCCCACAGGCCTCCAAGCTTTCACAGCTATGGTTATTTCTCCGCCTCCGGGTCTGCTTGAGAATTTCACTCAGTGAGGCCAGGTGGGGTGCAGGGACTTTGAGAGCGGAGGATGTGATGGAGCCACTCGAGGTAGAGAGGAGACTGGCAGGAGAGAGGGAAAGCCAAGCCCTCCGGGAGGGGGAGGCGGCTGAAATAGACCAGGTGAGAGAGGGGAGAGTCTGACAGCCCTGGGGCGCCCCCTTGGGGAGGGACAGGAGGGAGACTCAGGCGACATGCAGGAGGTCTAGGGCGGAGGGAGGGCTGGGGGCGGAGACTGTGTTGGGAGGAGGTGGCAGCGCTGGCTGCAGTTTCTGTCTGGATGCTGTGCAGCCGGGGGTTCCACTGAGAACCTGGTGCAGGCTTCCTCGGGGAGATGAACGCTGCGTCCCCTCCGCAGGTTAGAGGACATCTACGGGTGCCCGTACGACTTCCTGGAAGTCTTCGACGGCCGGCAAGCCGCCTCGCGCTCCATGGGCAGGTTCTGTGCCGGAGCGGAGCTCACCTTCCTCTCCTCTTCGAACATCATGACCGTAGTGTTCAGAAGCGACTCCGTGGTCACCAGCACCGGCTTCCGTGCTCTGTACAGCGCCGTCGAGCAAGACGCACAGCCGAGCGGTGGGTATCCCAGCTGTCGTTGGAGGGAAATGGGGCTGGTTTGTACTTGTTCCCTGTAAGAAAGGAGACGCTTTCCAGAACTGACCTGCTGAGCGCGCCTTCACTAACGATGTTCCGGGGACATGCACGCTGGCGCTAACAGCCCCCAGCCCCACCTCTCACCCCGGCTGTGCACCCACCGTCACCGTCCTCCACCAAAGCACCAGGCTGAAGAAACAAGAGGCCGAAGGCTCGCGTCCTTGGCTGTGTGTGTGCCAGTCAAGCACTCAGACGAGAGCTCCTTCCTCCGCAAAAGCAGGGAAAATGCAGTGGGGGCATCCCTTCTGGGACAGAATTGTCTAAAACTGCAGCTCAGATAATTCAACAGGAAAGCCAGCGAGAACCTCCCAGGCTCTGCAGCAGGATGTGAGGGGCACCCCGAGGTCTCAGGGGCGCCTGCTCAGGGTTGACCGTGTAACTTGTCCTCCCAATTGGGTCCCAAGGCCACCCTACTGAGAGTCCAGCACCCTAACGCAGGAGCATGTGCCCCGGGGCTGGAGAACGCTGTCTGCCCTGGCGTCTGGGGGCAGCTCCCCCGCTCAGAAGCCCCCTGTCACTGTCCCCCAGACATGTCCCTCCGTCTGGTGAATGGCAGCCACAGGTGTGAAGGCCGGGTGGAAGTCTCCTACAACGGCACCTGGGGCACGGTGTGCGACGACGGCTGGGACCTGTCGGACGCCAGGGTGGTGTGCCAGCAGCTCGGCTGCGGGGACGCTCTGTCGGCCCCCCCGCAGAGCTACTTCGACGGAGGCACCGGCCACATCCTGCTGGATGACATGCAGTGCACAGGGGCCGAGGCCAAGGTGTGGCAATGCAGGCACAGCGGATGGTTCTCCCACAACTGCGGGCACCACCAGGACGCCAGCGCCATCTGCTCAGGTGAGCGAGCCCCGAAGGGGGCTGTCCAAGCCAGCAGGCGGTGACTGGGAATGAGCCCTGGGCGTCAGGCCAGAGTTGGAAGTCAATTTGCTTAAGAGTCGATTTCCTTCCTTTAAGTTGGTGCACCTGTAAAATGTCCCGGGTCCCTCCTGAAGAGCTGTGATTAGACAGAGGGTCTGTGTTGTCCGATGCCCTGTCCGTGGAACGGCACGGTCTACTCACCCTGAGTATAAACAGGAGCTGGTGGCCGGGGGCGGTTGACACGAGGCCCTGCTCCAAAGCGGTGTCTGCACGCGCCCGTCACAGCCTCTGAGGAAGCAGGCGCTGTTGGCACCACCTTTCCGTTGCAGCAATGGTGTATCCGAGGTCACAGGCAGCCCCAGCGTCTGAGTGCTGCCCTCCCGAGGGACCGGGTGAAAGACACAGCTCAACTCTATCACTAAAGCTCATCCAGCCCAGTACCCGACCCCAAACCTACAGACACGGTGTGTCTGAGCCCTCGGGAAAGCACAGCGCCCCGCACTCGGGCGGCTCATCTTGGGACCCGGCTCTCCAGAGCAGAGTAGGAGCTTTCACCCTGGGAAAAGCCCCTGGGAATCACGGACCGCCTTACTCAAGCCGTCTCTCATCCTCTCCCCCGTCTTTGTATCAGGGATCGATGGCAGTCCGGATGCAGCACCAGCAGGTATCGCTCTTCCCTACCGTCCAGCTGGTGGCCGGGCCCCTGACGTACGCAAATCCCCGCTGCTGTCCAGTTCTGAAGTTGGGGCACTCTGTAGCTCACTAGAAGAGCGAGGCAGCCCACTGGGGCTGGTAACGTGGTGGGGCTGAGGGGCCATAGAGCGTGCAGAGAGACGTGGGAGGGAGGAGAGTTCAGGTGCACCAGAAGTGCTCTCCCAGCCAGCGGGGTGCCTGAGCCCGTCTGCTGAGCAGGGAGGGCCAGCGGCAGTGGTGGCCGTGCTCGGAGGGAGCAGGAACCCCAGGCTCGGCCCTCCGTGGGGCAGATGGAGCAACCCCGTCCAAGCACTCGGCATGCAAATGTCCAAACTTGTGACTTTTCCTGTGCGTTTCCACGGACCTCACTAGTGGCAATGCCTTTACAAGTTGTGTAAGCTCTTCCTGGGCAGTTGTATTTGCTTCGTTTTCAATTTGAGCTCTTCCAGGACCAGGACAAATGCTTTCTCCCTTTGTCACGTGACAAGCTGTGGCACAGACAAGGCCTTTCACCAGCTCCACTTTAACCAAATCCAGTATTCCAGCTATCAATAGGATGTGCTCCATGATTGGTAAACGGTGAATTCTGGCCCTTGAAAAGTTCGAAGATTTACCTGACCAGGGAGCAGTTTATGCAGGGGGCAGCTCCAAACTGGCCCGGCCTGATATTCCACCAGGGCAGCCTCAGGGGAAGGCACAGAGGGAACCTGAAGCCAGGCAGAGACAGCATTTGACTGGTTCAAGTTCAGGATCAGCTTTATTTGGATCATTTCTACCAGGAGGTCCCAGCTGGAGGCTGGTTGGTGGTGTCTGGCTGTTAGGACCATTGACTGGGCTGGGTCTCGGTGTGGGTGCTGCACCAGGCTAGTGGCCTCCCTCCCTGCTTTAGCAAACAACCAGGGGCCCCCCACGGCCAGCTGCTTAGCAGAGCCCTGCGCTGGGAAAGGGTGCTTTGGTTTGCCTTGTCTTTGCACCCTTACCATGCAAGCGCACACTCTGCCAGTCCATCGCACTGCCCCTTGCTCCTGGCGGAGGGCCGGTGATGACCTTCGTCTGCTGAAGGTCGGTGTGAGGGGCTCCATGTCTCCCACGCTGACAATTTCAGATCAGGTTCCTCTTCCTTCTGTCCCCACTCTCCCCTCTCGGCCCCACTGAAAGGAAGCAGCTGCAGCGGCCCGTGCCCCTTCTGACGAGGTTCTCTGTGTCTCACAGACGACGATTTGCAGTGTGGCGGCTTGCTCACAAATAGCTCAGGCTCCCTCTCCAGTCCTTGGTACCCTCGGAAGTACCCCACAAATGTGGTGTGTGCCTGGGACATACAGGTGGATAGCAGGGCCCGCATCAAGCTTACCTTTCAAGTGGTAAAGTGAGTAAACATTTGCTACCTTCACCATCATCTTCACCCAGTTACGCAGCCCTGCTTCCCTGCCCGCCTCCTCCCCTGCTCTCGGAAAGTCCCCATAACTAATTTTTACAAGTGAGTTGGGGGGGAGTGGCTCTTGGCCTAGCAGTTCCGAGGTCAGTTCAAGGGCCTGCATCCCACGTTGCAAGGCCTGGGCTCCACAGCTGACTCCCGCTTCCTGCTAACGTGGACCCTGGATAGCTGGAGTGATTGGGTTCCTGCCACGCCCACAGGAGACCTGAATTGACTTCTGTGCTTCGGCCTGGTCCAGCCCCAGCTTTGTTGCAGGCCTTTGGAGAAGAAACCTCCCTCTCAAATAAATAAATTTTTAACTAAAGGTTAAGATGGTTTAAAAATATGTGAGCTAGGCTTTGGGGGCTCATTGTATCATACGTCAAAATTTAAACACACAGACTGTTAACCCAGCAGTCCCGGTTCCGGGAGTTTGCTGTGCAGTCGAGGATAACTAGGGAAGCACAGCAGGAGCAGGTGGAATCCAGCTGCTTGTCCGTCAGTAGGGCACCAGTGCGTCCACACGTCGCGGTCACCACGTGGTGTGCTCGCTGTGGAACAAGCAGGAGAAACGTGGACGCGGTGCAGGCTGCCGCCACTTGTTTGTGGACTGGCGCTGGAAGGAGGTCAAAAGAAACCCTGCGCTGAAGCCGCTTCGTGGAAGGAGAGGGGAGGGAGAGGGGGCTGAGTCAGGGGAGGGGCACAAGTGTGTCCATCAGTGCTGCTTACACCCTGTTCCACGTGCTTGCAGTACAGTAGAAAGCCGCACTGAGTTATGGGATTAGACCTCTGACCATTAAACCTCCCGTGTCTGTAGGGCCAGGGCTTCCTCCAGCCCCTGCATGAGATGTAGATTTCAGGTAGCTTTCCCCGAGCCTGCCCAAGCCCATCTGGCTGGGAAGAGAGCCCCAGCGGACTGGGTCTGAAGAAGCCATCTTGCTTCACAGGCTGGAAAATTTCTACGGCTGCCCATACGACTTCATCGAAATCTTCGATGGTCCGCAGAGCGAGCCGTTCTCGCTGGGGAAGTTCTGTTCCGGGGCCGCCCGGGTATTCACCTCCTCTGCAAACCACCTGACCGTGGTGTTCCACAGCGACGCCATCATCACCAACAGCGGCTTCCACGCCTCCTACGAGTCTCTGGTGCCGGATGAGAATGACGCTGGTAGGTCCCTGGCTGTCTCAGCCCCTGGCCCAAGGGAGAGTGCTGGATGGCCAGCTCAGGCGAGTGGGCCCTGGGGACCTGAAAGGGGGCTCCCTGTGCTGCTTGGGAGTCACGTGACTTGGAGACCCGGACCAAACACTTGGCACTGCCCTGGAAGAATGCACCTGCTCATATCTTCTGACGGTCAAGGCCAGCCCGCGGTGCTGAGGAAGGTCCTCCACTTGCCCTTGTTTCATTCCAAACCGTGTGTGGTTTCTTCTCACCTGGCTTGAAGAGAGCTACTCCACGCCGAGGCAGCAACCGAGCTGGTGGTGTTGACCAAGGCTGAGGGTCCTCCTTCACCTCCATCAAGGAGAGAGTTAACCCAGTCTGGAGAAAAGCCTTGACACCCCTCCCCCAGTCTTCAAAGCCAAAGTGCCCCTAGGGCCGGCTCGGCCCCCGAGGGTGGGAGGGCCCCCGGCAGCGATGCCCGTGGGCCCAGAGCGCTGATTCGTGCACCTCCTCTCCCAGGGGTGGCCATCAGGCTGATGGACGGCAGCCACCGGTGTGAAGGCCGCGTGGAGCTGTACTACAACGGCACCTGGGGCACGGTGTGTGACGACAGCTGGGACCTGCGCGACGCCCAGGTGGTGTGCGGGCAGCTGGGCTGCGGCGGGGCTGTGGCAGCCCCGGGACAGGCGCATTTCAAGCGCGGCGAGGGTCCCGTCGCTCTAGATGATGTGGAGTGCGTGGGGACGGAAGCCAAGCTGTGGTGGTGCCTGCACAATGGCTGGTTTGCCCACAACTGTGGCCACCATGAGGACGCCAGCGCCGTCTGCTCAGGTGGGCCCTGACCCGGAGCTGGGGGCAGCTGGGAGGCTCCAGCTTGGCTGCTTAAGGCTATAGGAAGTCCCCAGAGCCCCGGCCTACTGTTCCCCAAAGGTTGGCCCCTCTGGCCCCCTGCATGATCCCTGCCACCCACTCTGCAATTTTCTTAATACTTCCCTTAAGTTGACCTCTTTTTTTTTTAACATATATGGACCTATTTTGCAAGACGACTTTATAGCACCACGATAAAAGGAAAGTCAGGACCACTTACCACCAATGATCCCTGAAATCACAGTGGCAAAAAACCAATGTTTATAAACAATGAATTTTCTAATCTAATCCCTTCACACCCATGCATCTCTGAAAATATCCTTAATCAGAATGGAACCAGATATAATTTTTTTAATTTTAGGATGATAAATACACGACACTTAAGGTAGAAGAGGTGCCTCTCAGATTATCCCTCAGCCCAGCAGGGGTGGGTCGTCCCTTTGCTCAATCCCCAGTTCTACAGAGAACACGGGACTCTCCTAACAGCTGGGAGCCAGCCCAGGGCTCGCAGGCCTCAGGCTTGCACCAGCTGAGCCTCTGCAAACAACTTCAGAAGTCCCCACCTGCATCCCTCTGGGTTAGGCTGGGAAGAGCCAAACTTGCTTATCAGCTAGACGACCTGAGAGAGGGGAGGGCGTAGGAGGGGGAGGGGCCATGGAAGGTTCAGAGAGGAGAGAAGCTGGGGGTCGGGGTCAGTGCCCCAGGGGTCAGCACTATGGCACTGGGAGTTCAGCCAACGCTTGCAACCCTGGCAACTCGTGTCGGAGCTCGAAGTCCGGCTGCTCCGCTTCCAATCCAGCCCCCTGCTAATGCACCTGGGAAAGCAGCAGAAGATGGCCCAAGTGCTTGGGTCCCTGCCACCCAGGTGGGAAGCCTGGATGGGGTCCTGGGCTCCTGGCTTCCACCTGGCCCAGTCCCAGTCATGGTGGCCTTTTGGGTTGTAAACCAGCACCTAGAAGACCTCTCTCTCTCTCTCTCTCTCTCTCTCTCTCTCTCTCTCTCTCTCAGATAAATACATCTTTAGAAAAACTAAGAAGCTCAGATAAGGGCAGCCTCTCCCCAGACAAGACATTGTGTATTTCTGATACAAGCGAGCAGGTCACCCCCTTGGGTTTAAGAGCAAAGAAGGGCGATAACCTCCCACTGTCTCTTTCACAGCCTCTCCGCCTCACTCGACACCATCAGCTGCCGAGAGTTCCACCGTGTCAGGTACCTTCCCGCGTTCTTCACGGATCAGCCGTAGCTGACCTGGGCAAAGTGACCGGCAGAGGGGCGGTGGTTCAGGAGCCGGCGTCCTGCTTCACCGTGTACCAGCCTGCCTCCGGCAGACCTCTGAGCTGCTTCTCGCCGCAGGTTCCTCCTGGCACGGGGCTGCGGAGGGCTGGGGCATTTGCCTCCCTGGGTGTGTTGGGATTCAGGGCTCTGTCTGCAGAGTAGCTGTGGCAGGGCGTGCCATTGGGGTGTCCGTCTCGGTCCCTGACCCCGCCTCGCCCGAGGCCAGAGCACTGCCGGGGTTACCTCTGTGTGCTACTCTCTGCTTGACACACTGTCGAGAATGAAGACGCTGAAAGCGACATCGCTTTTCTGTTTGCTCCCGGCTCTGTGATCGGCCAGCAGGTGTTACACGTCACATCCGGTCAGCTGCTCGTCCAGGTCTTTAAGAGTAAAGTGCAGTATGTAAGGAAGGGTTAGGAAAGTGAGAAACGCGCCCGCCCTCCGAGGAAGGGCCAGGTAGGGCTTCCTGGAGAGCAGATCGGTTCTTGACTTTAAACTACGTCTGTGTTTCAAATCAGCCGCCAAGCACCACGCTTGGGTGTCCTTGAGCTTGTAGGAGCATCAGCTGCCTTGTACTCCCTGCACACACCAGCTGGGTGATGGAAGGAGGACCCCCCACCGAAGGGGCACCAGAAGGGACCCAGTCTAGAAGCAGAAACTGTCTGTGGTTGGTGCGCAGGGCGGAGAGCCCTCTGACAGCCGACCCGGAGCTGAATATGTCTGACCTTAACCGAAAAGCTGTGTCATTTTCTTTTGTTTTCTGTCTGTCCTTAGCATCCTTCCCAAAGTCAACAGCGATGCCCACCTCAGCAGGTAATCCTTTCCTCTCCTTTCCACTGCCTTCCCTTTGTAGAGTTTTAGCTCAGAAACCCTCATATTACAGTGGAAGGAAGTGTTCCTGCCATTTCTACCTTCCTCTAGTGCCCCTCCCCCCGGGGGCCCCCCCCCCCAAAAACCCCCCCCCAAAAGATCCCCTCCCCCCAGTGCCCCCTCCCCCAAGACCCCTCCCCAGAGCATCCCCTCCCCCAGTGCCCCCGTCCCAGCACCCCATTTCCGAGTGCCCCCTTCCCCCAGTGCCCCCTCCCCCAAGACCCCTCCCCAGAGCATCTCCTCCCCCTCCCCCAGTGCCCCCGTCCCGGTGCTCCCTTTCCGAATGCCCCCTTCCCCCAGTGCCCCCTCCCCCAAGACCCCTCCCCAGAGCATCCCCTCCCCCAGTGCTCTCTCCCCCAGTGCTCCCTCCCCCAAGACACCTCCCGAGAGCATCCCCTCCCCCAGTGCCCCCTGTCCCAGTGCCCCATTTCCGAGTGCCCCCTTCCCCCAGTGCCCCCTCCCCCCAAGACCCCTCCCCAGAGCGTCCCCTCCCCCAGTGCCCCCTTCCCCCAGTGCCCCCTCCCCCAGTGTCCCCTCCCCAGAGCATCCCCTCCCCAGAGCATCCCCTCCCCAGAGCGTCCCCTCCCCCCAATGTCCCCTCCCCCAGTGCTCCCTCCCCCAGTGCTCCCTTCCCGCAGTGGAAAGTTATGCAGCACACCAGTTGCTTGTCTACCTCGCCCAGGAACAACTGTTTCTTAGTAATTGTAACCTCAGAAGAAACCACTGAGGGGCCCCAGGACCACCAGGGTGAAATGAAGGGGGGGGGGGGGCACTGTGCTCTGCGGCTGTCAGCGCACGTTTCCCAGGACGCAGCTGGCTCTTCCGGTAGCCTCCTGGGGAAGCCTTCACGGAAGCCGTTCTTTGGAATTCCTGCCAAGGTCTGCGCCTGCGGCTGGTGAACGGGTCGAGCCGGTGTGAGGGCCGAGTCGAGGTCTACCACGCCGACACGTGGGGCACCGTGTGTGACGACAGCTGGTCCGTGGAGAATGCGCACGTGGTCTGCAGGCAGCTGGGCTGCGGCCTGGCCGTGTCCGCCCTCTCGGGGGACAGCTTCAGCCCCGGCTCGGGCCACATCCTCCTGGATGACGTCAGGTGCACCGGAAGGGAGTCCTCCCTGGAAGAGTGTGCTCACCGAGGCTGGTTCAGCCACGACTGTGGCCACCACGAGGATGCCGGTGTCATCTGCTCAGGTGAGCGCAGGGCCTCCTGACCAGTGGTGGGGCTGCCCGTGCCAGGCCTGGAATTCCCAGAGAGAGCTGGAAAAGGCCCAGCCTCCGGCCTTCCCCCGTGACCATGAGAGTTTCCGCTCCAACTCGGAACGGTTTGCCAGCTGCTTAGTGCAGGGAAGGGCCCCATTCGACCTGAGTGAGCAGAGCAGGTTGTGACATGGAGAAAATTAGGGCTCCAGTCTCGGAGGGCGACTCTCGGACAATCCACACGGAACGTTTGGCCAACTGGCTGACCGCCGTCATTGGTGTTTAGCTAAGACAACATCTGTAAACTTCGGCCTCAGTTTCCAGCCAGCTGAGATCATGCATTGCTGGCTGTGGCCCGCAGGGGGCAGTGTGGGTGCTTCGCAGCGAGTGCTCTTGGGTTTAAACTGGGGCGGTGTTCTCAAAAGCACGCCGCCTCTGGTTTCTAACATTAAATAGCCGGTGTGCTTCTCTCACCTCCACAGGGGCGACAGCTGCTGGACAGCCAGGTATCTCTGAGTTTCCATCCGGTGTATCTACTGACAGGTGACTGCGGGGTCTGCCTTCTGAGCTTTGACTTTCCTGACGTTGGTCCCAAGGTCAAGGCTCTTCCACCCTCCCCCCCAAAAACTGAGGATCCAGGGCTGTGTCTCATTCCTTGGGGTCCTGCTGTGTGCACCCAGCGGTAAGGCTGCTCTTGGTGTTAGAGGTGAATGTATCATTCCTTCCATGTCTAACACTCCAGCTCTTGACCCAAATTGGTAATTCATACCAACCTTGGCAAGCCCAACAGGGCAGGAGGGCCTGGGGGTAGGGGGGCCTGGGGGCCAGGAGGGCCTAGGGCCTGAGGGCAGGAGGGGCTGGGGCCGGGAGCTGCTCCTCTCCCTGCAGCCCTACCTGGGACCCAGCATGCACCCACTAAAATATGTCCTGCATGCAGGGACTGTATCTCAGTCCCCGTAGGAATTTGCTTTCTTTTGTGCTATTCATCAGAATGGTGTGCACACACCCGAGAGCCGCCATCACACTGTAAGCAGTGACTGACTAGAGACTGCATGGGGTTGGTCGTGCCAGCCCGTTTACGCGCTCCACGCGGTGTCTGCAAGATGCCGTCGCGCTGTGTTTGTCTGGAATGTTCTCAGGGTGACTGGCTTCCTTCTTCGCTTGGGCAGTGTCTTCGACTCCCGGGGCGCACTGGCACGTTTTCCATCCAATAGGTACTCTTCCCATTCCTACGTGGTGTAGCTTGTCGGAGGCTGGGGTCCCGCCGTCGGCGGCCAACAGGAAAGCAGCAGCTGCTTCCAGGGCAACAGGCAGAACGGAGTGAAAGCTGTGCTGGCCCCGTCTCCTAGGCCAGGGGTCCCGACACGGAGTCCTCACCTCGCAGCACCGCAGCGGGTGCCTGGGCCCCCGGGCACTCTTACTGGCCCCTCTTGCAGGGACCCCCTGACCCAGCCCCATCTCTGGGGGCTCAAACCCTGAGAGTGAACTCTGGGTGCCGAGGAACCCGCCCGTGGCCAACCCCTCATTTCCTGCAGCAGAGGGGCTGCGTCTTCTCTGCTCGATCGTCCGACCCCCAAGCTCCCCTGTCGTCTCCCGGCAGGGTTTTCCAGATTCAAGGAAAAGAAAACTCCTTTTGTCCTGAGAATCTCATGATGTTCTCTGGGAGACCTGAGCTGGCAAAGTCTGAACTGCAGACACTCAGGCTGCCTGGGTCTGAAATTTTAGAGAAACCACGTGGGAGATGACAGCAACTGGGCATGGACGTAGGATGCTGTTTGCGAGGGCCCGGCGACAGCTGCTGGTGAGGACAGGCAGCGTGGAGTCTGTGCTGAATTGCACACGCAGAAAGCAGCCGTGCCTCTTGCTCTGCATGTGCAATGCCCCCGTGGGCGTCCCCAACAGCAGACAGTAGAGGGGCTCAGGTTCCTAACTGGAAGCACCACCCCATGGGAGAATGGAAGGGCCCTTCTCAGGCCGCCGTGGTTCTTGGATCCTGCAGATCTGCCGGTGGTGAGACCGGCCGATGGGAGGAGCAGGTGCTAGGGCCGCGTGGAGATCCACCACAGTGGCACCTGGGGGTCTGTGTGCGACGACCTCTGGCAGCTACCTGCCGCCCAGGCGGTGTGCTGGCAGCTGGGCTGCGGGCCCGCCCTGGAGGCCCCCGGGGGGAGTCTGTTTGGCGATGGCTCCAGCCCCATCTTTCTAGACGATGTGAGGTGCACAGGCACCGAGAGCAGCCTGGGGCGGTGCCACCACCTTGCCCTGTCCGTCCATAACTGCGGCCACCACGAGGACACCAGGGCCATCTGCTCGGGTACTTGCCCCCTGCAAAGCCAGGCTTCCCCATCCAGCCTCCCACAGCACCCACCTCTCAAGCCGACCCTGGCCGACCTGCGGGCCCAGGTCGGGTGAACCAGTTCTCCTGGTTTGCCCGGAAGGGCCCTGGTTTCAGCACTGGGCATCCCACGTCCTGGGAACCCTCCTTGGACTCAGACAACCCAGGACGCTGGTCGCCCGGTGTCAGGAGAGGAAGGTGCCCTGCCCGACGTCACAGCCCATTCCCCTGGGCCTGGAAGAGATCATGACCAAGCAGCGCCCTCAGCCAGGAGGTTCTGCCTGGGCCCTGGGCGCCTCCCCGCTCCCAGGAGTGGTTGCCTACGTGCGCCAAGTTCATGCATTTCTCTGAAGCTCCTTCCCAGAAAGAGCCACCTGCTCTGCTCGTTACCTGGACGGGGACTTCCTCGCACAGGGACAGCTTCGTGCAGTCACCCTAAACAGTTGAATGAGAATGCTGAATGCCCGATTTGATGCCCTTTTTTTTTTTTTTTACTAAATAATTGTGTGAAAAACACACCTGTGACCCCCAGCCCCGACAGCGGCCTCCACGAACCCCAGAGCCACCGCCGCTCCCCGAGGGCCCGGATGAGACAGGATGTTTCCGGAAGTTGACAGCTTCCCGTAGAGTTCAGGGAGAGGCTTCCAGAACGATGGGTCGGGGTCTCACCCAGCAAGGGAGAGACATCTGGAGCCCCCGCAGCATGGGTGCTGCCTTTTCCAGAATGTTCTGAACCGCCACACAGGCACAGGTGGCAACTCCCGTGCCCCCTCAGCTTCGTCAGCACTCACCTCCGCTCACTCAGACGCCTCGGGTGTTCTCTCCCGGGTGCCGAGCTAGCGCCAGCGTCCGCAGCACCGGCTCCCACGGTCGGTGAGGACCCTCTCGCTGTGTGTCCCGGGGCTTCCTGGTCACTCGGTCCTTCCGGGGCCTCCCTGCGGTTACAGCAGCTCTGCTGGTGCCAACCTACGTTCATGCCTCCCCAGGACGGAGGAAATTCAGAGTCAAAATGGAGGGCGAGGCGGGCTGGCGCCATGGCGTGCTAGGCTAATTCTCTACCTGCGGCGCCGGCATCCCATATGGGTGCCAGGTTCTAGTCCCAGTTGCTCCTCTTCCAGTCCAGCTCTCTGCTGTGGTCTGGGAAGGCAGTGGAGGATGGCCCAAGTGCTTGGGCGCCTGCACCTGCAGGGGAGACCAGGAGGAAGCACCTGGCTCCTGGCTTCGGATCGGCGCAGCATGGGCTGTAGCAGCCATTTGGGGAGTGAACCAACGGAAGGAAGACCTTTCTCTGTCTCTCTCTCTCTCTCACTGTCTATAACTCTATCTGTAAAAAAAAAAAAAAAAAAAAAAAAAAAAAAAAAAAAAAAAACAAACAAACAAACAAAAAACAAAAAAAAACACAGAGGCACAGAGGGCGAGGTGATGAGCAGAGCTGGCTGCTGCTCCCCTCTGGTTCATGAAAAACGTCTTTAGACTTTGAACTTGGGCCAGTGGGGGCGAGTTTGGCCCAGAGGAAAGCATGAAAAGTTGAACACAACATAACCCAATGTTACTGCCTATCAATTTCATGGCTTGACTCCCAAATAAGTATTCATCCTTACTCTTATATCTACCGTATTTCCAATTCAAAGATGGGAAGGAGGGAACAAAACCCTGGGAACCAGAAATGGGCTGGAACAGCCGGGCAGTGCGTTTATCAGCTCCAACTGGGCTCCGTTCCTTGTGACCAAGAACAAGAGTTTCTGGGTCTCTAGAGTGTGGGTGTATCAGGATACAAACTGAAGCAAAGTCCCGTCAGAAATCGCCTGCCCAGGTCCAGCAGCGGCCTGTGGGTCTTCCCCAGGCCTGCCCACCATCAGGTTGGTTGATGGGCACCTTGAACCCAGCACAGAGGCACGTGCGGCACCGTGTGTGCAGACAGCTGGGGGGCGGGGCTTCAGGGCCCTGGGGTGTGGACATGCAGGGAGGGTTGGGGAGCAGTGTGAGGGCCACCAGGCCTTGCTTGGCCTGTGCTACCATCGGGGCCTGTCCGTCCACAGCTGTGGCCACCTCAAGGATGTGGGGTCATCCACTCAGGTACTCACTCCCGGCTTTCTCCTATGGCTGCCAGTTCCATGACTCTTGGTGGGGACCTGGGAATTAACATGGGGACTTTTGGGTCCCATTGAGGTCCCCTAAACACGTGCCCAGGGACAGTGCAGTGTCCACGTGCTGAGGCTCACGGGATCAGCAGGTACAGCACAAGCCAGCGCCAACCCAGAGTCCCTCTACCTGTGTGCTGCCCTGACCTTGGATCTGGGAGGCTGCCCTGGCATGCTGCCTCCCCTCGTTTGCTGTCTGCCCAGGGTTTGATCCAACACCAGGGATGCCTCCCAGGGCCCGCGGGCTCTGCAGTCCCCAGAAGTTGCCAGCTCTGTCTGTTACTACTGTAGGCACAGCGGTCCTTCCTTGCTTCGTCCCAGCACGGTCTGTGTTGAGCTCTAGTGCTGACTTGGTTGCGCTGGTCTGGGGAGCTACATGAACAAATCCTGGTTCCTCTCGCCCTCAGCGCTATTTCCTTTTTGGCCTTTATGGTTTGAGACCACTTGTGTCTTCTTGGAAAGTCAGCCCAGTTTGTGCATTACCTGTTTTCTTTCTCTTGCCAAAAAAGTAGAATATGAAAAAAAAAAAAGTCAGATGGGGCCGGTGTTGTGGCACAGCAGGTTAACTGCCACCTGCAATGCTGGCATCCACAGGGGTGACGGTTGGAATCCATGATGCTCCGCTTCTGAGCCAGCTCCCCGTTAGTGCACCTGGGGAAGCAGTGGAGGCTGGCCCAAGCCCCTGGGCCCCTGCCACCCACGTGGGAGACCCAGACGGAGTTCCAGGTTCCTGGCTTCAGCCTGGCCCAGCTCTGACCGTTGCAGCCATTTGGGGAGTGAACCAGTGGATAGAAGATCTCTCTCTCTCTCTCTCTCTCTCTCTCTCTCTGCCTTTCAAATAAATCAAACAAATCTTTTGAAAAGAAAAAAAAATAAGAGTAAATGAAATATCTACTACTCAGCTTATCTTAATTTTATAGGACAAAGTCTAAAATAATAGAATATAATGCATTTAATTTAATTCATTCATCCACTTATTTAGCAGACGTCTCTGGAGCACATCATACGTGCCTGGCACTGAGGTGCACCCAGGTACTGAGGGCGTCCAGGTGAACTCAGCAGACAGCAATCCTCCTGCCGTGGGGCTCGCCTCCCAGTGAACAGCCCACTGAGCTGTGCACTTCCACTGCAGTAGATCGTCAGCAGAAGGAGATGGGGGCGGGCATGGTGGTTGAGACACCCCTTGGCATGCCCGCATCCCATATCAGTGTGCCTGGCTTTGAGTCCCAGCTCGGTTTTCTGCTAATGTGCGTGCTGGGAGCAGCAGGTGACGGTACAGGTATTTGGGTACCTGCCACCCATGTAGGAGGCCTGGACTGAGTGCCTGGTTCCCAGCTTCAGCCTGGACCAGCCCAGCCATTGCAGGTATGTGGGGGTGGGAGGTGGAAAAGGCAGCAGGTGGAACATAATCCTGGGTCCCCTCCTACCTCCCATCTTTCTGCCTAGCAAACAAAGGTTTAAAATAAAATAAAACTATTTTTATTTTTTAAAGATTCATTTTATTTATTTGAAAGAGTTACAAAGAGAGAGAGAGAGAGAGAGAGAGAGAGAGAGAGAGAGATCTTCTATCCACTGGTTCACTCCCCAAATGGCTGCAATGGCTAGAGCTGGGCTGATCCAAAGCCAGGAGCTTCTTCCAGGTCTCCCATGTGGGTGCAGGGGCCCAAGGATTTGAGCCATCTGCCACTGCTTTCCCAGGCCATAGCAGTGAGCTGGATTGGAAGAGGAGCAGCCGGGACTAGAACCGGCACCCATATGGGATACCTGCACTTCAGGCCAGGGCTTTAACATGCTGCACCACAGCGCCGACCCCTAAAATAAATTTTTTAAAAAGCAAATGAATGCTGAATCAGGGGTCCCAACAGGCTTTATGATGTTAAGGGGCCACTTTTCTATAGTGTTCAGATAACTTGGTTTTGTTGTAAAACTGATTTGGTGAAAATGAGGAATCAACGTTAGAAACCTGAGGTCAGAGTCGGGAAGGGGCCGCTGTCCAGGCGCAGTGAGCGGCCGCTCCTTCCTCTCCCTGGGCTGTGAATGTTGCTCCTCCCTGTGCATCCCTGTGTCCATTTCAGTCTCAACTACGAGAGCTTCTCATTTTTAGCTTCACATTCCAGAAGTTGTCTGTGTTGATTTTAATGCATCTAAGGTATACATTTTGAAGTAAAGAAAAATGTGTCTTCTAAATTCCTATTTATTCTCAATTTCAGCATCAGCCACAGAAAGGACCACGACACCTGGTAATTTTATTTTCATTCTTGCTTTCTATGAATCCGATGCGTGGCTATCACCTTGCATGTGGTTAGCGTTGGAGTTTATATCTCTTATGAAACTAAATGTCAAGCTCATCTCAACTCATGTAAGGTGTTTATGCACTCATGGACTGGGGCGGGAAATTGAAAAGATCGGTGAGATGCAGTCTTTGTCGTCTGTTCCTTCCCCTGGTGTCATGGCTGCTCTGGGATCGCATTTAGTGGCCCGGCTTCACGCACGTGCTCCCCAGCGCCCACACATGGGACTCTTCAGTAAGCCTGGCTTTTTCCAAACCATCACAGGACTTCACACACCTCTCCCAAAACTCCTCCTTAAATCTGCATTTTTAGAAAATAGTAGGGTACCTCATCTCCCACGTGTGTTTCACGGTACCAGAGACTGAGCCAGGGACATGCAACTTTTGGTAAAGGATTTTTGTTTAAACCAATGCTTCTCCGACCTCTTTGGTCACTGAAACCTTTTAAGAAGTAATGCAGCATCATGGACTTGGATGTTACGTTGTGGCTGCAGCCTTAACCAGCCGGGTGACGTGGGCAAGCCCCCTGCTCTCAGGGCCTTGGTCTCTTCGTCTGTAGAGCAGGACGAGAATGGACACCTTGCCTTGGGGACTGGGTGTCCACACCTGTACAGTACGCAGTGCTGCACACGCAGGAGTCACTCTCCCCAGGAATGTGTCAGCTGCCACCTGCCCAGACCTGGCTTGGCTTTCCAGTGTCAACAACCCTGTGTCCTCTTGCAAACTTCCTGCCTCCGCGCACCCTGAAGATCATCCCAGAGCTTGGGGTGAACACTGTGTGGTTTAAAAGTTGGAGGAGAAGTCTCAGCTCACCTCAAGTCACCCCAACTCCCAGTTTCCTCTAAACTATCCCAGGTGAGGCAGACACTAACCTCTAAGGAAAACGGGGCAATGCCGTGTACGTCTCTTCTCATGGTTGCCTCTGCAAGGACAAGTTAGAAACGGCAGCAGCACAGTGTAGCCCTTCTCCAAGAATTGGAAGAAACCTTAGAGACTGCTCAGATCTGAAGTCACAAAGGAGGCAGCCCCTGGGCCAGCTCTGTCTCACCCATGGGTGTGGTTTCAGACAACCCAGTTTTTCCTACACTGTCCACATGATTTTTAATCCCAAATTTTAAAAATAGGAGATTTCACACAGCATATAGATTTCCAGCTTCGATTAAAACATCTGAGAATGGTTAACGGTAGCCTGAGTTGCTATGAGCAGGGCACCGATTGCCAGGACTAAGAAGGAAGAAGCTGCCCGCCTGACACGGGCACACGCTCTCCTGTTTGCTCCTGACCTGTGCCATGCATGTGCAGGCCCGCAGGTAGCTCCATTTGCATGCTTGGTGCTCCTCGGAGGTTAATGCCCACGCAGCGTGCCTGGAGATCTTGTTAAACGGCGGGTTCTGGGCAGTGCCTCCCAAGAGTCTGTCTTTCTGCCAAGGTGCTGCATGTGCTACCAGGCTGTGGGGCAGCCGCCCTCAGACACAGCAGCTAAAGCCCAGAGACACATGGAGACTTGTCTACGGCCACTGCTCTGTTACACAAACAGCAGGGACAGAACCCAGACCTGCTGGGCCCCAGCCTATGCACCGCCTTCCTAAACATTTATTTCCCTTGGCTCAATGACACAGAGAATAGAAGCATCAAACAGGGACAGCGCATAATCAAATATGAACACAGTCGTGGGGGTAATGTGTAAATTATTTTTGAAAAGTCTGTGCTGATGAACTTGGGGATAGTGTTTAATCACAGATTTCCTTACCTTTCCTTGTTTCACAGGCTCTGCCTCAATTGCAGACACCGACTTGGCTCTTACAGCTGGTAACAAGCTCCCAGTGATTTGTTCCTTGCACTAAGAGTACTGCTCTGCTCAAATTCTGACCAGATAAGCAGTGATGCCCCCAACTGGTCTAGGAGTCATCGCGCTAAGTCAATCCCTTGGAAAGTAGACGAGGACCCAGAAACAGACAGCAAGGGCCTCTGTAGCCAGATGAAGACCCCACCATTCCAGCTCGGGAGAAGGTGGAGCACCCGGAGTCTGGTGCTCGGGGCCTGCTGTTCCGAGCTTCTACACACATCTAACAGTTGGCTGTCTGGGCTTCCCATTGACCGTGTACTAGGAGAGAGAGAGATGATGACCCACCCGGGGCTCCCACATAGGTGCCAGGGGCCCAGGCAGGGCCTTCCCAAGTGCATTAACAGGGAGCTAGAGTGGAAATGGAGCCGCTGGGACTCTAACCGGCACCCATATGGGATGCCAGCATCACAGAGCAGCCTACCCTGGTGGACCATGCAGGCTCCCGGACGTTCTAAATGTAGCAACGCGAGGCCAAAGCACCCACTCACCCCCGCATCCTTCGAGACCCTTTATATGACATCTCTGAACAATGACGAGATTCTTCCTAACGAGTCTGAATCGTACAGATGAAAACCTGATCAATATCTGGGCGGGCGTTGTGGCCACCACCTGCAACACCAGCATCCCAGTGTGAGCTCCGGTTTGAGTCCCGGCTGCCCCACTTCCAATCCAGTTCCCTGCCAATGCACCTGGGAGGGCCGTGGGGGATGGCCCAAGTACTTCGGCACCTGCACCCATGTGGGAGACAGGGGTGGAATTCCAGGCTCCTGGCTCTGGCCTGGCCCAGCCCTGGTCCTCTCTTCCTGTCTCCCTCTGCCTCTGTAACTGTGCCTTTCAAATAAGTATTTTTTAAAAAAAAAATCTGATCAATATCTTCTGTTTAAAAGGACAGCGAAGTATATTTCATTTCTGGAATGATTCCATTTATAGTATGACAGCGCATATGCTTTTAATTTCAATTTCATTACTTAAACTTTAATTCTGGAGGACGGGAAACAAACAGCCCTCATCACTAGCATTTTTCCAACAACAAAGCCTGGTAAAGGCAGAGTTGTAAGAAATCAGAAAACACATCCAGCGTCCTGACCAGGACCAGGACGTGTTCCACGTGCAGGCACGCCTTCCACCGTGGAAAAAGTGACTCTTCCACCAGGTGATGCCCTCTGTGCCTAGTGCGCAGGTGTAGAAGTGCCTCTGTCCCACCCCCGGGCCGAGACCGGGACCAGCCTAGGGCAGTGTGGTGTCAGCTCATCACCGTCTTTGTCCAAGCCAGACGCTGGACCAGGCACAGGTGGCGGCGGGACAGAGAGGGGACACCTCCCGCTGGGCTCTCACACCATCCTGCGGGCTCCTTCACAGCACCGGCCACCGCAGCAGTTTTGCATTGAAGCCTCTGTCTTTCGCCTGTCGCTGACGGCAGGAAGAATATGTAACTGTGTTGACAGCTTCACTCAGAGGCCAGCCCAGAGCCTGGCACAGGGGGTCAGGCAATCGAGGTTTTGTTAGTGAAAGAAACGAAGGCCATACTTTGTATGCTTCAAGGGCCAAGAGAAGAAGACAAGTTAACTGTGCAGCAAGGTTCACTTTCCCTTTGCTGGGTTTTGATCAAGTCCTTCTCTTTATTTCCAGGACCTCTGAATATCGCTGCAACTACTCCAGCAGGTAATTTAGCTGTCGTGCTCGCTATAAAAACTTCTATTTGGTTTTCTGGTGAATTCCTTAACCAACTGTCATGTGCTGGTGACATTCTTGATTTTTTAGTAAACTCCTAGGTTTTTAAAATATGTCTATGTTGACCTCAGTCATGAGGGCGATCTCTGGATGCCCTGATAGTGAGTGAATTCTGGGGAGCCCAGTTAAATGCCTGAGCCAAGGGGAATTCATTGAGCCGGTTAAATTACCTACTGGACTGGTGGAGGGTCTGGGGTAATTTCCTATTGGAGTCTATAGCTGGAGTCTCTCCTGGTGACCAACGACTCAGTGGTGTTGCCAGAACAGGGAGCCATCAAACTATGGCTCTGCCACATACCCAGAACACTCAGCTGGCATTCAGTAAGGGTGGCCACACGTCAGCTCTGTGCCAAGGAGCGGGGACCCAGCTGGCCAGGATGGCTAGTAGCTCACTCTCAGGCTGCTGGTCCGAATTGTCCAAGGAGCGCCTGGTGTGACTCCAGGTTCAATGATGTTACAAACAGAATGTGGAGGGAAGCAAATGAAATATAAAACAGCAGAGTCGGCACCGGACAGCAGGTCCTTACTGCTGAGAAAGGTGGCATGGAGGGCAACGCTTAGTGCCACAAACAGGCCTGCACCCTCGCCACCCTCAGCCCACCTAGGGGGAGTCCCCGTCTGCAGAGCTGACCCTCTCTTGGGCCCCTGCCTCCCACCTGCTACGCAGGAGGAGGAAGGCCAGGAAAGCAAGGCCCTGTTCGGGGACTGTGAGATCAGCTCCACCCGGATGACAGATGTGGCCCATGGCTGTGACCTCCACACAGGGATCTCTGCAAGAGGAGTGGGGGTGGCTGGGAGGCAGGGGAGGGTCTGGCGGGGTCCTGCCGCAGCCTGTGTCTGGAGAGCAGGGACAAGCCCAGCCCGGCACACAGATCTGTGCCACCACGAGGGGGTCTGACGGGACTGTCTCACTCTGCCCTGCCGGGTCTGCCTGCAGCTTCAGTAACCAGTGCAGCCAGTGCAGCCAGTGCAGCCGCCACACCAGGGTCCCACTAAGTGCCTCTTCTTGGTCCATTTATCCGATGAGGCTGTTTCTTGAAAGCTCTGTCTCCAATGTAGCTGCAGTAAAAATGTAAACCTGTGGGTTGCCTCTGCTGTATTTAAGTCTCTCTCTCTCTCTCTCCCTCTCCCTCTCCCTCTCCCTCTCCCTCTCCCCTTATCTATAGACATCTTGTCAACCTCAGCAGAAGTGACCTCTCCATCCGGTAAAGTCTTACTCCTGCTTTTTGTTTAGTTTTTATTTATTTGTTTGCCTATTTGAAAGGCAGCGAGAGGGGGACACAGAAAGAGACATAGGTCTGCCACATACTGGTTCACTCCTCAAATGCCCACAGAAGCCAGGAGGACCAGGCCAGGCCGAAGCTGGAAAACCAGGCACTCCCTTTGGGTGCCCCACGGGGCTGGCAGGGACCCAAGGGCTTCACCTGCCGCTTCCCAGGGTGCCCATCAGAGGAAGCGAGAAGTGGAAGTACGGACAAGGGCTCGAACCCAGTGACCCAGATGCGGATGCAGGTGTCCACTGCACAGAATGGCCGTCTCTCACGCTGCTTCCGTTAACGAGACGATTGCTCCTCCACCGTGTTCTGCTCGGGAGATGCTGTCCGAGCCGCACCGCACAGCCTTCCTCCCACGTCTGAGTCCTTTTCTCTTTGTTTATGCAGAGGTACCTTCAACCCCGGCAGAAGTGCACCTGTCCTCCGGTAACGTTTTCTGCCCGTCACATTCTTAATTAAACATGATCAACTTTTCCTCCTCCTGTTTGGCAAATGAACACATATACTGAATATTTTGTCTGTGGCGTAAGTCTCAATATGGCTTGGGGGGAGCCAGTGCTGTGGCATAGTGGGTAAAGCTGCTGCCTGCAGTGCCGGCATCCCATGCGGGCACCAGTTCGAGTCCTGGCTGCTCCACTTCCGATCCAGCTCTCTGCTATGGCCTGGGAAAGCAGTAGAAGATGGCCCAAGTCCTTGGGCGCCTGCACCCATGTGGGAAACTTGGAAGAAGCTCCTGGCTCCTGGCTTCGGATTGGTGCAGTTCTAGCCATTGCAGTCATTTGGGAAATGAAGCAGCAGATGGAAGACTTCTCTCACTCTCTCTGCCTCTGCCTCTCTGTAGCTCTCTGCCTTTCAAATAAATGAATAAATCTTTATATATACATAAATGAATAAATCTTTCAATCTAGTTTAAATATATATATATATATTAACTAGGTTGCTTTTTACACAAATTGGGAGGCACTCACATTTTACTTCCCTTATGGACAGCCAAAGCCACTTCCTGTTTCTGCTGCAGTGGCTCTCGGGGTGTGAGGACAGGTGTGGTGGCCGTTGCCTTCCCCTGCCTCCCTACTCCGCGCATTGAGCCCAGCTGTATATATATAGCTGGAACTGGACCAGGCCAGAGAGCCAGGAGCTCAGAACTTCGTGCTGGTCTCCCACGTAGGAGGCAGGAGCCCAAGTACCTGGGCATCTTCTGCTTTCCCAGGCACCTTAGCAGGGCACTGGATGGAAGGCAGAGCAGCAGGCCTCAAGCCCGCACTCTGCGGTGGGATGCCAGCATCGCAAGTGGCACGATGCCCGCCCAATGTGCTGGTCCTGATCGGATGTGCCCCGGAGAGGCTGGGCTGGGCATCCGCACCTCGGCTGACTCCGGTGTTCCGGGTGACACTTCCGCCCAGCCAGCCCAGCCCGACTCGCACGCGAGAACCAGGTTGTTAGTCCTGCCAGTTCTCTTGTTTTCCACCACCCTGTCAGTCAAACTGAACATTCTCCCTTGCAGGGGCAGCTCTCTCGGCAGACGGGACACCTTCGTCTCCAGGTAGGCTGTCTGCTCCCTGCAGAGCCCGGTGGGAGGCTGAGAACCCCCCGCCCAGCGAGACTGCACACCTGGGCGGGCGAAACCCTCACTGTTCCTGCAGGTGAGGTCGGGGGAAAGAAAGGAGAGGTCAGGAGGCAGGCAGCTCCCCGGAGGACCCCGGTTACGCACTGAGCTCAGCGGAGGCAGGTGCTGGGCCAGGCTGAGCAGGACAAAGCAGCCGTCCGCGTGAGCCCCGGGGGACTTAGGGAAGCTGAAACCACACTGCTCAATGCTAACGTGCGGGCGCAGCTCCCGCGGACCAGGGAGGCCTGCACAGCAGAGGCTCCCATTAAAACGCAGGCTCAGCGGCTCCAGCTGGAGCGAACCCGGCATCACCGGCAGCTGCTGGGTGATGCCGACGCCGCCGGCCGTAGGGGAGGACGGAGGTGCTGAGCCTCCCCCCAGAACAGATAGACCTGAGGAAAGCCGGAGACCGGAGTGAGGCGGCGCCAGGCCTCCCGGGATCCATCCGAGGTCCTTTCTGCTCCCAGGCCTTGCTGAGACCCCGCCACGACCCCAGGTCCCTGCGCCGTCGACATCCTGAGTCACAGAGCTCTGGCTGCGTCAGAGACCGCCGGGGTGGAACTCAGTGCAGCCAGCGTTCAGTGCTTTCTTGTCCTTCCTGTCTCAGGACGGCTCTCCTTCCTCCCCGCCGCTCTCCCGCCTCGTTTGCCTTCCTTCCCCGCCTGCACTGTGGCTTCTCTGTTGTCAGTAGTTCCTGCCGCTCTCACTGGCTCCAGCCTTTCTTGTAGACTTGGCTGATGGCAACTAGGTTGCTTTTTACACAAATTGGGAGGCGCTCACATTTTACTTCCTTTATGGACAGCCAAAGCTACTTCCTGATTCTGCTGGAAGTGGCTCTCGGGGTGTGATGACAGGTGTGGTGGCCGGTACCTTCCCCTGTCTCCCTACTCCGCGCATTGAGCCCAGCAAATGCAGCTCCCATACCACACGCCCCTCAAGGGTTGGGACTGTGGGTGACCTGGCCCGTTGTCATTGTCCACCTCTCTGCTCCTCGTCGCCAGAGCAGTGAGGGCACGTAGCTGGCCCAGCTGTCCTGGGGATTAGAGATGCCAGCTTCTCATGGACCATTGCATGACTGAGTGTGTGCAGCCACAAGACAAATGAGCAGGTTGGATTTCCACTGCGTGCCACTCATGAAGCAGGCTTGTTGTCATAAACTTCTCAATGAAGCCAAATTCTAAGGCTTTCTTTTCACTAGACTTTTTTTTTTTTTTTTTTTGGCAGTCACAGATCCAATGTCAACCAAAGTGATACCATTACCTGGTAAGGTTCATACACCTTTTGCTAGAGTTCCAAAATTTACATTACCATATTCTATTATAAAGTCCACTGTTAATTTTCCTACATGGTTTCCCTCTGTATATTTTAATATGAAATTATGACTCTCATACATGATCTTTCTCTTACATAAAATGTTTCTGAGGAATCTGACTTGATTTTCTTTGCGTCATTTTCAGTCCCTGTAAGAATGGTCTTCCTTTCAAAAACATACATTTTTTAGGATTTTATGTATTTGAGAGGTAGAGTTACAGACAATGAGAGAGAGAGAGAGACAGAGAGAAAGGTCTTCCTTCTGTTGGCTCACTCCCCAAATGGCTGTAACAGCCAGAGCTGCGCTGATCCGAAGCCAGGAGCCAGGTGCTTCTTCCTGGTCTCCCATGCGGGTGCAGGGGCCCAAGGACTTGGGCCATCCTCCACTGCTTCCCCGGGCCACAGCAGAGAGCTGGACTGAAGTGGAGCAGCCGGGACTAGAACCGGCGCTTATATGGGATGCCGGCACCGCAGGTGGAGGTTTAACCTAGTGTGCCATGGCACCGGCCCCTCAAAAACATATTTATAAAGCTTCCTTTCTGACCACTTGGAGAATATGTAGGATATAACACGATTTGTTACATTTTCATGCCAAGTAAATCAAACTCAATGGACAGTGTTTATACCCCCAAACCAAAGTTGAAAATTAAAGTAATGGTGTCTGAAAGCAGAGAAATTCTTCGTCTTTGAATACAAACGTGTGGCTTGGATGGTTCGAGTTTTTAAAGCTTACTTTTTCTTATTCACAGTTACAATTTCAGTGGATGAAGAAATGATCCCTCTACTTGGTAACTTCTTTTTGTTTCTAACCACCGAAATGATGATGACTTTACAATGATGCTGTTAGAATCCTTTCTGTCTCATTTCCCTTTCCCACTCCTTACAGAAAAATGCTGTGCCCTTGTAGGCGTGTACGTGCAGACACACAGTTTGTAGGTCCAAATCCCCAAATCTGCCTCACTCAGCAGGAATCCGGCGCTCACACCAGCATGGCTGCCTTGCCCCCGGCATCAGAGGACATCGCCGGCAGCGCGGCTGCTGCCAGCCAGGGCCACTGCGCTCACCAGGCCTCCTCCGTGAGCCCAGCAGAGCAGGGGACCGGGAGACGCAGCCACTGCAGCCCCCTGACTGCAGAAAAACCGTCTGCTGGTTTTTCACTTTTTAGATAACCTTCTTTGAAGTCTAATTTGCATACATTAAATGCTCACACCTTCGAGTTTTCCGTAGCGTGCGGCTATGTTGGCACCACTGTCAGGATAGGCACGTCTGATCTGTCTCCCTCACCCACAAAGGCCGCCCGGCCCCTGGGGGTCTCTCCCGCCTCCCCACACCAACCCCGCTGTTCTCCGTCTCTGTGGATCACACAAAACCGCACAGAAACGGAACCAGGGTGTGCTCATCTGCTGCAAACCGCCTTGGCGGCTGGGCTGGGCTTTCTCCTGCGGGGAGCGCGTTGCACGGATCGCTCCGTGATAGCCACACGGCGTGCACTTCCCACAAGTTTCTGTATGTCTGATTTTTGCCTATTTCTTGGTTTCTCTCGGGCTGTATATTTGTGTTTAAAAATTAATTCCTTGGGTATTTTTGGAAAATTAGGAGCGGCTTCGAATGGCCGTTCCTTGAGGGCCGTGGGTCATTTGGGCTTTCCTTTGCGTGCCAGAGACTTAGGGCACGACAGCGCCAGAATCGGCCCCTCGCCGCGTAGTTCTCCACTGCAATGGCAGGTGGCCCCCGTGCAAGTCCAACGGCCGGCCGCGTCTCCAAGCCCCCTCCCCGCTGACTGCGCCTCTCGCCCCCGCAGACCCAGCCCTGCGCCTGGCTGGCGGGCGCGGCCGCTGCGAGGGCCGGCTGGAGGTGCAGCACCAGGGCGCCTGGGGCACGGTGTGCGACGACCACTGGAGCATCAGGAACGCGCGCGTCGTGTGCCGCCTGCTGCGCTGCGGCCGCGCGCTGGCCGCCCCGGGCCGCGCCCGCTTCGGCCCGGGCACTGGGCCCATTCTGCTGGACGACGTGCGCTGCGCGGGCACCGAGGACGCGCTGGGGCGCTGCGCACACGCAGGCTGGGCGAGGCACAACTGCCGGCACGACGAGGACGCGGGCGTGGTGTGCGCAGGTACCCGGCTCCCCGCGCTGTCCTCACGCGCGCTGGGGGGTGGGGGGTCTCCCCGCCCAGCAAACGTTGACCACCCTGAGGACTGGCAGGGGTGGCCAAGGCTCCAGATCCTGGAATAACGAAGCCCTGCTGGTTCCGGAAGCCTGCTAACGGTATTCATGACCCAGGCTTGGGAGTTTATTAGTTTTGTCCAATTCCAGTTTACGCAGCGTTTGTGCTGGTCTCTGGCTAAAAGATTATGAGATCAAGGGAAGGCCTGAGAACCCAATGAAATGACGAAGGACGTAGAACTCTGGTCAGCCAGACCACGTTTGTGCAGTCCCCGTGGAGGGCTGCGGCAGAGAGACGTGCTGCCAACACCGGCAAAAGTCAGAGAGCCGCCTCTCGCCCCGCCCCCGAAGTCCCAGGTTCCCGTCTGTCATCCAAGACTTGGCCTACACCTTGCCTCGAATGTGTTTTAGTATCACCTGACACGTGTCTTGGCATTCTGACCTCCATAGGCAGTTGAGTGCCTTCCATATGGGGTGATACTGTCTTGTATTTATCCTAAATGTACCCTAAAGTGACCCACGTGGATCTCAAGGAGTTGTGAAATTCCAAGAGTCGGTGAGCCAATCTGGCCTCACCTTGTCTGTTCTGTTCTGTGCCTCTTGCAGGTCCGTCCCGGCCTGGTTGCCAGTGATTTTTCCTTTATCTTGGTGTTGCCTTGCTTTGCAAAGACATGGGGCCCAGCTAGCAAGGCTGTCGGGGTCCCGTGACCCCCAACCCAGAGTCAAGGAGCAGGGGTCCGCTCTGGGGCATGGGCTCCGTGCCTTCCTGTCACTCATTTTGTTGTGTCTGCAGTGCCAGCCATTCCCGGTGTTGCTGGGGCACTCCATCTGAATGACAGTCCACTGTCCACTCTTGATTGACACACCGGGAGGGTTCCCGTCCAACCGGAAGTGGTTGGGGCCCAGGGTGTCTGAAGGGCTGAGTGAATCAGGCTGGTCATGTGTCCCAGAGTGGGCCTTGGTCCTGGGTGCACCTGGCCTTGCTTCTTTTTTTTTTTTAATATTTATTTATTTATTTGAGAGGCAGCATTACAGACAGAGAGAGGGAAAGACAGAGGGACATCTCCCATCCGCTGATTCACTCCCCAAGTGGCTGCAAGGGCCAGAGCTGAGCCCAGCTGAAGCCAGGAGCCAGGAGTGTCTTGGGCCATCTTCTGCTGCTTTTCCAGGTCATAGCAGAGAGCTGTATGGAAAGCGAAGTAGCCGGGACACAGACCAGTGCCCATATTTGATGCCGGTGCCGCAGGCGGAGGCTTAGGCTACTCTGCCGCAGCACCGGCCCCCGGCCCCCTGCCTTGCTTCTGAGCTGGAGCATTCTCGGGTAGCTGCAAGCCGCACCTGTCCCTGTGAGCTCCCCCGTGCCACGAGCATGGACAGGCGCACTGGCCAGCCAGAACTCACACTTGTGGTGGTGTGGACGGCCTCCAAAGCCATGTGTTTGCTCTTCTCTTGCACCCACGAATCTTGGTGTGCGTGATTTCTGTATTTACCATATTGTTGCGCGTGTGCCGGAATCCAATGAGAGGAGGCCCTGGGCCCGTGTTTCTTTGCATGCCCTGGAATATCCCGGTGCCTGTGAACCCCAGCTTCAGCAGCTCAGTTGCGGGAGCCCAGTTACCTGCACTGCAGCCCGCACGGCTCATCACTGTCTCCCATGACGCAACACAATTGACATCTGGCTGTCGTCTTCTCTCAGCAGGTGCGGCTGACTCTGTCGTGCCCGAGGACAATGGTAACGTCTCCCCCCACCCCCCGCCGGGGTCTGAGGCTCCTGGGAGGGAAAGCTCAGGGAGCAGCCAAGTGGGGAGGCTTTGAGGGCACCGGCCTGTTTCCACGGAGCTCTCTCTGCTCCTGTGGCTGGGCAGGCTTTAGGAGGGTGAAGAGGAAGCCCCTTTGTGCCCAGGCTCCCTCCCTCTTTTCTTTCCACTTTCTCTATGTGAGCAAAGGCTCATGTGTTCTCAATGTGGGAAACGAGCTGTCCTTGAAGCCCTTGGACGAGGCTCTGAACTCTGTGCCGTGCGTAGGGTCCCCAAGGGTATGATGTGACCTCAAAGCCTTTTACTAAACGGGGGAGGAGGGTGTAAGTCTGACCTCCAGAGCTCACATCCGGTGCACGGATTCCCCGTCTTCCCCTCCTGCAGCTCGGCTCTCCTGCTTCCCTCACCTCTTCCAAGCTGTCATTGACCGAGGCTACCTCCGGAGGCTGGGCTACTCCTCCTGGGACATGCGCGTGAATGATGAGCTGTGCCGCCCCCGAGTCACCGGGCACTACCTGATCTTCAGCATTCCCTATGGCCGCTGTGGCACCGTCCGCCAGGTACAAAGCTGGCGGGGTGGTGTGGTCCCTTTCTGTCGGTGGAGGACAAGGAGAGAGTCCTGGAAAATTCAACCACCCCTTAAAAACCTGTGCAGGGAGAGAGCAAAGGTACCAGCCATGACTCCCTAAGTTTGGTGATACCTAGAGCAGCTCACTGATTGGTCTGAAACGTTCTTTGCTTTGGGGAGTTTAGGGTACACCTTGAACTTGACTGCTAGTGTGTGATGGATACACAGGGGTCTCAAGGGGTTGCTAATGCTCTCTGAGCTCCCAAGCAAAAGCAGTTTTCAGAACATACCTCTCTGTTGCATAATGGCACACCTGCTACGTGCGAACCACAATGCTGGATCTTAGGGAAGACAGACAGAACTTCTGACCTGGCTACTGGTTTCTAGCCAGGCAGCCGGCTACAGTCCACAGCCTAAAAAGCAGATCTCTAGGACATTTATGAGCAATGAAATACATGTCTCCACTTAATTTTCCTTAACCACTTGTTATTTCATGAAACAATGGCATTGAAATTAGGGAAGCAAGTATACCAAATTGTAGGAAGAGTATATAGCAGTTAAATCTTTTTTCTCAGTATGTTTAACAATGCAACATGTTCCGAAGCAAGACCTCGTGCTCACTTATCAAGAGAGACAGGCGCCGAACACATACGTGGATGGGAGTCCTTTCTACATGGACAGGGTTAAGCACACAAGATAGGGGAGGGGTGGGTGACTTGGGGTGGGCGGCTACAGAGCCAGGGCTGGATGTGGAGCTGGAGCAGCCCGGGAGGAGGGCCGGAGGGATGCCCTTTGCTCAGGGGGTCTTGAGAATGGAGGCCTCGAGGGGGCAGCAGGCCTGGGGGCAGAGGCCCAAGGAGGAGACTCAAGGCCCAGGCTGGGGAGGCCAAGGTCGGATTAGAGGAGGCTGGGACCAGCATCGAGGAGTTCGGCTTTCATTCTAGGCTGTGTGTTCTCAGGGAGCAAGGGAGAGGGGAGCTGGCTATTGGTTCTTAGAGGCAAAAGTAAGTAAACTCTTTATGGCAGAAGCGCAAGTATAGACAGTGTTACAGTTCCCCAGCGGGGCCAGAGAGAGGGCAGAACGAGGAGGACCCACATGGAGACAGAATCAGAGCCCCTGGGGCAGTCAGTCCTTGGAGGGTTCAGAGGTCAGAATCTTCCGGAATCTGAGCCTCGCACACTGAGGCTTCCTTCAGGAAGTACCCAGGGCAAGCTGAGCCTCTGGGCACCCATATGGGTATGAGACAAGGAGGTGAGGAGCCGAGGCCCCACCCCGACGCCCACAGCACCCAGAGCCCCTGCAGGTCCTGCTGGGTTTGAAGGAGCCAGAAGTGGCCTGGGACCGGGGCAGGGAGGAGATGAGATAGTTGGGTGGGGGGAGGAACGTGTGTGCCTGAAGGAAGGGGCTCTGAGGAGGAGCAGAGAGGGAGCTCCAAGCTGCCCCAGCTCAGCACGGCACAGCTGAGCCCTCCCGGCAGGAGGGGGGGCACGGGCTGTCCTGCATGCACCCCCAGTGCTACGTACCACAGAGGACCGACCAGGGCTCCCGCCCTCTAGCGGGCGGGCAAGGTGGCACCAGGCTGCATGGGGAAAGCCAGGGCCGGTCACCAGCTCTCCTCCCATCCTCACAGGAACACCGCGGCTCCCTCAGCTACTCCAACTCCATCAGGGGCCGGAAACATGGCCACCCTGGCCGAGTCATCGTGCGGCACAAGGTCCCCCAGCTGAAGTTCACCTGCAGGGTGGACATTTCGTCTGCAGATGGAATCACTCACGGGGCAGACACCCCCCTGGGCAGTGCCCACTACGATGTGTCCATATCCTTCCTCCAGTCACCGGCATCCCAGCCTGGGCGGGGCTTGGCACCGCACTACGCCAGCCAGAGGGAGGAGGTCTTCCTGCAGGCCACCCTCCACAGCCAGGACCCCAGCCTGAGACTCTTCGTGGATACCTGTGTGGCTTCTCCTGATCCCCATGATTTTGAAACCGTCAAGTACGATTTGATCCGACAGGGGTAAGGAAAATGGAAGGCCCCCTGGGGCTGTCATATTCACGTGCCATTCCCTTAGGGCACCTGCGGCTTCTTGCTGGGCGGTCCTGAATCAAAACGTTGTGCACTGGGGTCCTTGTCATGCCCCAGGAGCAGAGTCGGGGCCCTTACCCTCCCTCTGGTGCCTGTTGGAGACAAATAATTGTAGCCTGGGCAACCTCCCTTGATCCCAGGAGTCCTGGGCAGGGCCTGGCTGCCCTGGACTCTGCTCTCCCACCCAGCCTTTCATGTCCACACCTCCTCCCTTCCCTTCTAGTGCGTCCAACTGCTGACTCCCGGCACACGCTCTCCAGGCCTGCCCTCATGGGCTATGGGCTGTCCCAAGTGAAGCTCTTGGCGATACTTGCACTTCTAAGATTTACGTTGATTGCATTCAGTGGTGAGCACAGGCACCCTCTAGACTTAGTCTGGGTTCTTGTCTGCCTGCGGGGAGGATACAACCAGGAAACAGAGAGAGAGGGGAGCAGAGAAGCAGGAGTCGTGGAAAGGCAGAGGGAGAGTCCACACTCAGAGAGGAGAGCGGGCGACCTTAAGAGAGAGAATTGCCCCACCCAGACTGGGAGGGTTGGTTTTATAGGATAAGGGGCAGGGCCTGATTGCAGACTCCAAGGAGGTCGGGTTTGGGGCTGGGGCCACCAGTGTGGTCTCCAGGAAGAAGTCGGCCTCTGGTGCCGTGTGGAAAGCGAGACTTTGCTGTGTGAAGGGAGGGGTGTTCTGCCTCCAGTCGTGTTGAATCAGCACAGAGTTGAGACTTGGGCAGTCCACGCAGCTCGGGTGTTGGCAAGTCCTTAGCTCCTTGCAGCTCCCTAGCTACCCACCCACCTGAGTCACTTTGGTTAACCAAACGCTTTGCCAGGTTAGAACTTTAGCAAGTTGCTTGCCTTTACGGCTCCCTTGTCCCTTAACAGTGGCAAAACACTTAACGGATGAGCGATTGCCACAAATTCCAACACAGCAAAACCCCCACGTTACTCAGTGGCAGCTGTAGAGCTGTGAGAGCCACGTGGTCTAAAGCTCGTGAGAGGCACGTGGTCGCCACTTCCCAAGGCTGGGGCAGGGCAGGACACAGCGCCCTGCGCAGTGAGCCCCGGCCTGAGAGGTGCAGGTGCACAGAGTGGCTGCAAACCAGCTCTCTCCTCTCAGATACACCAAAGCAGGAAACTCTGGTGCCAGAAGTTAATTACCAATGCTTCTTGCTTTGGGTTTAACTTACTCTTCTTTCTTGAAGCTGATATCATTTATTTTAGGTTCTTCTTCTTTTCTAATACATGCATTTAATGCTAGAAATTTCCCTGTAGGCACAGCTTTAGCTGCATCTCACAAGCATTTTTTTTTTTTTTTGACAGGCAGAGTGGACAGTGAGAGAGAGAAACAGAGAGAAAGGTCTTCCTTTGCCGTTGGTTCACCCTCCAATGGCCGCCGCGGCTGGTGCGCTGCGGCCGGCGCACCGCACTGATCCGATGGCAGGAGCCAGGTGCTTCTCCTGGTCTCCCATGGGGTGCAGGGCCCAAGCACTTGGGCCATCCTCCACTGCACTCCCTGGCCACAGCAGAGAGCTGGCCTGGAAGAGGGGCAACCAGGACAGAATCCGGCGCCGCTAGGTGGAGGATTAGCCTAGTGAGCCGCAGCGCCGGCCTTACAAGCTTTCTTAATCGGTGTATTTGTTTTCACTTACTTCAAAACATTTTCAAATTTCTCTTGGGACTTCCTCCTTGACCCACAGGCTGTTTTTTTTTTTTTTTCTTTTTTCTTTTTTTGAAAGTCTGCTGCTTAGTGTCCAAGTCTGGGCATTTTACAGCCATCTTTATGCCGTTGCTTTCTCGTGTGATTCCACTGGGATCTGAGAGCGTGCTGAGTGTGACCTCTACTCTTTCTCCTGTGTTGAGTTCACACTGTGGCCCCCCCTGCGATCTGTCGTTGTGAGTGCTCCGTGGGGACTTGGAAGAATGTGCACTCTGCCGTCGGTAGGTAGTGTTGTGTAAGCGTCAGCTGGGATGACTGGACTCATGCTAAGCTTTAGGACTTCCGTATCCTTGCTGATTGTCTTCCTGCTGGTTCTGTCAGTTATTAATACAGAGATATTAAAGTGTAACATTGAACTTTCTGATTTCCATTGCAGTTCTCCCAGTTTTGGCTCGTGTATTTTGAGGCTCTCTTGTTCGGTGCACATGGGTTAAGGATTGCTGTGGCTTCTTGGAGGATTGGCTGCTTCCTAGTTGTCTGATGTCCTGCTTTACTCCTGATGATGATGGCAGTGAACTTTATCTTAGGTTAATACAGGACTCTCAGTTTCTTTTAATTAGTATTAGCACAGTGTGTCTTTTTCTACCCCTTTACTTTTTAAAAAAAAATTATTTATTTTTTAATTCCACAGTTACTATCATTTTTCAAGGGTTTATTTTATTTATTTGAAAGACAGAGTTACAGAGAGAGGTAGAGCCAGAGAGAGAGAAAGGTCTTCCATTCCACTGGTTCACTCCCCAAAATACCACAATGACCAGAGCTGAGCTGATCCGAAGCCAGGAGCCAGGTGCTTCTTCCAGGTCTCCCATGAGGGTGCAGGGGCCCAAGGACTTGAGCCATCTTCTACTGCTTTTCAGGCCACAGCAGAGAGCTGGATCGGAAGAGGAGCAGCTGGAACTCAAACCAGTGCCCATATGGGATGTCAGTGCCACAGGCTGGGACTTTAACCTCCTGTGCCACAGCACTGGCCCCTCTACCCCTTTACTTTTAATTTAGGTGTCTTTAAAAAAATTTTTGTAGACAATATATAGTTGGATGTTACAGTTTTTTAGTCTAATCTGTCTTTAAATGGTTACATTCGACCATTCACATTTAAGCAATCACTGCCATAGTTGGTTTGGGCTCTACCACTTGGTAACTCCTCTCTGTTTGTTTTGTTTATTCTTCTCCCCGCCCCACCCCATCCCACCTTTGGTTGCCTTCTCTGGTTTTAATTGAGCCTTTTATATGATGCTGTGTCATCTCTCCGTGCATAGTTTATGTTTCTTTCCTTAACTTTGTTGGTGGTTGTCCAGGGTTTACAATATACAGTTTTAAATCATCTGAGTTCACTTAAAAATAGTACAGTCGCCACTTTTAACATCTCCTTTTGAGAAAATAGATTAGGTCTTCTGAGAGCAAGGGTTCTAGCTAGAATTTAACTGCGTGTGTGTGGGGGGTGGTGTTTGTCATGTAACTTCCTACTGTTTCTGGCCAAGACTAGTGATTTTCTCATAGTAGTGTTACAAACATTCTTTAAAAGAAAGGGGGCAGGGAGCACATTGTAGTGCGGTGGTTTGGCCATCACCTGTGACGCCGGCATCCCATATGGGCCCTGGTTCAAATCCTGGCTGTTCCACTTCCTGTGCAGCTCCCTGTTAATGCACCTTGGAGGGTGATGGAGGGGACGGCCCAGGTCCTTGGGCCCCTACACCCATATGGGAGACCCGGATGGAGTTCTGGGCTACCTGGACCCAGCCAGTGGGGCATCTGGGGAGTAAGCCAGCAGATAGAAAATCCCTCTCTCCCTCTCTCTTTCTCTGTCTCTGTGTGTGTGTGTGTCTGTCTGTCTGTCTCTCTCTCTCTCTGTGTAACTCTGCCTTGCAAATAAAAAAATAAATCTTTTAAACACACAAAAAGAAAAGGTGGGTTGTGGGAAGAACTCCATTTGGAATTCGAAGGACTGGGTCGGAGTGTGTTCCCATCATGCTTTCCATTAATGGTTTTGGCCTTGGATTTTTCTTCCCATCAGGTGCGTCAGAGACAATACCTACAGCAGCCTTCCCTCCCGCCAGAAGAACGTGGCCCAGTTCAAGTTCAATGCCTTCAGTTTTCTCGACAGCTATGATGTGGTCTATCTACAGTGTAAGGTTGCCGTGTGTCGAGTGGGGGACCCCGCCTCTCGTTGCTCCCGGGGCTGTGTGGGGCGGAGCAGGAGAGAAGCTGGCTCCGCGGGGCTCAAGGAAGCACAGACTGAGCGGTTCCAGCAGGTGGGGCCGCTGGAGATCCCCAAAGCAGCTGGTCCGAGGAAGCCCCGTGTTTGAATTCTCCAGTTTTCCCAAGAATCTCTTAGAAATTAAGAAGCAAAGTCTATTTCCCTACCTACTGTAATGTCACATTTCATGAAGCAGAAGCTACCCGTGTGGAGACCGGTGCGAGAACCGCTGGCGAGGATTGCTTGTCTGACTTTTACTAAATAAAGCTTCCCTGATTGCTAAACTTCTAAGGCAGTTTCTTTTTTTTTTTTTATTTTTTTTTATTTTTTTTTTATTTTTATTTTTTTTATTTTTTTGACAGGCAGAGTGGACGGTGAGAGAGAGAGACAGAGAGAAAGGTCTTCCTTTGCCGTTGGTTCACCCTCCAATGGCCGCCGCGGCCGGCGCGCTGCGGCCGGCGCACCGCGCTGATCCGATGGCAGGAGCCAGGAGCCAGGTGCTTTTCCTGGTCTCCCATGGGGTGCAGGGCCCAAGCACCTGGGCCATCCTCCACTGCACTCCCGGGCCACAGCAGAGGGCTGGCCTGGAAGAGGGGCAACCGGGACAGAATCCGGCGCCCCGACCGGGACTAGAACCCGGTGTGCCGGCGCCGCAAGGCGGAGGATTAGCCTAGTGAGCCGCGGCGCCGGCCTAAGGCAGTTTCTTTATAGGCTAAAAATGTTGATTTTTCTAATTCTTCACTGTCCAGAACATCATAAAAGTCTTAAAGTGTACAAAATGTCGTGAAAGCGGGGCTATCGCTCTGTACCGCACTGCCAGTGCAGAGGTTGTTTGTAAAATTTGACTCAGTGTTCAGCCGCTGGTGAGCAGATCTGTTTCTCTCCCCTTGATGGAAGGTGCAAATTTACTTTCAGATCGTGTCAAGGGTCTTGCAAAAGCGATAAGCTGAGCATCTGTCAGGAACACATTACATTTTTTTACCTCTACAATGGGTCATTTGAATTAAATTGTCGTTTTTTATCAAAACAACCTTTGACTGCTTCGTTTCCCAGGGAATGAATGGGATCCCGGCTTTGCTGAGTTTGGGCTACAGCGCGCAGGTGCGCGAGGTGGAAACACTCACTAGACCCAGGTGTATCTGCTCTCTGGGCTGCCACGGTTCATGTGGCCGCAAGAGACCTGCGCTAGGCTGGCCACCCTCCAAGCTGTCTGTGAAGAGAGACTTGAGTGGGGTCAGGTGTGTGGTTTCGCTTTTGCCAGAACAGAAGGACCCAGAAGCACTGAGTTCCCACCTCTAGGGCCTTGTTCCCATCCTTGGGAAAGGGCATGGACATGTGCAATGGCAGGATTGGCCAGTGCCGCGGGGAGAAGGCAGCGTGGGGCTGGGAGTTGACCCTGAGCGATGAAAATCTGACGGACGGCCCTGGGAGAGGCGTGGCCTCTCGGCTTTATATGAACACGCCCGTCATCAGCAGCTGCCTCGGCACAACACGGTGCAGGTTCCCTACTCCTCGTAGGAACCCACACAATGCGACTGCTGGGCAAGTAGATGAAATGGGTTCCTTAATCAAAGTGAGTTGTTTGTCCCCAACAGCTTCGTCTCCGGTCACATGAAACGGGGATTTTACCATCAGGCGTCTGTCACATGCAAATGCTTCGGATTTGTAATAGAGCTTTTCCAAGTAGTTGTCGTGGGCGGCTGGAGTCCACTCTCAAAATCCTGCTGATGAGCTGTAGCTATGCAGCTGCATTGAGGAAGTGGCGGCTGACCCCTTGCAGAGTCCAGCATTTTACTGCCTTTAATAAGTTCCGCGTGTGAATGGACGGACACTGTAATAAAGAAGAGTCCACACGCGCTTCCAGATCACTTCCCCTGGAGGGGTTCGAGGAGCGGGGGCGGGAAGTGGCCCTCTCCTGGGGCCGTCTGGAGGGGTCTCAGGGACACTGGCACAGGGGCCACAGCCATGTCCTGTGCTTCAAAAGGCACTGACCAAGGACAAGCCTGACATTGGAAAACACTGTTGGGGACCAGACGCAGCCTGAATTCAGTTAAAGGCCTAGATTTCGGGGACCACCGCACGGCCCGAACTCTGCCGAAGGCCTGCTTGGCCAGATTGCAAAGGTAGTCGGTCGAGTCATGTCAGTGGCCAAGGTCATTTGAGACGATGCTGTAGCAGCTAGGGAGATGCCGTGGGCTCCGGGAAACAGCAAGCACCCTCCCCCAGTTCATGATTCGTCCTCCGGAGGACCCCTCCCTGTTGGGATTGTTCTCTTAATCCCAGCTTCCAAGCAAACAAGTCCTTCCTGTAAACACAAAACTCCCCATTGTTCCCTGATTCACTGTTTAAACGAAATCCTGTTTTTGCAAAACCGATCACATCAGCATTGATAATAAATACCTCGACAGTGGACTGAGTGTCCCTGGCCTCCCCACATTAAACTCTTTAATCTGAGTCTTCCTTAATCTATGTGCCATCGGCCCTCTTTTGGCTTAACCTGACACCCTGCCGTGCTGGGCACAGCAAAACACCAAGGGTGTACCCGAAAAGAACCCAGGAGAAGCCCTCTCTCTCTAGCCACGGACAAACAAGACCAAAAACGTCTGGGCAGAACTCTCCTGCCTCAGTCAAACATCTCAGGAAACAGCCTGGCCCTGCCTCCGCCCAGCCAGGAAAGGCTGAGCGAGGCACCAAGACCTCCACCCTCTCCCAGCACCCCTTCCTACTCCCTGCGCCTCACTAGGGTGGTGACAGAGGGCCAGGGTGGGCACGGGGATGCTTGTCACCCCCCAGCAGGAGTGAGACTGCTGCCAGAACCCCCATGTCAGGTGCAGGCCGGGTGCGGAGCCTGGACTTCCGCTTGCAGCCCCTCGTGGCAGGGACAAAAATCCACTTTCAGGCTGTACTGGTGAGGGAGGCCCAGGGTGGTCCCACTCCCCTGGAGGTCACGTCCACGGGCCAAATTCCACCTGTCTGGCCATCTGGTGTTGCACAAAACCAGCGTCCCATTGCCCATTTCTTTGCTTTTTGCTTTTCTGAGACGCTTTGTTCCTTGAACCCAGCACAGGGTTGGACTTGGCCTTGTGATCGGTACTGAAAACCCTGCTCTCTGGGAGGTGTGCGTGCAGTGGCTGCGCCAGGGTGACGCCCAGACGCCTCCCGGTTCGCGGTCATTCTCCTGCTGCCGGGACTGTTGCTCCTGGTGGCTCTCAACACCATCGCTCTCCAGAAATCTCTCTCGGCCCGACACCTGTCTCGCCCACACTCACAGCCCCTGCCTGAACACCCCTCATCCAACAACTGGGAAATACAGACGCACGGAGGCCTGAGCACCCCGCCTCCATGGGACATCTCTGAAGGACCAGCCCAGCCCCGGGAGGCCCCAGGAGGCCCCGGGGCAACTGGCTGAGCCCCTTTTACTGCGGCCGCGTCACAGCTCAGAGCTCATGGCCTGCCCCTTACCAGGGGCTTATCCTGAACACACTCCCCACGGGACCCTGTCACAAGCCTCTGGGTTGGGGTCAGTTTCCCGGGACCCCCACCTATAACAGTCAGTGCCAGCTGTGGCTCAAGACAGCAGATTCCAAGATGGAGCTCTGGAGTGAGCAATGAGGGCCCGGCCCTGGTGACGCGTGGAACATGAATGGCGGTTGGCTGTGTTGCGTTCTCTTTAATCCCCTGACCTTCCCATGGCCGTGGCAGCTGTCTCCAGTCCCTACTTTACATTTGGGTCCAAGGCTGAAGGTGTGACCCGGCCGCTGAGTGGAAGGAGGTGGAGCCAGGCCACAGCTTCCTGGCTCCACTGTGGCTCTTCCTAAAGGAGGGGCCTTCGGGGGCGGCGTGGGCACTGGGAGTGTTTGGCGTGGCTCATAGCACTGCTGCAGAGGGAGGTCTGACTCAGTGACAAGTTTTTACTCCAGTGCATCACGGTGTTCGGAAATTCCCTAGTTGTGACACGCCCGTGCCTGAATGCCTTGCTGGCCGGCCGACAAGGTTTGGTCGGTTCCTGATGGGGAGAGGAGAGACGGGCAGCGCCCCGCCCAGACAGCTGTACCGTGTTCAAGTATTTATTGTGATGTGGCCATTCTGATGAAATGTCTAGGTTTAAAAAGAACTTTGCGATAGTCAACTTTGGTTACATGGTGAACATCAAGGAGGCTCATGACGTGACTTCTGTGGAAGTATCTAGAAGATCTACATGGGGACATTGAAAAGAAAATGAGGGGCCAGCTTTGTGGCTCAGTGGATTAAGCTGCCACCTGTGACACAGGCATCCCCTGCGAGCCTCCATCCCACATGAGTGCCAGTTCGAGTCCCAGCTGCCCCACTTCCGATCCAGCTCTCTGTATGGCCTGGGAAAGCAGTAGGAGATGGCCCAAGTGCTTGGGCCCCTGCACCCACTCCTGGTTTCGGATCAGCCCGGCTCAGGCCATTGCAGCCATCTGGGAGTGAACCAGCGGATGGAAGATTTCTCTCTGCCTCTACCTCTGCCTCTCTGTGACTCTAACTCTGCTTTTCAAGTAAATAAATAAATCATTTTTAGAAAAAGTTCATGGGAATCATGGGAAGTGACCATAATGAAAAAATTATGTATAGATTTTGAAAATTTTTGTACCAAAATAAACTTGCCTTTTAATTCCATTTTCCTATAAGCATTTTGCCATCATTTAATATATGCATTCCATGTTTATAGAAGAACAGAGAATGCTTTGGGCATGCAGGAATGTGTCACCCGCTTGGATGCACAGCAGACCCTGAACCCATGTGGGTTGTGAAGTGCCCAGAAAGAGCTGTATTGTTATCTGAGACGAGAAGATTCCATGTTTGGCCTGTGTCAGGTCAGCTCACACTGGGGGTTGCTCACGGCTCGGTCATAGCAGGCAAGAAATTGCAACTCAGAACTGGCTACTCCTGCTTGGGCCGGTTAACCTTTAGCCTTGGTGTTGGATGGTAAACGGGAAAAGAAAATGTTGTTTTAATCTCATTAACCCAGAACCTGTACAAAGTGTCTCTCTCTCAGTCCTTCTTCCCAAAGCCCTGTTCTGAGACGTGCGGGTAAGACGTGCAATATAACGTACATAAAGCAGCGGAGCGAGGTTCTCTCACACCTTAGTTTCAGAAATGATGGCTTTGGGGTTTCAGAGGTGTTGTTTATTTGTGTTTCATGCTCACATTTTTAAAATAAAAGCATCTAACTGAAGATTGCTTTTCTTAAATAGAAATAATCTTTCTTTTCACCTACAATTTGGTTAAAATATTTTATGCTAATGACCAGAGATGTTTCCAAGCCATGTAATATTTTGGTGCCTTTAGTACTAAAAGCAGAGTGCTGACATCATGCATATTTATTCCAATCCTCCTGCAATGAAACACACCAGCACAGTGACACCAAGCCCCGGGGCCACATTCGCAGGCCTTGGTTGTTCACGACGTGTGTAGCCACGAGACTCCGTTTGCTTTGGCAACCAGGATAAACGTGTCTCACACGGAGCCGAGCCCACTAGTTAGAGCCTGGCAGCTTGTGGTATTTGTAGTCCGCCCGCTGATTTAGAAAATGCCTCACCACGACTGCGGCTACAACCACCACATTCAAGGCAAGGACCGTGAATGAAACCAGGTGCAGGCTATCAAAAGGCTGGTTCCGCGTTTCTTCTGCCTGTGGTTGGTGTGGACGGCCTGTTAATTGGAAAGAAGTGAAAATCATTTTCTAAAATCGTATTTGAGAGGCAGAGAGAAAGATATCGATTATATAGATGATAGATATAGATAAGTGATAGAGATAGATAGATAGATAGATAGATAGATAGATAATAGATAGGAGTTGCCATCTGCTAGTTCACTCCTTAAATGCTTACAACAGCCAGGGCTGGGCCAACACCAAACCTGGGAGCAGGGAATTCCATTCAGGGCTCCCGTATGGGTGGCTCAACTTCTGAGCTATCATCATTGCCTGTAGAGTTTGCATTTGCAGGAAGCTGCAGTCAGAAACAACCCTGGGTATCAAACCCAGGCACTCTGACATGGGACATGGCCACCTGACCTAGCATCTTAACTGCGAGGCTAAATGCCCACCTCAGAAATAATTTCTTCTAAAGAATTAGCATTGCAAAACGTTGGTTGCATTTATAATACCACTACCTACCCTATAAATCTGTTCTATGAATTACTGCAGAATATGAAATTCTAAAACAACATAGAGGAGCCGCTGTTAAATATTTTAATTAGCTAATGGTTACATTTACTTGGTTCAAAAGGTTTAAGTAATTTGGTTCCTTGATGTCACATGAAAAACGTGTGAAATTCAAGCACAAAAGTCAAATGGAACGCAGGTTCACCTGTCAGCAGCCTCAGAACTGGCTTTTTGACACCCACAGTTGTCAGAATGCACGTGGCCAGCATAAAAGGTTTGCTTATTCCCTCGAAACAGGAAAAGGATACTTTCCTAATACATATATTTCTCTAATGGCTTTCATACCAGATTTTAACTGATTTCAAATCAATATCTAGAGATACACCATGCAAGCCTTTTACTGAGTGTGTTGAGACTACTACTGTATTTCATTTTCATTTGGATTCTTTTGTTTTTGCCATAGAAATATTTCACTGCAGACCAGAATCATATAGCTTTATGGTCCATGCCAATACATAGAGATAGAGGCCAGGGATTTTTTAATGCCACCTGCACCTTGGATCAATTCTAAGAGTTTGTATTTCATAGCGGCTCATCTTAAGCCATTCAAATTTGTGCTGTCAGTGGGTATTTGCCATCACCTCTCTCCCATGCAACCTGGCGGATCTCAATATCAACCCTCTCAAAAGAAGCAGGACAGAACTATAACAGTTTCTGCTTTCAAAACGTAACTTTTTTTTTTTTTTTCAAATAGGCGCTCTGTGGATGCTGGCTATTGTTGTGTGTTGTTTTGCTTCTTACTCATTTGGGAGTTAAAATGCATTGCTTCTTATTCAGTTATCTGCTCTAGCATCCATAGTAAGGATTCAGGAAGCTAAAGAGAGTTGCTTTTAGAAATGAGGGCACTGGGGGCCGGCGCCGCGGCTCACTAGGCTAATTCTCCACCTTGCAGCGCTGGCACAGCAGGTTCTAGTCCCAGTCGGGGCGCCGGATTCTGTCCCGGTTGCCCCTCTTCCAGGCCAGCTCTCTGCTGTGGCCCGGGAGTGCAGTGGAGGATAGCCCAAGTGCTTGGGCCCTGCACCCCATGGGAGACCAGGAGAAGCACCTGGCTCCTGCTTTCGGATCAGCGCCGTGCACTGGCCACAGCGCGCCAGCCGTGGCGACCATTGGAGGGTGAACCAACGGCAAAAGGAAGACCTTTCTCTCTGTCTCTCTCTCTCACTATCCACTCTGCCTGTCAGGAAAAAAAAAAGAAAAAAAAAGAAAGAAAAAAATAAATGAGGGCACTGGGGCCGTCACTGTGGCCTAGTAGGCTAAGCTTCCACATGCGGCCCTGGCATCCCGAATGGGAGCAGGTTCAAGTCCCAGCCGCTCCTCTTCCAGTCCAGCTCTCTGCTATGACCTGGGAAAGCAGTGGAAGATGGCCCGCGTGTTTGGGCCTCTGTACCCTTGTGGGAGACCTGGAAGAAGCCTCTGGCTTTGGATTGGCCCGGCTCCGGCTACTGCAGCCATTTGGGAGACCTCTCCCTCTCTCTCTCTCTGTAACTCGGCCTCTCAAATAAATAAATAAATCTTAAAAAACAAATGAGGGAATATGCTCACACTCAAAGGTGAATTCCTAGTGTGTTACCAGCAGATGGAAATCCATGTTAATCTGGGTGCCTAAAACACATAGCTCAGGTGCTAGAGCCTCCGGGATGGGTGTCCCGGGGGTGCCCAGGAGCAGCTGGAGCCGAGCAGCATCTCAGGGGTTGAGGTGTTCTTGGAGCACGAGACGGCCTTCTCCGTACCTGAGTCTCCCCCCGCACTCCGATCCCTTTTCAGACGAATGGGGCCTATGACAGAGTCGGCCTTCCACGTGTAGGAAGAGACTTCGCGCTTCCTCCTGCCGGCACAGCCTTGATGGCAGCGAGACTGCTCGTCGCCGCTGTCGCAGATCAGAACCTTACACTGCAGGTACACGGAGTTCAGACTCCTCAAGAACTTAAAGGCGCGAAACTGGAACCTCCCGTGGTGTCTGGACAAAGGATACAGCTCACAGGTGTCATCTCGACTACACCTGGAACACGGTTTAGGACATGTTTAGACTCTGCACAGGAATTCAGTCCTTTTTTTTTTTTTTTAACAAAATTTGTTTATTTGAAAGAAAGAACGACAGAAGGGGAGAAACAGTGATGGAGAAAGAGATCTTGCCTAAACTGGTTCACTCCCCAAAAATGGCCACAACAGCCAGGGTGGGGCCAAGCCAAATCTAGAAGCCAGGAACGCCATCTGGCTCCCCTGCATGGGCGGCAGGTGCCCAAGTCCTGGAGCCATCATCTGCTGCCTTCCCAGGTGCGTTAACAAGAGGCGGGTCAGGAGCAGAGCAGCCAGGACTCAATCCGGAGCCCGGATACGGGCCGGCTTAATCTGCACCACGATGTGCCGCTCAGTTCAGTCTTCTCAATACCAAAAGGTATCTCTCTAGAAAGACAAAGTTTTTAATTCAGACTACAGCTAGCCAAGGCTGCAGCTCTGATTCCTGGGTAAGAGAGCAAGGTTCCTTCTGGCTCTTTGGTGCCCGTGCACTAGAGCTAAAGAGCTTTCTTTCCATGCTTGTTATAAATGGAACCGTCTCACTGCTTTAGTTATAATCCATCAGCTTTGGGGGGGGTGATTTTTTCTCTTTTATTTTAAAGATTATTTATTTGAAAGGTAGAGTTTCAGAGAGAGGAGGAGAGACAGACAGAGAGAATGTCTTCCATCTGCTGGCTCACCCCCCTGATGGCTGAAAGCTGGCGCTGGGCTAGGCCACAGCCAGGAGCATCTTTCAGGTCTCCCGTGTGGGTGGCAGGGCCATTGGCAGAGAGCTGGACAGGATGGAGAGCAGCTGGGACAGGAACCGGTGTCTATGTCGGATGTCAGCACTGCAGGCACTCACTTTACCTGCTACACTGCAGCATCAGCCCAGAATTTTTTCTCTTAAAAAAGAATCTCTGGCGCAGCAGGTTAGGCCGCCGTCTGCAGCACCAGCAGCCCATGTGGGCACCAATGCGTGTCCCAGCTGCTCCACTTCCGATACAGCTCTCTGTTAATGCCGCTGGGAAAGCAGTAGAAGATGGCCAGAGTGCTTGGACCCTGCACCCAGGTGAGACCTGGATGAAGCTCCTGGCTCCTGGCTTGGTTCTGGCTCAGCCCCGGCCATCTGGGGAGTGAACCAGCAGATGGAAGACCTCTCTCTCTCTCTCTCACACTCACTCTTGCCTCTACCTCTCTGTAACTCTGCCTTTCAAATAAATAAATTTAAAAAAAGAATTTCATACTTTTTAAGAAGGTCATGTGAACACTATCAACAACAATATGTTCTTCAGTTAGCACACAAAAAATAACCTTCTGAGTTTTTGTTGGAAATAACCATAATGTAAAAAAAAAAAACACACAAATAGAGCATTCTTGACAAAAAATACATTTTCTCCCACTCGTAAATATTCTGTAAAAACACTCAAAACTCTAGAGGGTGTAGCTGAATGTTTTAGCCTATTTGTGATCAGTACAGAGTAATTGTACTTTATAAAATGATTAAGATTAATAAAAGTCTACGGTAGTAGCACTAGACCAAATGTATACATACATGCAGAGTGTATCATATACACACATGCACAAAGCATCACTGTATTAAAACCACTGTTACTCGGCCGGCGCTGCGGCTCACTAGGCTAATCCTCCACCTAGCGGTGCCGGCACACCGGGTTCTAGTCCCGGTCGAGGTGCCGGATTCTGTCCGGGTTGCCCCTTCCAGGCCAGCTCTCTGCTGTGGCCAGGGAGTGCAGTGGAGGATGGCCCAAGTGCTTGGGCCCTGCACCCCATGGGAGACCAGGAGAAGCACCTGGCTCCTGCCTTCGGATCAGCGCAGTGCGCCGGCCATGGCGGCCATTGGAGGGTGAACCAACAGCAAAGGAAGACCTTTCTCTCTGTCTCTCTCTCTCGCTGTCCACTCTGCCTGTCAAAAAAAAAAAAAAAACCCACTGTTACTCACAGAGGAACATCGGCATCGGGCGCATCGATACCTACCCGCTCTTGATTAAGTCATAGGTTGGAGAGCCAAAGTCAGACGTGGAAGAGGCTCTGCACGTATCAAGAAACACCACCAGATTTGGGTCTGGGGCGTGCAGACTGACTTGAACATAAAGAGTCTGATTCAAATCCACATAATACGGTGACTCGAGTACAGGCCTTTCGAAGGAACTGGATTCAAAAAGAGCCATGCTTGTGTTGTATTTGCCCAGTGTGACCTGACTTTGTATGACGTCGTCCTCCGTTATGTACATGATCTCCACGGTGGAATTGTTTTCCATTTCGCACTTCACGATGATCTGGAGGTGCTTCTGGCGGGTGATGATTTCAGAAGTCGGGGACACGGTGAAGCTGATGACGTTGGTGTAGGTGATTGAGTGGTCTTCCACCTGCAGAAGAAGATGGGGTACAAGTTTCATATGTTCCCAGTAATATGTTAGACCACGGAAGTGAGTAACAGTTGCGGGTGGAGATTTCGGTTTTGTAGATCATGAGATAACAGCTTCTGTGTCAGGAAACTGCACCTTCAGTGGGTTTTCTGGAGGAAACGTTCTGGGGAAGGAAGGAAGTGGGAGATAAGAGAGGCAGCTTCCGTGGGAAAGACTTGCAGGTAGAATTGGTTTCAGTGACGCTAAGATCAGCTTGAATGCCAATCTCCAGCCCCATGAGGACTCGGTAGTCCTACACTGTTGGTAGTCCTACTCTAAGGCGCAGTTAGCGGGCATCTCCCAAGGTGTTTGGAGACAAAGAGCCTGCAACAGGTGCGGCCGGGTCACGTTCCCTAAAGGCTCACAGTGTCACAAAGCTTGCGTGTTCATTTTTGACAAAAAAAAAAAAAAAAGATTCATCTCTGTCCTATCAAGTCCTCCAGAATAACCTCCATTCTCTTCGATTGGGTGCTGTTTAACCTCCTGGGCGGAAGTCCGTGGTGTGTATCCTAACAGGATCCACGGGCTGGGAACGTGTGAGGTCTGCCACTCAGATACCACCCTGCAGCCCTCCACGCGGAAGGCAAGCAGCGTGGTCCACCTTCTTTCTTTACAAAGGCAGAGGAGAAACACCCGGCCAGATGTCTAGCAAGCGTGACAAGCAGACACTTCCTGCACAAATGCTGCGGTAGACTAGGAAACCCTCAACATCTGGACGTCCAAACTTTCCCAGAGAGTCTTCCAATAAAGATATCCGCCCGCCAGTCACCCTGAACACGAAAGCAGGGGTCTGGGGCTTGTGTGTGAGTGAACGTGTACATCTACATGCTTGCCTGTGCCTGTCACGTGTGCAGTTTGTTAAAGCGTCCGGCAAGCCCCACCCAGACTGCATCACCCAGCACACATTTGCCACCGGGAGAAGGCAGCGACCAGCCTTTCACTTCACCTGTTTGATCATGCCACATCCATCCAGAGGGCTCGAAAATTCCACAACATTGGATACCCTCGGTCTACAGGTTGGGTCATTTAGTTGTAAGTTATTCTCATTATAGTTGAATGATGCCAGGTATGATTTGTTTATGATGACTCTCATCTTATCAGAAGAGCAAGTTAAAGACGCTGTCAGAAAAAAAAAAAAGTGGGAGAGAATAAAAAAAAAAAAAAAAAAAGAAAGATAATTACATTTATGCCACATAGGAAGTTTGGATCATGGGGAGCTATGTGTGCAAGTGAACAGACAAGTGTAAAATGTCAAAACTCATTTTTCCCTAGACAATAATCAGAAGCCTGAGGGAGCCAACAAACTGATTCACCTTTGACAATGTTCATTGTCACCTTGTTTGGTGCTACAGTCTTCAAACCTAATATTTTTAATTGTGTCTCTGTAGAAGGCACTAAACAGTCCATATTTTCTGAAGAAATCTCTTTCAGTTGACCAAAGCCATTCATCTACTCCTGTGTTGAACAGCCACAAAAATGAATCTCAGGCTGGTGCCATGGCTCACTTGGCTAATCTTCTGCCTGCGGCGCTGGCACCCTGGGTTCTAGTCCCGGTTGGGGCACTGGGTACTAGTCCCGGTTGCCCCTCTTCCAGTCCAGCTCTCTGCTGTGGCCTGGGAGGGCAGTGGAGGATGGCCCAAGTGCTTGGGTCCTGCACCCACATGGGAGACTGGGAGGAAGCACCTGGCTCCTGGCTTTGGATCAGTGCAGCGCCGGCTGTAGCAGCCATTAGGAGGGTGAACCAACGGAAGAAAGACCTTTCTCTCTGTCTCTCTCTCTCTCACACTGTCTAACTCTGCCTGTCCGGGGTGGGGTGGGGGGACAACCTGAGTCTCCGGCTGCAGACTGAATTTGTTGGCGTGTGTGACAGCTGTGTGCAGAGCGGCAGCCACAGGTAGGCTGAAAACTAAGCAGCAGTTTCTACATGTGGGATCTTCAGCGACCTCCAAACAGCCAAGCAACATCAACTATGACTTACTGGTGTTGACGTTTTCGGTATAAATTGAAGTGTAGGAAGCAGAAAAGCCCCAGTAGGAGTTGGCATAATCGGTAGATAACACAACAGTCAAGGAGTCTGAAGAAGATTCGAAGGTGGGCTTCCTGCGGCCACAGACTTGTTCGATCAGGCCAGAGCTGGTGGAGGAGCCGTCATAGACGGCGACGAAATCAAACCTGCAGTTGTCGTCTACTTCCAGGCTGAGAAGGAGGGAGCTGGGTGAGCACGCCTTCACACCGATCCGGGGCTATCCGCCATCACCCCATCTGTCATCCCACAACCCCACTCAAGCACGCGTGGATTGGTCCTTCAGTGGCACAAAGGTACTTCAAAAAGTTGATGGAAAATGGAATTAAAATGTTGGGTGTCTGTCTTAATGCAAAAACAATGTTGAAATCTGTGCCTAGTTTTTTCTTAATACACATTTTTTGTGAACTTTTAGATGACCCCTGCATCGCAGGTTTTTGGTGATCAACCTGAGGCTTTGTCAGTCCCCAACAGAACCTTGGAATCTTCCGAAAAAGTCAAGTTCAGTGCCATAGTACCACTGTTTCTCTTTCTACATAATTATTTGGGAAGTGCCTACTGATGCTGGATTCCACGTTGTAACTTCTTCCCCAGGTACCCCAGGTGCCAGGTGGGCTCACAGATGCCGTTACTCCCACAGCAGCCGACAGCAGTACTTACAAAATATCTTTGAAGGTCAGTTTGATCTTGTAACCTTTCTCCACTTGTATGTGCCACACACAGTAAGCCAGCTCAGGATGGGGCTTTGGGTAATTGGGGCTGGTGAAGGAACCTTCCAACGCATCCAGGTACCCGCCACAGTCCGGAATAGCTGGAGGGAATGAGAAGATGACCAAGAGTGTGCATCAGATTGGAGACTTGGTTGAGTTCCTGAGTTGTGCCTGGAGCCCGAAGTCCCCCGTGCACATCATTCTGCCTCTCTCTTCCCCTTTCATCCTCTTTTAGACTGGGCTTTCTGCCTGTTGGAGCAGGACAGAGAGTGAATCTTTTTGCTGCTCAATGAGCCATACTAAAGCGGCAGCCTAAGAGCTGTCCTGGCTGTGGGGAGCCTGTTACCTGGACTGGGCTCCGGAGAGTGACGTCCACTCCCAGGACCAGCGCTGCAGGCTCCTCCTCACTCAGCTCCCGCCAAGCTTCCCAGTCTCCTGGGCCACTACCCAGGACCTGCGGCTCCAGCCGCCTTTCTTTTCCTCAGGCTGTTGGCCCTGCAGAAATGGGTCTGCCTCCCCTGACACCCCCTCTGCCTGCCTTCCTCCTGCTACCACTCAAAGCGCAAGGCAGGTGAGTGAAGCTTCAAGAATCTTCATGGTCTCTCCCGTCCCCCAGTAAGTACACAAACCAGCAGAGGGGAAACGGAATGTGGAGAGCAACACTGAAGTCTCTTTCTCGGAACTGTGGAATGGTTTGGACAGGCTGGGGCACAGGATGGGTGCTGGGCAGTGGCTAGAGATCAAGTTTGAACAGGTGGCCTGTTCAGGGGCTGGTGTGGGAAAACCTTGACCGCTCTAGTCTGTCGATTTGTTGGCACCAAGAAATCAGGGCTTCAAGCAAGAGCAACATGTTCGGCTCTTGACCTTGGAAGGCAAACCGGGCTGGAGCTTTCCCAGAAGTCCTTGACATCCTGCTTAGGTCACAAGGGGCTGCAGGTGCTGTGAGTGCAGACCGTGTCACATCTGACAAATCAGGTCAACATTTCTCATCGTGTGCTCCCAGTGCCTGCCAGCGTCACCCAGGGACTTGTTAAACATGAAGGTTAAACACCGCAGCCCCATCCCAGCTCTGTGAGCCAGAGGTTTGTGCAGAAGATCTCAGGCTTACAAAGAAGCAGCCTTTAATGAGGAGGTTCTGCTCTGGGCGCTAACACAGTGGCCCTCACCTGTGGCCATCTGACCAGCCCCATCCCTCTCTCTCTCGCCTGGGAGCTGGTCAGAAGAGCACATTCATGGGCCTCTCCCAGGACTCCCAGTGGACTGGAGTCTCTGGGGGAGCAGGTCAGGTCTGTGATGTAATGAGCTCTCCCATGACTCAGCACACTCCAGTTAGAGAGGAGGAACCCCCGAGGGAGCAGAGGCAGCCTTGGGATCACGACCTCCCCCACCACCCCAGGGGTGCGAGCCACCTGTGCTTGCAGGAGGTCAGGGCCAAGGGTGTGTAAAGAAGGACTTACAGGTGTCAGGAGAGAAGAAGTAGTAGGAGACAAAGACAGTTCTTGGAAGTGTTGTGGAGTCGGTGACTATCTGAAACGTCAGTGTATCGGCTGACGATTCAAATACAGGCACGTAGTCGTGTTTACTGCAGACGGTCCCCAGCAGGTACCCATTTGCAGGAAGTCCATCAAAAACTTTAATGTTTTCATTTTCACAGCTTCCATCTGGATCCAGCCTGTGGACAGACACAGCTGTGGCTGGGACAAGCCGCGAAGCAAGGCAGGGTTAACAGGCTTCTGCTCACAGTGGCACTGCGTTCACGGAGCAGCTGCACAGCTGCTGGCGCTGGGACCCCACCACTCTCCCGCCTGCCACACCACCTCCCACCAGCAGCCCCCCCACTCTCCCACCTGCCACACCACCTCCCACCAGCAGCCCCCCACTCTCCCACCTGCCACACCACCTCCCACCAGCAGCCTCGGAGGCTCAGGGAGGTGCACCGCTTTGCAGTAAACTGTGTCCCTAGAACAGCCCCACAGGTGCCGTCTGAGGATGGCCCGGGTCCAGGGCTTTTTCCTTGCACCACTTTCCCCCTCTCCCGCTCCCGTGGTGCAGAGCCTTCTGAGCCTTCCGCAGTCGCACCTGAGATCCAAGGCTGTGCAGAGGGAAGCGATCTTCTCCCACAGCCACTTTCTTAAGACCAAGCAAACCTTAGCACCACCTGGATGCCCCTTCCCTCCGCTCGCCGCGCCCTCATTCTGAGCAGCCCTCTGTGCCTTGCTCATTTTCAGTCTCTCCAAATGCCCACAGAGGATATGTGCTCCAGGTAACTTGGGAGAAACGGGAGGGACATTCAAAAAGTCCATGGAAAATGTGCACATGGCCTTCTGATTCCATCTTTCCACAGACTTTTTGAAGCCCCCTGTTTCCTTAGAAGTACTCAGGAATGCTTGCTCGTTTCAAAATAAAAAATGTTAGCTGAGAATCAAGACCGCCGTCTCCACAAGGGCAGAGAAACCTGAGTTCTCCGTCCACCTTAGTCACTCACCTGTTGTATGACTTTGGAAAAAATTGGTCTTTCTTGACCTCAGTTTGCTTTCCTGTAAAATGGCGATATCACAATCTACATCCATACCGCAGGCATGGCCACAGGAAGTGTCCAGTAAAAGTTAAGTGTTGATTCCCTCTACCCCTGTCCTTCCCACACTGCCTTCTCTTCCTCTCCCTTCTTAGCACGGTGAGTGTGTGTGCTTCCTAACGGCTCTGTCATCCCAGGAAACTTGCGCGCCCTGCTCTTTTGTTCCGCTGAGGAATAACGGGAAGGCGGTCTAACTTCAGCAGAACAGGGCCACGGGCTCCGAGCGTGGTTCCTGGGCCGGGAGCCTCAGCATCGCCTGGGAGTCCGTTTCCCAGGCTCCATCCACGCCATCGGGGTGTGACCCTGGAGACTGGGGCACGCAGTCGCGCCTTACCAAGCCCTCTGCGCGCTCCTGGTGGCGGCTGTGTGGGACCCCTGCACAGGGTGAGGGGAGGGACTCTGGAGCCAGCTTGCTTGGTTCAGTTCCTCTCCTGCTCTTATTATTCTGCAGCCTTGGGTCCCTTATTGACTTCCTCGAACTTCCTTGTCTACTGAATGGAGATTAAGATTTTTTAAAAAAATGTATTTGAAATGCAGAGTTACAGAGAGAGGTAGAGACAGAAGGATGGAGGAAGAGAGAGAGAGAGAGAGAGAGAGGTCTTCCATCTGCAGGTTCACTCCCCAAATGGCTGCAATGGCCGGAGCTGAGTTGATCTGAAGTCAGGAGCCAGGAGCTTCTTCCAGGTCTCCCCTATGGGTGCAGGGGCCCAAGCACTTGGGTCATCCTCCACTGTTTTCCCAGGCGCAGGGAGCTGGATCAGAAGTAGAGCAGCCAGGACTTTAACTGCACTTATGTGGGATTCCGGAGCTGTAGACTGGGGCTTTAACCTGCTGTTCCACGGCGCCGGCCCCTTAATGAGAATTAAATTGCACCTGCCCCAGAGGGCTGTTGGAAGGGTTGACTGGGGCAGGTCTCGAGGAGCCCTGAGGGTCTGCAATGCAGTGTCTTGTTCTCAGTGTGGCCTCACACGGGGGTTGCCTGAGAACTTATCAAAAAACACTTAAGAATGTATGGTCATTTCAAAATAAAAAGTATAAAATAAAAATATGTCAATACCCAAGTTGTACCCTCAGAGACTGTGGATCTGTCTACAGGGGTGCAGCCTAGGCCTCGGGGCTTTGGGAAGCTCCTCTGTTGACTTTAATGCACAGCAAAGTTTGGGATCATGAAGTAGTGTTTTAAGAACTAGGAAACGGAACAGGACTAGCCACATACTATCCTGGTCATTCCATTCACTCCTTGATGACGTCAGCATGTTCTCAGCCTCCCTTGTCTATGACGCTAATACTGACCCCACAGAACCTCTGAGGTAGGGCTGAGCACAAAGTCATCAGTGCCTAGCAGCAACCAGCAGTCAATCAACAATCAGCAGTCAATCAACAATCAGAAGTCAATCAGCAGCAGCAGCAATGGTCAAGGAAGACACAACCACTCGTCCAAAGTCCATCCTCATGGTCATGGGCATTGCTGCACCTGGGCAGCAGCTGGATCCTTCCCACAGAGCCCTCCACCCCCAAAACCAACACCAATGTGGTCAGAGTCCAGCCAGCACTTCCAGGAAACCGAAGCGTCTACTCACTGGACGTGGGAAAAGACGAGTCTGATGCTTTTGTTCTCTGGTTTGTCTATGGTCCAAATGCAGTTCTCGTCGGAATTCAGGTTCACGATGAAGGTCTTGTGTGTCTCTCCTGCGTTGCTCCCTCCCAGGCTGGCCCTGCAGCTTGATCTGCCTGGTAGAGACCACAGTTCGCACTGAGGGAAGTGGGCAACCCCTGCCCTTCCCCCGGGATGGGAATCCACCTCCCACGCGGAACAGCCACACAGCTGCAGGCGCTGATCGTGAAGGACACATGGCTCACTTCAAAATAAGCCACGACCGTTCACGTCCGCTTCTTGGGGCCTTTGAGAAGAAGCATACATATGGCCCATGAAAGATAAGAGAATGTATTTAGGCCTTAAGAAAGATGGTTTTTGGCCGGCGCTGCGGCTCACTAGGCTAATCCTCCGCCTAGCGGCACCGGCACACCGGGTTCTAGTCCCGGTCGGGGTGCCGGATTCTGTCCCGGTTGCCCCTCTTCCAGGCCAGCTCTCTGCTGTGGCCAGGGAGTGCAGTGGAGGATGGCCCAGGTGCTTGGGCCCTGCACCCCATGGGAGACCAGGAAAAGCACCTGGCTCCTGGCTCCTGCCATCGGATCAGCGCGGTGCGCCGGCCGCAGTGCACCGGCCGCGGTGGCCATTGGAGGGTGAACCAACAGCAAAGGAAGACCTTTCTCTCTGTCTCTCTCTCTCACTGTCCACTCTGCCTGTCAAAAAAATAAATAAATAAATAAAATAAATTAAAAAAATAAAATAAAATAAAGAAAGATGATTTTAAAAGGAACCTTCACATCTATAATATATAAAAAGTTCTTATAATTCAGTAACTAAAAAAAAAAAAAGAACCCAATTAAAAATGGAACCAGAATACACATTTTGCCAAAAAGATGTAATGGTCAAAAACTTAACTTCCTTAGTAACAAAGCTTTTCACTTTCTTTCTTATCTGTGATGGATGAGTGACAATGTCCTTATAAAAAACAGTCTTTTATTTTTACCCAAAAATAGCTACCAATACTATATTAGTAAAATATCAGAAATAAAAGACAATCAAAGAAAAGAAGTAGCTGATTACCTCGTCCACCCAGAGCCAGTGCTCGTGGAAAACTTGCTGTAAACACCCCACGTTCCTTCCTTTTCCCTTCTCTTTTACTTCAAAATTTCCTAAATGCACCACAGTGTATATTTTAAATATAAACACTATCATGTGGTACAAAATTTAGACAGTGCTTTCTTTTTTTTAAGAATATTTTAGGGGCTGGCGCTCTGGTGCAGCGGATAAAGCCGCCACCCACAGTGCCAGCATCCCATATGGGCGCCAGTTCAAGTCCCAGCTGCTCCATTTCTGATCCAGCTCTTTGCTATGGCCTGGAAAAGCAGTAGAGGATGGCCCAAATCCTTGGACCGCTGCACATGTGTGGGAGACCCAGAAAAAGCTCCTGGCTCCTGGCTTCAGATCAGCACAGCTCCAGCCATTGCAGCCATCTGGGGAGTGAACCAGTGGATGGAAGACTTCTCTGCCTCTGTAACTCTGCCTTTCAAATAAATAAATAATAATATATCTTTTTTAAAATATTTTTTTGAAAGTCTGAGTTACAGAGAGAGGGAGAGAAGCAGAGTGAATCTCCCATCTGTTGGTTCACGCCCCCAGATGGCCACAATGGCCAGGGCTGAGCCAGACAAGGCCAGGAGCTTCATCCTGCTCTCCCACATGAGCTGCGGGGCCCAGACACTTGGGCCATCATCCATTACTATTCCCAGGCCATTAGCACGGGAGCTGGATCAGAAGTGGAGCAGCCAGGTCTAGAACTGGTGCCCATATGGGATGCGGGCATTGTGGGTGGTGGCTTTACCCACTACGCCATAGTGCCGCCCTCTAGGTAGTGGCTTCATGTAGATCTTGGACATGGGTTTTATAGATCAACGTCACTTTTTGAGTTGCCAAAGAATATTTCTTAGTATAGGTTAACTATGTTGGGATATGTGATGGAAATTTCTGAGCTTTTTTTACGATTATGTAATGTGCATACTTTTGTACAGACAGATATAGATAGATAATTCCCTAAAAATAAACTCTTAGTTGTGCAATTACCCAGTAAAATTCAATATGCTTCTTATATTTTTATGTACAAGAGTATTTCAAAAAGTTTGTAAAAAATGGAAAAGATAGTTTATTTTGGTGCAAAAAATGAAATATATGCATTTTTGTACTACACATTTTCCATGAACAAACTTAAAACCCCTGTCTAAGTGTATTTCAAAGTTTTTGCCCTGAAATAAACACTTTTTAATTCCATTCCCATGAACTTATTGAAAGACTCTCGTACAATGTCACAGGGGCCTGAATAAAATTAGTATTAATTCTAAATACCATAAAGAGTATTAGAATAAACTTTTCTTTGTATTGGCATCATCAGCAGATACAAAAGCTTGCAAAATTCCTGGAAGAGGCCTCTCGAATGGGGCCCCCTGCTCTGCTGAGAAATCTGCCACGTTCTTACCTTCAGCCTCAGTGGAATTCCACTCCGCCAAACACGGGGCCATCAGAAGGGCCAGAGAGAGCAGCCTTCTCGCCACCTCCATCGCTGTCGGGGTTAGGAAGCCCAAGGGCTGCAGCCTTTTATACTTCTCTCTGTTTCCTGGCTATCTGGGCAGATAAGATCCTGGCCATGTGCAGGGAGACGTGTCTGCTCCAGCCACCCAGGCGCGAACTTCCATGAGAACTTAGCAGCTGGGAGACTGGACTGTGACCAACAATCCCCAACAGCCGGTCTGAGTCCCTGACCCCGTCCAGGAGGGTCTGCAGCCGGGCCCAGCTAAAGCTCGGCACGGGGACCCCCAGCAGCTGGCCCACGCAGGCCCTGGGAAATTGCTCGCGGGACTGAGCCTTTGCCTGGACAGTGACGACGCTGACTCCTTAAGCCTCCACAGTCCTCCAAGAATGGAAGCCATTCGAGTCCCCAGGACTGCAGGGCGGGGGAGGCAGGGGTGGCACGGGCACTCTGGGTCCGGCCGGTCACTCAGGCATCCCGCCAGGTGCTCACCTGAGCGGGAGGGGGAGGAGGAGTCCACTGTCCCTGCTGACCAGTGTGTGCTCCGGGAGGCTCCGCGGAAGGAGCCAGGACACAGGGGGCTGCAGAGCAGAAGCACTGCCCCCGCTGTGGTCAAGGGAGCCTGGGCTTTCGCCTTGGGCTGGAGGTCCCCGGGCCACTGCAGACACGGGTGGCCAGGTCAGCACAGACCCATGTCAGGGCGAAGGCAGGCGTGAGCAGGAGGGATCGCAGGTCTTCTGAGTTCTCTTGAGGACGCTGAGCTCAGCCCCATCAGGACCAGGGCAGACCATTTTCACCAGAGATGTCCTGCCTGCCTGACCTCCGTCTCGCCCAACCCATGGCGCCCCCTTCAGGACAACGCAGCACAGTCTGCAGGGAGGAGCTGGGTGGGGGGCAGGAGCCCGGCGCTCCACCCCAGCCTGGCACAGTTGGCCAGGGCTCAGACTGCAAACGCCCCAAGACCAACAGGGACTGTCCTCGCGGGCTCTCCTTCTTCCTGGCAGCGTAACGGCCCCAACACCTTGCTCCAGGTCCTCGTGGGTAACGCGTACTCTTGAACAGGGATGTTGACAGCGAATGCGACACTAGACACAGGTTCTCTTTAATACCATACATTTACTCAAAAGCACATAAAATAACATTGTACAGAAATCGTGTAATGTAAATACTACAGAACCTGATTGGATAGTAGGACATTCTAATAAGAGGGAAATACTGCTCATGAAGATTTTAGTGCCCACATTTCCCGAGTCAGAGTCCCTCGTTGGTTGCACAGGAGCAAGGTGGCAGGGGATCGAAATTCGCATACACGTTACAGTCGTCACAGCATGGGAGCGCACGACAGGAATCCGTGGTGAAAGCTTTCACAGGAATGATGTGGTCCTGCGTGTCCTTGGCTAAATGACTGTTTACACACAAAAGTTCCTTTGCAGCTCTAGGGAAACGACAAACACAAAGTCGGGGTCAGAATTTTTCTTTCCTCCCAGTCTCTGACAATTCTCAGGGTGGCAGGGAATTCAGGGCTTCAGCCCGCCAAGCAGGCGCCACCAGCCCTAGGTTAAAGCTCTCTGCCACTGTGCCAAGTTCCCTCGGTCCCCTCCCCTCCTACGATGCTGTGCAGGTAAACTCAGGTTCCGAAAGCAAGGGAGAGCGGGTTGCCAGCCAGGGGCAGCCCGCTGTGCGAGCAGGGATGAGGGGAAGGTGCTGCAGACGGCTCTGCCCGGGCTCCGGGGTTCACCACCTGGCTCCCTGCAGCGGGACACGGCTGCTCCGACAACCAACATCGCCCACGCCTGCAAGCTCCTCTCCCCTAATGCTGGACATCTCTCAGCTGACCTACCGCCTCTCCAGCTGTCCTCTATAGGACGTCTGTCCTTAGGGGCCCACCTCACCGTCCCCAGGAACGCTGGCCGTGAGCAAGGAACGCCCTGGGAGCTCCCAGCTGGGGCGAGAGGTCAGTTCGCCCACCCCCTGCGTGAACAGGCAGCAGAGGCTCACGCCCACGCATCCCCCAGCGAGGGTTCAGGCTCCAGCGCCCAGGACGGGGGAGACTCGGCCACGGCCCGAGTTCATCACCTGACAGACCCAGTGAGGTCTGGTGACAGCAAAGCAGCGCTGACGCACGGCCCCCAGCGGGGGACACTCTATGGTCGAGCTCAGGCGCCCAAGTCAGGGGGGAGGCAGCCCGAGACCCCACCCGCCCTGCGTTGGCCTCTCCCGACTGCTCTTGTGAGCTCAGCCAGGGGGAGGTCACAGCAGCAAGCAGCGACCCTGGCCAAGCAGCGAGTCGGCTCCGGCACTGTGGCATAGCAGGTAAAGCCGCTACCGGCAGTGCTGGAATCACTTATGGATGCCGGTTCAAGCCCCGGCAGTTCCACTTCCCATCCAGCTCTCCGCTGTGGCCTGGGAAAGCAGTAGAAGATGGCCCAAAACTTTGAGCTCCTGGCTCCTGGCTTCGGATTGGCACAGCTCCGGCCGTTGCGGTCAATTGGGAGTGAACCAGCGGATGGAAGACCCGCCTCCCCCCACCCCACCTTCTCTCTGTGTAACTCTGCCCTTCAAATAAATAAATAAATATAAAAAAAAAAAAGCAGCGAGCCCAGGGCCCCACGCAGGGGGCGCTGTCCACTCCCACGCACATGACTCACATCAGCACTTTGGACACTTTGACGTACAGGCCTATGACAATGCCGGTCAGTATGATTATGGCTATCAGGATGCTGCCACCGATGATGAGCAGGACCACTGTCCGGAGGTCGAAGTTCTTCGATCCACCTAGGCCAAGAGGTGCACGTCGACCAGAGGCATGGCCTCCCGGACCCCAGCCACAGAGCAGCTCAGCCCACTCCCCTCAGCGGAGACGGAGTGGACCCCAAACCACAGATCCTCTTCCAAGGAGGCCAAGGGGCCCACCCCAGCCCAGGGGTAGATAGGCTATTTATTTGTTGATGGAAAGGGACTAAAAGGCAAAATACAGAGAGGAGGAAACCAGGAGAGAGATCAGGAAGAATCTTTTTCTTTTTTAAAATTTTTTATAGATTTATTTATTTGAAAGTCAGACTTACAAAGAGAAAGGAGAGGCAGAGAGAGAAAGAGAGAGAGAGAGGTCTTTCACCTGCTGGTTCACTCCCTTAGATGACAAAAATGGCTGGAGCTGAGCAAATCTGAAGCCAGGAGCCTCCTCCAAGTCTCCCACATGGGTGCAGGGGCACAAGGACCTGGGCCATCCTCCACTGCCTTCTCAGGCCATAGCAGAGAGCTGGATTGGAAGTGGAGCAGCCAGGACTCAAACCAGTGCCCATATGGAATGCCAGCACAGCAGGCGGCGGTCTTACCCGCTACACCACAGTGTAGGAAGAATTTTTTCTTTCATAGCTGGTAACATGCACTATGAATAACCAACAGGGGGACTGGCGGTGTGGCTGGTAAAGCCACCACCTTTGACGCCGGCATCCCACCCGGGCCCTGGTTCGTGTCCTGGCTGCTCTACTTTCAATGCTGCTGATGGCGTGTAACAAGCAGCGGAAGATGGCCCAAGTATTTGGGCCCCTGCCACTCACGTGCGAGACCCAGATGAAGCTTCTGGCTCCTGGCTCTGGCCTGACCCAGCACCGGCTGTTGGGGCCATCTGGGGAGTGAACCAGCAGATGGAAGATCTCTCTGTGTGTCTCTCCCTCTCTGTAACTCTGACTTTCAAAATAAATAATCTAAAAAAAAAAAAAACAAAAAACTAACAAACGGGCCTTCCCTGGTCCCAGTGGGTATACGCCCACACACTTGGGCCTCCTGAACTGTGTCCAGTGTTGGAGTCTGGACATCAGACTCAGAGACCTATGGGAACAAATGCTGCCAAGTGTTATTGTCTCAACACTGAGAATTTGTAAATTCATTTTGTAAATAATGTGTACTTGAGGGGAAAAAGTATTCAATTATCACTGACAAGTACCATTATTCCCCCGAAATCCTAACTCGTAAGTCTTACTCAAGCCAATCCTGAATCATCAGCGGGTTTACTCTCTGAGGCTGGACACAGGTGAGCCAGTAGAGGAGAGAAACAGGGGACAGCCAGAGCGTACTCACTGCGTGCAAAGTCATAGCTGGACGAGAGCCGACAGAGAACAACAAGCACAAATGACACAAACTTCAGGAAACAGGGCATCTTCTCGGGAATCTAAATAAAATTCTAGCAACTAAGATTCAGGGTTGATGAGCTCACTGTTAGAAGTGGAGTCTTCTACCCAAGCTTGGGGAATGGCAGCCAGGACCTAGCCTCAACTGCTATGCCAGTAGGGACACAGGCTGTGTGACATCAGCCCTCTGGACACCAGCTCTGTCACAGAGTTCTGAATTCCACCCCATGCCCAGATAGAGCTTAGCACCAATGGACACAGGAAGGCCCCAATACTCTCTATTTTAAAAGGCTTATTCTTCTATTTGAAAGTTAGCATCAGACAGAGAGAGACAGAGAGAGCGAGCTTCCTTCTGCTATTTCACTCCCCCAGAGGGCAGCTATGGCTAGAACTGAGCCAGGCCAAAGCCAGGGGCCAGGAGCTTCATCCGGGGCTCCCACCTTGGGGCAGTGGCCCAAACACTTGGGCCATCTTCCACTGTTTTTCCCAGGCCATTAGCAGGGAGCTGGATCAGAAGTGGAGCAGCCAAGACACAAACCAGCGCCCATTTGGGATGCTGGCCGTCGCGGGCAGTGGCTTAACCTGCCACACCGTGATGCCATCTCACCCCCCAATATCATTTTATTCCTTTTTTTTTTTTTTTTTTTGACAGGCAGAGATAGACAGTGAGAGAGAGAGAGACAGAGAGAAAGGTCTTCCTTTTTCCGTTGGTTCACCCCCCAAGTGGCCACTACGGCCGGCGCTGCGCTGATCCGAAGCTTCCTTCTGGTCTCCCATGCGGGTGCAGGGCCCAAGGACCTGGGCCATCCTCCACTGCCTTCCCTGGCCACAGCAGAGAGCTGGGCTGGAAGAGGAGCAACCATGACAGAATCCGGCACCCCAACCGGGACTAGAGCCCCGTGTGCCGGCACCGCAGGCGGAGGATTAGCCTAGTGAGCCGCGGCGCCGGCCCCCAATATCATTTTAAATCATGTAATCTTGGTTTCTCCTTTTCAGATTTTGTTTCCCTCAAACAAACTCAAAATCCACTAATCCAAAGAAAATTGGGGATTTCAATAAAATGAAAGGAAAGTACTATGGGGGAGGGTACCATTTAAAAACACACATTTCTAAAACTTTTACTACAGAAACCAGGTTAGCTTTTATGTTTCAGTCACAAGGAAGCAGTATGTGGCCATTTAAGAGGACTCAGAGGTTCATCAGCATGATATCATGCTCTATGGTTAAGATGAAAAATTTTAAAAAGTAAGCTGAATAGGATAACTGCTTTTGTCAGCTTTCTATGACTTCAAGATACTTCTTTAGGCTGGCGCTGTGGCACAGCAGGTTAAACCCCTGGACTGACGAGCCGACTTCCCATATGGGCGCCGGGTTCTAGTCCTGGCTGCTCCTCTTCCAGTCCAGCTCTCTGCTAAGGCCTGGGAAAGCAGTGGAAGATGGCCCAAGTGCTTGGCCCCTGCACCTGCGTGGGAGACCCAGAGGAGGCTCCTGGCTTCGGATCAGCGCAGCTCCAGCTATGGCGGCCATCTGGGGAGTGAACCAGCAGATGGAAGACCTCTCTCTCTGTCTCTACCTCTCCCTGTAACTCTGTCTTTTAATAACAAAATAAATCTTAAAAAAAAAATACTTCTTTCTGGGAAAGTCAGCGCACCTAACTGCGGGAGCTATGTTAACTACGATAGGTCATTCCTTGCCGCTCCAGCTAAAACCTGGGTGAACTCAAGAACCGCAGGAGAGATGATGCCAACGAAAACTGCGGCGCAAGAACTCCCAGAAACTCGCTCCTCCGGAAAAGCATGGAAACTGGACAGAAAATGTCCAGAGTCTCTCTTCCAGGACACTGGGAATAGCTACAGGCTTACAGTAGCCCAGACAACAATCGTTCTGAGACGCGAATGAACCTCAGTGTGGTCAGAAAGCGTGGTGTCCCCGTCCCCCCACTCACTGGCTCCGCAGCAGCCGTGAACGTGACAGCCCGCGTTGCCGTGCAGCCTCCAGAGGAGCAGACGGAGGAGGAGCTCTTGCAAGCCTCCCATCCGGACAAGGTCAGTATTTCACTGCCTGCTGGCGGCCTGGAAGTCCGCGACTGCAGGGCTTGGAGCTGAGGCAGAGTAGTTAAGCCTCTGCCTGCAGCACCGGCTTCCCATGTGGGTGCCGGTTCATGTTCTGGCTGCTCCTCTTCCAGGCCAGCTCTCTGCTATGGCCTGGGAAAGCAGTGCAGGATGGCCCAAGTCCTTGGGCCCCTGCACCTGCGTGGGAGACCTGGAAGAAGCTCCTGGCTCCTGGCTTTGGATGGGCCCAGCTCTGGCCGTTGTAACCATTTGGGGAGTGAACCAGGGGATGAAAGACCTCTCTCTCTCCCTCTCTGCCTGTGTAACTCTGCCTTTCAAGTAAATAAATAAATATTACAAAAAAAAAAAAAAAAAAGGCCGCAGTAGCAAAGCTGTGTTTGACACAGCATGGAGACAGCTCAGGGCAGTAACCCTTCTCCCCAAGGCACTTAGGCCAAAACCATTGCAGGCAATTATTTCATTTATTTGTTTGTTGTTTAAATAGTTCTAGTTTTATATGAGGCTGTAGCAGTTATCCAACAATCGTGCCAACATTCACAGAACTTCTAGAGTTAAGAATCAGTTTTACAGAAAGCAAAGATGATTATTTTGTGAGGAAAAAAGGGCCATATTTTCATACAAAATCACTATATACGAAAATACATAACAAAGAACTATAATGATCTTAAAAACAGAACACAGTGGCAGAAAACATGATGTGCTATACCTCTAAGGAAACCTCAGTCAGACGGCTCGGAAATAAACACACACCTCCCCACCAGCGACACACACATGTGTAACAGGCCACGTAAGCGAAGCCATCAGACTCATGGGGAGGGAGGGATGAACTCCCTCACATGTGGATTACGGGTACGTGTTTTCCTTAAAAACATGTAAAAGGGTTTTCCCTCACTGGACTCAGTTCCAAGACATTCTCAAGCTTTTCATGCCTTCCTCAATGCGTAGGAAAACATCAAACAGGAAAAGGTGACATTTTCTTGTGAGCTGTCAGTTGGCAGTCCTGGGCTGGGGGTGAGCTGGCCTCACTGGGCCCTGGGTCCTCTCTGGGGCTTCCTGGTGAGCTCCTCTTGGGAAGATTGTTGACAGAGAGAGTTCAAGGTGGGTTCTCGGAAGGCAGGGCCTGAACCTGCGGGGCTGGGCTGAGCAGCCGTGACCTCTGTGATCTGCTCGGCAAGACCTCCTTTGCCGTGACTTACGGGGGCTGGAACTGACTTCTGGGCAGCGAGGCAGGGGCTGGTCCTCACTGCCAGGGTTGCTCCCTGCAGGACATGGGGCTGGTCTTCCCTGCTGGGATGTCTGCAAACTCTGACAACTTCTGGAAGCCCTTCAAGCTCACACCTGGTAGGCTGTGTCCTCGGCCAGGTGAACACTTCTGCCCACCGTCCTACTTCTCTTAGGAAATGTCTCCATGGTAGAAGCTATTGATCCTTCCCATTCTCCCAATCCCGCTGGACCTTGCAGGCAATTGTGTTACATTCTTGGCTGTCTGAGTTGGTAGGTAACTTCTGGGTTGAATGACAGCCTAGCCATAACAGTGAAAGGAAACTCTGGGGAATGAGATGTCCCCGTGGGTTTTGAAAATCTCTGGCACATTTTCTGGGAGTCTGGAAGACCATGCATGTGTGCAATACTGTGTGGAAGCTTAGGGCTGTGAGCAGGGCCCCAAGTTTCCACCTCTGGCTGACTTCGAGGCTCTTCCCAAGAGGAAGTGAAGGCTAAGGCTGAGTGTTGAAGGCTGTGTCAGTAAGCTTCACTTGTTGCTTAGAATGCTAGATTCCCAACTAACCTTTCAGATTTTTGCCTTTATTGTGCCATCCAAGCTATCCATCACAGTGATAGTTCTTTTTCCTAGGATGTTTTCAAACCTTTTTCTTTTCTTTCCCCAACTGTCATTTCATTGCAAAATAATACTGCAATCTCACAGTCTCATTTTTTTCTTTTTAAAGATTTATTTATTTACTTGAAAGTCATTTACACACAGAGAGAAGGAGAGAGAGAGAGAGAGAAAGAGACAGGTCTTCCACCCACTGGTTCACTCCCCAATTGGCCACGATGGCTGGAGCTGTGCTGATCCGAAGCCAGGAACCAGGAGATTCCTCGGGGTCTCCCACGAGGGTGCAGGGACCCAAGAACTTGGGCCATCTTCTACTGCTTTCCCAGGCCACAGCAGAGAGCTGGATCAGAAGTGGAGCAGCTGGGAGTTGAACTGGCGCCCATATGGGATGCCGGCACTGAAGGTGGCGGCTTTACCCACTGTGCCACAGTGCCAGCCCCTCACAGTCTCATTTCAAAATGGTTAACAGATAAGTAAAAAATATTGGCCACTAAGTAAAAAATACTAGAGGCATCGAAAACTTTTCCGGTATTGCACATGTATTGAAAATTATGCAAACATGAATTTACAAAATACTTGAACAGGGATGGGTGTTTGGCCTGGAGTTGAGGTGGCTGTGTCCCCCATTGGAGGTGAATACCCAGCTCCAGCTTCTGACTCCAGCTCCCTGCTAATGCCGACCTTGGTGACAAAGACTCATTCAGCTGCACTCCTGCCACCCATGCGAGAGACCTGTCTAGAGTTCTTGGCTCCTTGCTTCAGCCCTGGCCATCAGGCCTTGTAGGCATTTGGGAAGTGAACCAGCAGATAGGTTCTGTGTCCCTCTGTCTCTAAAAAAATAAATAAATATGTAAAACTGCTTAAATGGACATACATATAGAACTTAGCTAGAACACCAAGCAATTTTATGAAAAAACAGGCACCGCTTTCCAAGATATCTGTGCCCAGCATTCTCAACTCAAAGGTCTCTGCCTTTGCCACGTGGTCAAAGGAAATCAAGGCCCTCGCTGACTCTGCACACGCCACACCCCAGGGTTATGCCAGTAGACTCGGCAGCGGCTGCACCTGCACAGCTACTGTGGCAACATCACTCTCCGAGGGCCAGAGTGCACGCCGCAGAGCCAAATCACCAAGGATCATTTTCTCCTAAGTTAGCTTGCCTGATTTTATTGTTGATACGGTTACCCATCTCTCTTTTTTAAAAGGATTTATTTATTTCTTTGAAAGTCAGAGCTACACAGAGAGAGAAGGAGAGGCAGAGAGAGAGAGAG